CACCCACCCTTCAATCGAAATTCGCTTTTTTTTATTGTTCACATTTTTTTTATTTTCCCCCCCTTTCGTTGTCCTAAATACATTCCACTGCTCAAACTATTTTTGCCCCCCCCCCCCCCCCCCCCCCCGGTTGCATCATGCCATGGGGAGCTTCAGGGGTCCTAGTCGGGCGGCGATTTACTGTACACTACGTATGTAGGTACCTTGTTGCTAAAACCGGCATCACAAACCCGGCGGGAAGGCAGACCACCGAGATATGTTCCCAATGCTGACCTTGGCGCCATCTTGGTCATCCATGGGCCTGTCTGTCGGCGTGCATGGTGTCAAGGGGATCCTCTCAGCCATCGTGGGGATATCTGCGAGCTGATATCGCCCTTTACACATATACCATCCTGGTGCCCTCTCTTCCTTCTTTCTCCTGAAGCAAGCAGCAAAAGGTATCTCTCCAATATGCGACGTTGAACCTGCCGTTCACTCACTCTTGAACGCTTACACCACTGCCCACCGTCACTCGTTTAACCATTTCACCACTGTCGACATTTCCGTCACTTGAGAACGCAGGATTGGATCATAGGGCCGCATCTGAAACGGCATACTACAAGCCCAGCCCAGGCAAGCAGCCCATCCATCGACACGTCTCCGGCTTCTCTACGGATAGCATCATCTCAAACACCACTTTCGCTCTCCTGACAAGTTTCCTTTTCGGCAGCAACCAGTTCCCGGGTTCAGAAGTTCAGACAGCACGGCCTTGACGTTTCAGGCACATGAGTGCTAGTATTCCGAGGGAGCTTCCCCGAACGCGTTCGTGCTCACTCTCGCGAAGCGCTCGCGTGGGCTGCTCCGGCGAGCCTATATCGGCGCAGCTATATAGACAGGGCGGACGACGTTGGGCGGCATCGAACCCCGACCCGGCGCACCACACAACTCAAGGTGCTCGCCCTTCCCCCCCAAAATTACCCTTTTGCGTTGCCCGAGAGGGCACCGAATCGTTTGATCATTCCATCCCACGCTGTAGCGACCACCTCGGGCGCCGCGCTCGGGCAGGTCCCATGTGTCGACGCGAGGGTGGCGGGCGACTACACCAGCATCGGACACCATGTGGACTACCACGACCACGGGGACCACATGGCGACGTCAAGCCAGCACCATCCGGGCTACGTCTCGCCCAGCCATCAGCAGCACCATCAGCAGCAGCAGCAACACCATCAACAGCAGCAGCAGCAGCACCACCACCAACAGCAGTACACGCAACCGCAACAGTACAGGCACCCAGTACAGCACCAAGGAGAACATGGCGTCTTGCAGCACGACGGAGCCCACGGCAGTCCCCATGGCCTCCCCCAAGTGCAAGCAGGAGGAGCCGTTTCGGCGGCAGCGCATAGCCATCACCAGCATCACCACCATCAGCATCCGCCACACCTGATGATGGACGCGACCCGCATGGGTCATGCTCGAATCGAACCGAGTCACTACGAGACCTCTGGCGGGATGATTAGCCCCATGTATCAGCACATGCCTCCTTCCACGCAACCGCAGGCCCATCAGGTCCCCAACAGCCTCAAGAGACCACGATCCGACAGTCTCGATGTCCCCCTCCACGGCTTGCACCAGATGGGTCATGTCAACCTCGCTGGCCTACACCAGGCGCATCTGGGGCAGACATACGCACAGGCCGCTGGCACGGCAAGCCTGTCTCTCTCGCATCCCACGCACCACCACCACCGTCTGCCCGATTCCGAGCCCTCGGCCAAGATGATGCGCCGCGAGGACATTGGTGGCGCGCCCAGTGTCGTTGGGCAGGAGGGGATGCCGGAGCCGGCGCCCCGACCCAAGGGACCCAAGCTCAAGTTCACGGCCGAAGACGATCAACTGCTCATAGAGCTCAAGGAGCAGAAAAACCTGACGTGGAAGCAAATCGCCGACTTCTTCCCTGGCCGCTCTTCGGGGACTCTGCAGGTGCGCTACTGCACCAAGCTCAAGGCCAAGACCAAGCAGTGGAATCCGGACATGGTATGGTATCTCTTTGTCCTGCTTGGGTTGTTTTGGTGATACTAACAAGCGCAGGATGAAAAGCTCCGCGCGGCGTTGAACGACTACGAACAGGAGAAGTGGCGCATCGTCTCCACGAAGCTGGGACCTGGGTTCACGCCGGCGGCCTGCCGTGAAAGAGCCGAGGAACTACATGTCCTGGGGGAGCACGGCGAGACAAAGTACGAAGAGCTCGCCTCCTCGCCCGAGGAGGTCGAGACCTCACTCGTGGAGCCGACCGAGACACTGTACGCCCACGTGCCCCTGGGCTGAAGAGTGATATGATACCACACACAAGCTTGAGACATCGACCAGACCGTTGCGCACGAGGCGTCGCACCACCATACGCCCGTATTTCCTAATTCCGTCCATGAATCACGACGAATCACGACGACATGGATCATGCGAATGATCTACGCTACACTGCTTTATATTAAATACAGACACTACACATACAGGCTCACGCTCACGTGGACACGAAGGGGGGGCGGGCGCTTTTCGGTGCGTTCAACGCCAGACTGGGCTGGTTGGCACAACAATCTTTCTTTTAACATTTTCTTTTCGGACGTTGTCGTGGGGGGTTTTGTTGTTTTAATATTGATCTGCAGCGGCGGAGGTAATGGTTTCTGTTTGGCAACATGTAATGGTATTTGGCGTGATTGATAATAGAGTTTGGGCAACGGAGCGTGCGCGGTTGTAATCAATACCAGGTGAAGGAATCTGGAGAGTAATGGAGGACTTGCTTATTAGTATCGGAAAAGTACAGGACGTATGGGGAGGTGCTTAGGGAACAATGTGTAATAGAGGCGAAGTTCGAGCACAGTACAAGATTCAGTTAATCAAAGAATTCATCAGCTTGGCTGCCTGGCACATTTCGAATAGATGAACTTTGTGGATCACCGTACATGTCAAGTCATTTATCGTTGGAACTGTCATCTTGACAGGACCCTGTCAGCGAGCGCAAGTGCGTCCAGTACTTGGCCATCCTCCACCAAGTCGATCAGGCGCTGATTTGCCAACGTGTCAAGACCGCCGCCAAGGAAGCTGGCCATGTCGACAATCCAGCCATTGAAATCACGAATCTCGGTGCTCTTGCCGGCTTGGACGTCCTGCAGCATGGAGCTCGAGTTCTCGCCGACGCGATAGCCAACGCTCCAGAGCATGGATTTCAAGTTCTCGAACCGGAATCGCTCTGAGAGTATTTCCCTCGCAGCATCCACGTCGCCAGCCTCCGACGCCAGAAGTGGTGTCGTACTGTCGTGCTGCAGCAGAGATTGATAGACGGCACACGTCTCGTGGAGCAACCTGTCCATGACGCGTGACAGGATGCCTTGCTCGTCGTCAAAGAGCACGCCATTCTTCTGTCGAAGGATGGCCGTCAGAGGATTGATGATGGAGTTGACCACCAGCTTCTCCAACTGCAACACCCACAAGTCTTGCCTGTCGACCCTCCTCGAGAGCAAACCCGGGGCAGAGGTGATCGTGTCCAGCAGGTACTCTGCCTCGGCCGCCCTGGCCCCCGGGAGGACGAGACCTGCCTTCGCGTCAGCCAGCGAGGCGTGTCTCGACCTGAAATCGCCCAGCGAGATGACGCCGTGCGTAGTGATGCAGTGGGCAAAGTTCGGCGTGTGCTCCTCGCCGTAGCGGTGGGATGTGTACATGGCGCCGTGGGGTGGCCACAGCTTGGACATGCCATTCTGCGCAAAGGCGACGGTGCTCTGCGCGTCGAGATAGCCACGGAGCTTATCAGCTTCGGGTAGGGCGACTGACGCTTTTGTGGCGATGATGAGATTTCTCACCGGGGAGATCTCCCTTGAGTACCCGTGCTCAGGCGGCGATGTCGTCCAGTACTCTACGTCCAGACCAGCGGTGGTTCTCTCGACGAGCCCGTCAGGGCGGGTGATCTCGATCCCGGGATTGCTTGTCCACGTTTTCAGGAGATCTGGTCGATGGAGGACCAAGGTAACTGGCGGTAGCTCTGCGTGTTTCCTGAGATGAGACGCGTAGAGGCGTCCCATGTTCCCGACGCCAAGAATGTGTATTCTCCTTGGATCTGAGCTGTGGGAGGCTGGAAGAGGCCTGGGCGACCATGAGTAGACTTTGGGAGGTGAACTGGTATCTTTGAGAATGCGAGAGAGCCATGGTGGCTGCGGAGATGACGGATGGGGTCTTGCGGCCACATACTGTGATCTTGACGCGCTGGAGTATGTGTGGCTTCTGGAGTAAGGTCGTGAGACGACAACCACAGAGCTCCTTATTTTCAGCATTCCAAGGCGAAGTCTACTCGAGGCGAGGGCGACAGAGGAAGCCATTGGTGGCCTCTGTGTAAGCAGTCCTCAACTCCTTCAGAAAGTCAGACGCCCATGTTCAATGTTTGTTCAGTTGTCGTTGAAGTGCCGCCTTCATCTGCAGGTGGTGAAGATGCACAAGTTATGCACATGACCCGCAGCCAATCACTGAAGGCCTTCTGCCGGCCGCCAGGCACCAGGCTTATGCACAGACTTGTGCAGCGAGCGTTACCTCTTTTGGCTTCTCCCTGCAAATCGCCCGATGCGTCATCAATCATCACTGTCAGCCTTTTTCACTTACACTTACAAATTCACGGTCGACTTCCACCATCGTTCATCGCTTCCACACCCGACAAAGGGCGGTCGCGACTTGATCGACACTAGGGGAAGCCATGCGGTAGAACAGCAGATTGGTATTCATATTCTGCTGCGCCGCTTCTTGGCTCGAGCCTCAACGCCCAGTCTCCAGTGTTGCACTCGCATAGAAGAACGCTCCTCGGAAGTCGCCATGGCCTCCGACAACGAGAAGACAGATTCTGGCGAGGGCCAGGGCGATATCACCTCCAGAATCGCCAAGCTGGCTCGGGAAGAGTCCAAACCCGAAGATGCAGCACCCACGCCTCAGGTAGCTGGCATGAACGAAGACGACGCTTTGCGGGACCTGGCTGGCACCGTCAGAGACCAAGATGACTTGGAGCGCGATATCACCGCGCAAGCCAACGCAGTTTTGGCGGAGCAGGAGGACAAGAAGGATCAGAATCGCATCGACAAGCTCAAAGCAACTCGCCAGCGGGTGCAAAATAAACTAGACAAAGAGAAAATAGAGCTCAGGAAATGGGTCAACAACCCCTACAAGACTCGGCAAATACAACCAGTCATCGACGACCTGGAGACTGAGATCCGGCAACTGGACAGTGACATTGCCGACTTTGAATCGCGCATGAAGAAGCGCAACGAAGAAGTCGCCGTCGAAGAGCAAGGCGGGAAATCACAGAGACACCCAGGAGAGAGCAAGCGCGACTTCTTGGTGCGGACTGGAAAGATCACACCTTTCGCGAGTGTTGGCGGGCCACGCCCCGTTGCAATGGAAGGCGATTTGGCCGGCGCTATTTTGGATGCTGAAGACGACGCTGCGACTAAAGATCTAGATGAGGGAGATGACGAAGGACCAGTATCACACGTACAACTACGTCGACCAGGCTTTGCAGAGGAGGCTGCCCGGGAGAAGAGAAAGCCGGACGACACGACGACGGTTGCCCAGAATGAATTTGGCATGCGCCCGAGAAAAAAGCAAAGAAAAGAGACAGATTCGAGCCCGAACGCGGAATTCGTGCCAAGTGATGCTGAATCGTCCGATGCTGATGCCGATGTGGGCATATGGCAGCAAGGCAACGAGGATGACCTGGTTCGAGAGCAGAAGCGCAAGACAAAAGCCACGGCAAAAGCCCGAGATGCAAACGTCGTGGACCTCAGCAGGCTGGATGACGGAAACGAATCAATCTACAAGAAGCGACTCAAGGATTGGGTCACCAGACGCAGCCAGGCGCGACGATCGAGACGTCAGGGGACAGAGCAGGACGGCTACGAGAGCGATCCTGGAGTGAAGGAGTGGTTCAAGCCAGCCCCCGATAAGCCTGATCACATGATCGACGATGGCATCAAACTGCCCGGCGACATCTACTCTACACTGTTTGGCTACCAACGTACTGGCGTGCAGTGGCTCGTCGAGCTCTACAAGCAGCAGGTCGGTGGCATCATTGGCGACGAGATGGGCCTCGGCAAGACCGTACAGCTGATAGCACTGATCGCGGCGCTGCACTACAGCAAGAAACTGAAAAGGCCCGTCCTCATTGCAGCGCCCGCGACCCTGCTACGACAGTGGGTTACCGAGTTCCATCGTTGGTGGCCGCCTCTCAGAGTCTCCATCCTGCATTCCTCCGGCAGTGGGATGATGAATCCCGAGCGTGAGGATGAGTTTGACCTGGACACCATGAAGAAGGGCTCTAGAATGGGTGCCAGTGCGAAAGCTGTCCGAAGAATCGTCAACAGCGTCGTTGAAAAGGGTCACGTTCTTGTCACAACGTATACCGGCTTGCAGACGTATGCGGACGAGTTGCAGAGCGTCGAGTGGGAGTATGCGGTTCTCGACGAAGGTCACAAGATTCGCAATCCAAACGCTGAGATTACTATCACCTGCAAGCAGCTCTACACCCGGAATCGCATCATCCTTTCCGGCACCCCTGTGCAGAACAACCTGACGGAACTCTGGTCACTGTTCGACTTCATCTCACCGATGCGTCTCGGGAACTTGATGGAATTTCGAGAGCAGTTTGAAATTCCCATCAAGCAAGGCGGCTACGCGAATGCGTCCAATTTCCAAGTCGTTCAAGCTGAGCAGCGGGCCGAGATCCTCAAAGACTCCATCAGCAAATACTTACTGCAGCGACTGAAGATTGATGTCGCCGCCGATCTACCGCCAAAGACCGAACAAGTGCTGTTCTGCAAGCTCGCAGATGGACAGCGAAAGGCGTACGAGGAATTCCTCAAATCGGACGAGGTTTCGGCCATTCTCGATAAACGCCGGCAATCATTGTACGGTATCGACATTCTGCGCAAGATTTGCAACCACCCAGACCTTCTAGACAAGAGCAAGAGCGGCAAGCAGGGCTATGACTACGGCAGTCCCCGGATGTCTGCCAAACTGCAACTCACCAAAGACCTTTTGACCAAGGTCATGATCCCCAATGGGCACAAAACGCTCCTCTTCTCCCAGGGCAAACAGATGCTTGACATTATTGAAAAGTGCATTCGCGAATGTGGCATAAGTTATGTGCGCATGGATGGCGATACACCCATCGACCAGCGCCAGGACATGATTGACAAGTTCAACGAAACCCCAGAGATACACGTCTTCCTCATGACTACACGCACAGGTGGCCTAGGAACGAACCTGACGGGCGCCGACCGCATCATCATTTTTGACCCCGACTGGAACCCCTCCACAGACCTCCAAGCTCGCGAGCGCGCCTGGCGTCTTGGTCAGACGAAACCCGTCAAGATCTACCGCCTCATGACCGAGGGCACCATCGAGGAGAAGATCTATCACCGCCAGATCTTCAAGCAGTTCATGACCAACAAAGTTTTGAAAGACCCCAAACAGCGCAGCTCGTATGACTTGTCTGACCTGTACGATCTTTTCAGCTTTACACCCGGCGATGCAGCTCCGGGTCAACGGGGTGTTCATTTCCAGGGCGCCGAGATTGACCTCCAGAGTTCCACAGAGCAGTCAAACAAGGGGGCCGACGCTGGTGAGGGCAAGACCGCAGCGGACCAGGACCATGAAAAGGAGGCTCTCGACAAAATGAATGGAGTCGCCACCGTGGAAGAGTTCAAGGAGACCAAATCTGTCCATGACGAGAAGCGGATGCTTGAAGGCATCTTCGCGCGAACTGTGGGCAGCGCATACGATCATGAAACCATTGTCAGTGGCAAGGGCGTTGCTCCCGATATCAAAGATCTTCGCCAAGCTGCGAAAGACGAGAGCCGGGCAGCGGCAGCTCACCTGCAGCGCGCGAGTCGCGAGGCGGACAGGGTTCCCATCGGCCAGCTCACCTGGACGGGTGAAGTTGGGCAACGGCCAGCGAACAGGAGGAGAGGAGGGCCTAGTTCAGCGGGTGTGCTGAGCAATATCGCTGAGCGCCAGGGCCTGGGCTCCAACGGCAACGGTGCGAGCCAGAATCTGAAGGCTAAAGACTTCATCCCCTTGATCAAGGAGTTCATCAATCGCCAGGGCGGCAAGGCCGTGACGAAGATGCTGGTGGATCATTTTGGCCAATACTGCAAGACAGAGAAGCAGAATGCCGAGTTCAGGAAGGCTCTCGAGACCTGCGCAGAGATCTCACAGCGTGGAAGCTACGGGAGGTCCTTGTGGTCATTGAAGCCAGGCTTCAAATAGGAAGGCCACGGTCATTTCCTTTTACATATGCATTCTAGAGCGCGGCGTTAGACTTGGTGTACATTGCAGGATTATCAGGTTCAGCACTAAAAGCATCGTCACACGAATACATTGCTTAGATTCCACATGGCGCAGTATTGGGAAGCGTGCGTGTGCAAACAAAGACGTGAACTCGAGTATCATTATCATCACGGGGCACCCAAGAGCCAGGCAGGGGAGGAAATGTCGTTTCATGGGCCTTCAACGGGCGAATTCATAACTGTCTACAGCCCACCAGCATCGTGATGACGCGGCGAGGTAGAATGGAGACCAGGCGATAAAGCCGTTCTCCGCGTTTTTTCTCAACGCCACAAGAGAAACCAGATAGCGATAAGTCCACCCTGACCAGCACACAAGAGTGCTGCTGCCGTTCCTCCAACCATTTTCTTTTCCAACCGGCAGCCGATCGCTTACAAACGACGACCACGGCGACCACCCTTTCTGCGGGTAGAGTCGGAGGGGGTAGGGGTGACGTCCTCAATGCGGCCAATCTTCATGCCGGCACGGGCGAGGGCACGGAGAGCGGACTGGGCACCGGGGCCGGGGGTCTTGGTGCTGTTACCTGTCGTACTTGTTAGCCATTGGTCGTTGGCCGAGTCCCAGGGAGACACATACCTCCGGTGGCGCGGATCTTGATGTGCAGAGCGTTGATGCCGAGCTCCTTGCAGCGGGCGGCGACGTCCTGGGCAGCCAACATGGCAGCGTAGGGGGAGGACTCGTCACGGTCGGCCTTGACCTTCATGCCACCAGTGACACGGGTGATGGTCTCGCGTCCACTGTGATCAACCTGGTTAGCTTCCGAGCTTCTCTCTTTCTCTCGAAACCTCGTCTGGGTCGGGGAGATGGGGTGTGACGAACGTGAGATCGGTGACGTGAACGAAGGTGTCGTTGAACGAGGCGAAGATACGGGCAACGCCAAAGACGAGCTCGCCATCGCGGGCAGAGGGGCCCAGGGAGATGTTCTCCTGGGGAGCACGGGCGACCTTCTTGGGAGGCATGTTGATGAGCTGGGCGTCTGGTTTCTCGTGGGACGTTGGGCTTGCGAGGGAAAGGGAAATTCGAAGACCGGAGATTTCGTGATGCCTGCCAAATTGGTCCCGGTGGGAAGGTGGGCTGCGAGCCCGCGGGCGGTGGGGCGCGGCAGAATATTTCCCAGCAACGAATTTGGCCTGGGAATTTTGTGGTGGGGGATGAGTGAAGCCCTACCCTAAGGTGCTGGGAAATTTGAGTGGCCGCCACGGGATTGGTGGAACAGGCCCCACCACTTGCGAAAAAAGTCCTCCACCACCGCTTTTCCTCACGGACCTTTAGCTGCTGAATCTTTCCCCCTTCCCTTCTCCAAGCGACCGACAACTCCTTGCACTAACCCGACAACCTTTCGCCCAGCCGAACGTCGCCAACATGTCTTCTACGTATGTTACCGCTCGTTGAACGGAGCCATTGTTGTGTCGACGGTCATGGATTGAGCATTGCCGGTTACGAAACCCGTCCTCGCAGATTATCGTGGTCCTCTTCGCTGGGCGGAACAGAGTCATTGAACCTTGATAAGGTCTTGACCGCCAGCTCGATACCTTTCTCGGATACCTCCCTCTATCTGTGCCTGCTTGGAACACAGCTTGACGGTAGAGAGATGGCATTCTGAGGTGTTGGAGATGAAGAGCAATCTTCTTTCTAAAATGCATCGTCGGCGATTGCGTGTCCATGGTTGAGAACACCATGGACTGCCGTCATCAGCCTTCCATTTTTCCTGAATTCGCATTCGGGGTGTTGTCGATTAAGAGAAAACGTCTGGTCCGCGCATGGAAACTTGTGCCTTCCAGCCCGTGAACTCTCATCGATCAAATCCATCTCGAGTTAGCCAACGCCAGAATGTCCTAGCTGCAATTCTCGCAACCGGCGCTCTACTCCATACGACCCTCTTCAAACAAGAGGCCGTATGCTGGACTATAGACTAATCTCTGCCACAGTACCGTCCCCACCAACGACCAGATCTTGGTCCCTGAGACCCTTCTCAAGAAGCGCAAGTCTCAGGAGAAGGCCCGCGCTGAGCGCACCGCCGCCCAGGAGAAGAAGAAGGCCGTACGTACTCCCCTCCACACTCTTGCCTCCCCAACTGCAACATGATGCACAACACATTTCTTCAACTAGACTACACGTCAATGCTGTTGAAAGTTAACCTTCTTTCGGGTCTGACACAACACCTCGCACACATTTACATTGCCATCTGCATCAGCGTGTGACGAACGCAAGCTAACAGCTTCATCAGGGCTCCAAGGACAAGCGCCAGGTCATCTTCAAGCGTGCTGAGAAGTACGTTCAGGAGTACCGCGATGCGGAGCGTGAGAAGATCCGCCTCTCCCGCGCTGCCCGCACCGACGACTCTGCCTACGTCCCTGCTGAGGCCCGCCTGATCTTCGTCGTCCGCATCAAGGGTATCAACAAGATTGCCCCCAAGCCCCGCAAGATCCTCCAGCTCCTGCGTCTCCTCCAGATCAACAACGGTGTCTTCATCAAGGTCACCAAGGCCACCACGGAGATGCTCAAGGTTGTCGAGCCCTGGATCGCCTACGGCTACCCCAACCTCAAGTCCGTCAAGGAGCTCGTCTACAAGCGCGGTTACGGAAAGGTCAACAAGCAGCGCGTCGCCCTGACCGACAACGCCATCATCGAGGAGAACCTCGGCCAGTACGGCATTGTCTGCATGGAGGATCTCATCCACGAGATCTACACTGTCGGCCCCAACTTCAAGCAGGCCTCTAACTTCCTCTGGCCCTTCAAGCTGAGCAACCCCAACGGTGGCTTCCGTCCCCGCAAGTTCAAGCACTTCATCGAGGGTGGTGACCTTGGCAACCGCGAGGAGGCCATCAACCGTCTCATCCGCCAGATGAACTAAGCTTTTGCTTCTTCTTCTATCCACATGATGACACGGATTGGTCTTTACAAAAATTGGGCTCGGCATGGTTGCTCGGCGTTAACAGGGACAATACCTAGGTTGGAATTGATTCCATGATGAATGACACTGAGCTACCATCTACGTGACTAGTCCCTTGTTCTTCAATGTGATTCATTGATATTTGCGTAATATGCAAGTGCACTCGCCCGTGTAGGTTGATGATTGATGCCGATGAAAAATGTACAGTCTATTTATGCCTTAATGTCGAAGCTCGTGCCGCAGCCGCAGCTGGACGTTGCAAGAGGGTTATCCACGATTTTGAACTGCGACCCGATCAACTCTTGCGTAAAGTCCACCTTGCTGCCCTTCAGCAAATCCAACGATGGCTCGTCCAGGATGATTCTTGGTGCTTCCGGCACCGGTGCAGTGCCATCCTCGGCAAACTGGAAGATCGTGTCGTCCTCCCGTACCACCTCGGCTCGTTTCGGGTCTTCTGGCGGTGGGATCGTCACCAAGCTCATGAGATATTGGAAGCCGTGGCAGCCGCCTGACTCGACTTGGATGCGTAGGGCAAGGTTCGGGTTGGCGTCTTTTGTCATGATCGTTGTCAGACGCTATTGTACTCTGTAAGCCTACTGTACTGCGAACAAGGTGAACGTAACCAACCTTTGCTGCCCGTGGTGTGATCTCGAGTATCATGTCGTTGCCATCTTCATCCTTCAACGGATTCCGCACACAAACTGTGGCCTTCCTAGCATGGGACGCAGAGAAGTGCCTAACGTCCATAGGCGTCATGAAAGTGCATCCTCGTAGTGTTGGGGCTCCCTGGGCGGTTGTCCCTCGTGGCGACATTCTCTTGGAAGCGCATCGTGGGATGAGGAATTCGAGAGGGGCAGACTCAGGCGTCGGTCGGGTTGCTGCTGAAGAGTACTCGCGACTAGCAATCCTCAGGAAGGACTTTGCTGTAGAAGAGGCATGTGCGCAGCGTATTGACGCCATGGCTGTTGCTTGCTTGTTGGTTTGGCTGTTGAACCGAGTCAGAATGTTGTTGCTGAGAAATGGGCTATTATGGCTGCGTGCGATTTGTCCCGTTGAATTCCCGGACGGCCGTTCGATTTTTGGAACGCCGCTCGGAGCCGCCTCAATCATCATGACATAAGCAGCACCCGGCGCTGATACAGGGTAGGCAGAAGCCCGGAGAAACGTGCGCCCGTTGGCAGAGAGTCGCCGGCGCCTGGCGCAGGTACGTACTTTCTGCCACAAGAAGCCCCAGGAGGTGGCCCCCACTTGCCCACCAAAAATCAGCATTTTTCACGAGATTGTTGCTGTGAGTCAACCCCGCCGCACCGAACAAGGCAAACCACGGTCGAGCACCCCTCCGAGTTATCGCTTCGGCCCAAATATTGACCTGACGAGCGTGGAACGTCAAGTACCATCGAACGCGCCTGCCGAAACGTCCGTCACACAAGCCGCCCAAGATGTCTAGGTTCTTTCGCGGTGGAGAGGAGAGCTCCAGCGAGAGTGACTCTGGCGATGAGGTGTCCATCAACGGCTCCGAAGAGTCTTCCGACGACGAGCAGCAGGTGAAGAAGCCGCAGAACAAGTTCCTGGCTGGGAACGACGACTCAGATGACGACTCGGACGAGAGCGAGGAGGAATCCGAGGAGGAATCCGACTCCTCTGACGATGATGCTGGAAAGGGAGGCGCCGACTATTTCTTGAAGGACGCCAGCTCCGAGAGTGAAGACAGCGACGACGACAAACGCTCAGCCGTCAAAAGCGCCAAGGACAAGCGTGCAGAGGAGCTGGATGCCTCGATCAAGCAGATTGAGAACGGCCAGAAGAATGGAGACTGGACTTTGATTTCCGCAGGTACGACTTGGCCGGTATCACGAGGGTTGGACCAGGCGACTAACAGCCTTTTGTGTAGAATTCGACAAGCTCAGCCGACAAGTAGAGCGTTTGCAAGGCCCCCGGGGCAAGGCACCCAAGACATGGATCCGCACCATTGCTGAGCTCGAGGATTTCATGAACGAGGCTCTCGCGAAAGCCAAGGTCACGCCCAAGAAGATGAACGCCACGCAGGCGCGCGCCCTCAACGCCATGAAGCAGAAGATCAAGAAGACCAACAAGGGCTACCAGAAGGACATTGACGCATACCGGGCGGACAAGGATGACTTTATGGAGTCGTCCGAGGAGGAGGCGCCCGCGCCGGCCCCCATCAAGGTCAAGATCCCCAAGGCATCCGACCCCATCGCCCAGCCCACCGAGGAGGACATGGAAGGTTTCACAGAGGTCACCCAGGGTGGCCGTACTGTCAAGTACAGCCCCGAGAGTATCCTCAAGCACCTGCGTGCGATCCTGGACACGCGTGGCAAGAAGAACACAGACCGATCCGAGCAGATTGGAGTGCTGGAGAAGCTGCACGCCACAGCCAACACGCCATACCAGCAAATCCGCGTTCTCTTGACCTTGATATCCTCGCGCTTCGATCTTGCCTCTGGCTCGTCAGGCGCCATGCCCGTGGAGCACTGGAAATCTGCTGAGAAGGAACTTTCGACTCTGTTCACCATCCTCGAGCAGAACAAGGAGTACGTGGTCGTCGAGAATGCCGAGGAGTGGGAAGACGACGAGAAGGTTCCCGTCCTGCAGCCTGGTGAGAAGCACATCAAGGTTGCCGGCAGCCTCGTGTCCTTTGTGGAGCGTCTGGACGATGAGCTGGGCCGCTCGCTGCAGAGCATCGACCCTCACACCTCGGAGTACATTGAGCGCCTGCAGGACGAGGGCTCCCTATACAACATCATCTTCCGAGGACTCCTCTACACCGAAGCCCTGCGCAAGGAAGACGATCTGGATGTGTCTCAGGACACTGTGAACCGCATTGTGATGCGCCGTCTCGAGCACGTGTACTTCAAGCCTGCCCAGGTCATCAAGGTCTTTGAGGACAACTGCTGGAAGGCTGTCGGCAGTGATGTCGACTCCGACATCACCGGCCGTGCCGCGTCCGCCGACGCCACCAACCTGGTGGGCACGCTCTGCAACTACCTGTTCGTCCACAGCGATGGCATTATCCGTGCCCGCGCTATGCTGTGCCAGGTCTACTTCCTCGCCCTCCACAACGAGTACTACAAGTCTCGCGACATGATGCTCATGTCCCATCTCCAGGAGAACATCCCCAACTTCGACGTGCAGTCGCAAATCCTCTACAACCGCACACTCGTCCAGGTTGGACTCTGTGCCTTCCGCAAGGGCCTCGTGTACGATGCCCAGAACACTCTGCAGGAGATCTGCGGCAGTGGCCGGCAAAAGGAGCTGCTGGCGCAGGGTGTGATGATGCAACGCTTCAACCAGGTCTCGCCTGAGCAAGAGAGGTTGGAGAAGTCGCGCCAGCTCCCCTTCCACATGCACATCAACCTGGAGCTCCTCGAGTGTGTGTACCTCACCTGCAGCATGCTGCTCGAGATCCCCCTCCTCGCCCAGACCGGCTCGTCGCCCGACGTCAAGAAGCGTGTTATCAGCAAGACCTACCGCCGCATGTTGGAGTACCACGAGCGCCAGATCTTCACCGGCCCCCCCGAGAACACGCGCGACCACGTGATGCAGGCGTCCAAGGCGCTTGCCGCTGGCGAGTGGAAGAAGTCGACCACTTTCATCCACAACATCAAGATCTGGGACCTGATGGCGAACACGGAGGACATCAAGAGCATGCTGTCCAAGCAGATCCAGGAGGAGGGTCTCCGGACGTACCTGTTCACCTACGCCCCCTTTTACGACACGCTGTCGGTCGAGACACTGGGCGCCATGTTCGAGCTGGAGCCCACCAAGGTGTCTGCCATTATCAGCAAGATGATCAGCCACGAGGAGCTTTCGGCCTCGCTGGACCAGGTCACCTCCAACGTCATCTTCCGCAAGGGCGTCGAGCTCAGCCGCCTGCAGTCGCTGGCGCTCACCCTCTCCGACAAGGCCAGCTCGCTCATCGAGACCAACGAGCGCACACTGGAGCAACGCACACAAGGCTCGTCGAATGCCTTTGACAGGCCTGGGCGAGGCCGAGGCGGCGGTCGCGGCGGTGCCCGGGGACGCGGAGGCGGTGGCCGTGGCGGCGGTAACACACAGCGCCAAGCTGGTGGGACACAGTTCACGGGCGGAGCATTGGGTGCTGCTGTCCGGGGTTAGAAAGGAAAGGGGGGACGGACTTGTTTGTTTGGAGCCCGAGGCCGGGCGGCGGCGTCGCATGCACCCATTTTCTCGTCATTTTCCACCGCTTTCCTTTGTATGTTTCCGATGATGATGATGCATGGTCAGGAAATGCTTGTTTGTTCATTCATGAGGCTACCAAAAAGGGACGAGGTCAGCGCAAGAGGGCGCCTCGCTGGGTCAGTCCTCATACTCGGGATTATGAGGCAAAGTATTATCAAATAACATATTCCAAGTTCACCAGGTTTCCTGTGATGTCGCGGTGACTGTCTGCCAGATTCATCAAGCCGCTCTATGCCCAAGCTCCACGCTCTCAGGCCGGGAAGACCCCTTCTCGCCCATGATACACGACAAGTGCAGCAGATGGCCCCTTCTCTTGCGGACGAACCACGTATACAGACCACCAGAAACATACACTGCGGCTATGCTGGGGAGTATGGGCCACTGAAATTGGTCCGGGCGAGAGAATGCAATGGTCAATGCATACGATGTCATCTCGGCCAGATTCTGGAAGGCCGCCTCGACTGTTGAAAAGGTGCCTCGGTGAGACTCCTCTACTTCCTGGGCGTTGTCAGTGTGCAATCTCAAGAGAAGCCGTGGGAAATTATATTCTGGACACACCTCTTGTACAATCAGCTGCGCACTGAGATCAAACCCCCAGAGACCGACCCGGCTGAGGGCCACAAAGAGCGTCAACCCGGTGGCTGCGATTAGGTGCGGCTTGCCAGTGCTGAAAAAGTCGGCGTAGTACCAGGCGACGCCCGCCGTCAACGTGATCATCTGCCAGGACAGACTCCATATCCCACATCGCACGGCGCCAATCTTCTTGCTCAGGCGCGGCGCGATCCACGTAGCAGACAGCTCGAGAACGGTGCTCACAGTCCGGGCCACGCCGACATAGGTCGTTGTGTAGCCAACAGCCAGCAGCCATGTGATCATCTGGCCCGAGAACGAGAGCACGGTGAGATAGAGCAGCGCGAGACTGAAGGAGGGTATGAAGGCCGGATGGCGGAAATAGAAGGGCAGAGAGGAGATGGGCAGCACGCGGTACGTCAGGCGCTTCCACAGCGAACGTGGCTCCTCATTGCTCTCCAGTGGGATGTTGCGCTGTGCAAGTGCCGGGAAGAAGCGGAAGACCTGCTCGATGCAGATGTACTCAATGGGCACGGAGACGGCACTCATGGCGAGAGTGGTGTAGATGGCAATGACGGTTGATGCAATGGCCACGTTTGAGATGACCAAAGGGCCGACAAGCTTGCAGATGAGATCGATGCGCCTCATCCGAGCATTGAGCACTGCACTACTGTCAGTTCAATGTAAGATTGTGACGGAGGTCATCACTCACATCGTCGGGCGTACGTGTTGTCCTCGGTCATGACGACGACCCAGTCTCTCTCGACAGCCACCGTGTTCATCACCGCCATGAGCTTCTCGACACAGGAAAGAATGACGGACACTCCAAACAGGCCCGTCTTTGCCTTTTCACTGAGATCCCTCGTCTCCATCGCCCAGAGCACGAGGCAGCTGGCGATGACGGAGGCACGCTGCCCAATGATGGAGGCCCTCACGACATGGAGTCGGTTGCCTTTGTCGACCCACGATCCCACCGTCTGCGCAAACAGGACGGCGGCGAACCCTCTCACCAAAGCATACACTGACATGGGCAGGAGGGTGCCTGGGAAGATGTCGGCCAGGAAGAGGACCGCACCGAATTCAAAGAGGCGCGAGTTCCACATGGACAGGAAGTGCGACGTGTACAGCCTCAATGCCAATGGCCATGGTACGGGCTGCGATGCCGGCGCAAGAAGATCGGATGATGGATCATGATCGGCAGGTCCTGAGGCTGCTGTGTGGTGATCATTCGATGGTGGTGGTGATGAGGATCTAGATTTTTCTTGCGTCAACCACACAGGCCAATGGACCACTTGCTGATTTGTCGTTCACGTTGCTCACCTCGACAGGCCAACCTCACCGCGCTGAGACTGTTGCGCCATCTCTTTGTCGATTGGATGGCTCAATGCGACGAGCTTGGAGTTTGACGACTGGACGATGATTGAGGGCCCTGATTATCTCCGTTTTGTGGTCGGCCTTATGGCGCCACATACATCCGACGGCTATTCACACTCCCGAACGATGCGATGCGATTAAGGCGTTTGATTCTGCACCAATCAGACACCATCGGGCAGCTTTATCCAGCACATGTCCCCTCCAAGGTACAATTGTCTTGGAATAGACGGACCAGAGGCTCCAGAACAATGAAGAATGACATGCGGGTGTCTTCATACCCCGCGGAGCCCCTCATCCACGTTACCCTACAACGTGGGGATACAAGTATAAGTGCTGCCAGCACGTCATCCACGACGGTCCTGTTCACATAGCTATCGAGTACGCTCTACACTTAGTTTATCGTTTGGTCTTGCTCATAGTGACAATGTCCAAGAACATCCCCCAAGGCCTGCAGCAGGCACTCGACAACACCAAGGTCGAATACCGTCAGCTCGGCAAATCTGGCCTGCGCATCTCCAACCCCATCTTTGGATGTATGAGCTTTGGCGACCGTCGAACGCTCGAATGGGTCATTGAAGAGGATGAGGTGAGCAGTGCCGTTTCTTACATCTGTCCCGAAAGTACTTGGCTAACAGAAATAGGCACTGCCTCTTCTCAAGGCTGCCTACGACCGTGGCCTGAACACATGGGACACGGCCAATGTGTACTCCAACGGTGTCTCTGAAGAGATCGTCGGCAAGGCCATCAAGAAGTACAACATTCCTCGCGAGAAGGTGGTTGTCATGACCAAGTGTCACTGGGGTGTTGGCGAGGAGCCCGGTACGCCCGCCCTCTCTCAGCTATCGCCCCCGAAACAAGACTGATCAAGGAGCAGAAACCCGTCACTTTGCCCTCCGGGGTGCCTTTGAGGCCTGCAAGGAGTATCAGAACAACTTTGGTCTCTCGCGCGCCGCCATCTTCAACCAGGTCGAGGCCTCGCTCCGCCGCCTGGACACGCCGTACATTGATCTCTTGCAGATCCACCGCTTCGACAAGTCGACGTCCCCCGAGGAGACCATGAAGGCGCTCCACGACCTCGTCCAGTCCGGCAAGGTGCGCTACATTGGCGCCTCGAGCATGTGGGCCACTCAGTTTGCGCGCCTGCAGTTTGTCGCCGAGAAGAACGGCTGGACACAGTTCATCAGCATGCAGAACCACTACAATCTCCTGTACCGCGAGGAGGAGCGCGAGATGAACCGCTTCTGCAACGACACGGGCGTCGGCCTGATCCCCTGGGCCCCGCTGTGCCGAGGCCATCTCGCCCGCAAGCCAGAGGACTTTCGCAGCACCCAGCGCAGCGCCAAGGAGGAGACGGGCAAGGCGGGCCAGTCTGCGCTCGATCAGAAGATCATTGCGCGTGTCGTGGAGATTGCCGAGAAGAGGAACTGGCCGATGGCGCACGTCGCGCTGGCGTGGATCAACAGTCGCGTGTCGGCGCCCATTATTGGGTTCAATAGTGTGGACAGGATAGAGCAGGCCATCACCGCCAAGGGCAAGACTCTGACGCCCGAGGAGGAAGAGTACTTGGAGGAGCTGTACGAGCCAAAGAAGATAGATGGGCACATGTAGAGGGTGGGTATAGGGTACGCAATTCATGTCATTGATACATTTCCTACGGATATTTTACGCGTCGTTCCTGCCTCTTCGTGCCTCGGCAATCGGTCCACCGAGGAAGGCACAGCCAGAGAAATGTGGAGTATCATCCCGCGGGCGCTAATCCCCCGTGATAACGGATAACGCCGCCATGCGACCACCAACTCAACCCCAGACTCTCCAGTGCACGTCACAACCTTCGCTCCCCATTCCACGGTCCTTCGCAGACCTGTGTAAAACCTTTTCTTCCTTTGGCCTCACCTAGCACCTGCTCAGACCCAAACGACAGCCGCCATGTCGTCAGAAAAGCCCTCACCAGAGCAGCCGCCGTCCTCGTCGGCGGCCCCCTCTGTCGACGGGGTCCATGTCGCTTCCCCAGCCCCGACCCGCTGCCAGACAATCCTCTCGTCCACAGACGCCTTTCTGGCCCGCCTCTACCGATGCACGTCGACACGATCCGGCGCCGATGTCGTCTTGTTCTTCCTCACATATGGATTTCGACTGTCGGCCAATGTCCTCGAAACCGGCTCCCGCGCCGCCATCCGCTCGTCGGCGAGTAAGCTCGTCGCCCTCGCCCTCCAGCTCCCGCCCTCGCAAGCCGTCAACTTTGCGAAAGAGGCGCCATTTGCGAACCCGTTTGTCGGGCTCGCGCTTAAGCTCGCGTCGCGACTGAGGGCTGCCGTCGCCGTGCTGACCGAGGTGCGAACCTTTGGCCGACTCTGGGGCCTGCTGGGTCTGTACTTCTCGGCCAAGAAGCTCGTCCTGTCCGCGCGGGCGAAGAAACAGGAGGGCGAGAACTCTGCCGAGCGCACATTTGACTTTATCGTCGCTGCGGCGCAGATCACATGTCTCATCTCGTTCCAAGCCACGGAGAACATCACATACCTCTCGAGCAAGAAGATCCTGGGCTTCTCCCCTGCGACGCAGGGCAAGCTCATCATGTGGAGCGTGCGGTCGTGGGCGCTCTATGTGGCGATGGAACTGGCGCGGCTGGTGGTGGAGAGGCAGCGCAAGATCTCGGCGGCCGGGGGCCGGCTCACGGAGAAGGACCAAGCGTGGTCCGAGGGTTGGAAGAGGGACTTTTTCAGAAACCTGGCCTGGTCGCCGGTCACGGTGCACTTTAGCACCCCTGGCGGGTTCCTCAGCGACTTTGCTGTCAGCGCCCTGGCGTTTCACCCGGCGCAGTCGCAGATGCGGGAGCTCTGGGCTGCGAACAAATAGGGGCATGGCCAGGGGCACGGGTCTTCGGGACCTGGGCTGTTTCGAGGCGAAGCATTGCAGGATATGGGTAAGAGCACGGTTGGATAGCAAGCGCTCCATTTTTTTGGCGAAGAGTGTGTGTATACTGTGGTGCAGAGCATATAGACAGGCCACGATCCAGGCAATTCTCTATCATTATTATGTGCATTATCTATCTACATGGGCATGCGCACCATCTCCTCCTTGGTCCAGTACTTCCTCATGTTCTCGGCACCGAGTGTCCTGACCTCGTCGTCCAGATGCGTCCACAGGACGTCGCCCCACGTCTCCATCCGCGCCTTGAGCCCGCTCAGCTCGAACTCGTACTCGCCCGTCTTGCAGCCTCGGAGGTAGTCGGCCATCCTGTCCATGCCGGCGTGGATCAGCTTGTGCTGTGCCTGCAGGTCGCCCCGGAACTCGGGCATCTTCTTGGCCAGCACCGGGAAGATGTGCTGCTCCTCAATGTTGTGGTGCACGGTGAGATGTTGAATGAAGCGCAGGCCTTCATCTAGGAATTGCTTGAGGGTGAGATTCCGAGGGCGCTTGTTGTTGCAGCATGCCTGCCAGAGGAGGTTCCATGACTGACGGAAGTTGTTGTGCTGGGGATAGGTCAAGTGTCAGTGAATGATGACGAAGTGAGTGAGGGGGGCGGCGGCTTACAAAGAGGTCCATGTGGTCGGCCATATTGTTGTAGATTCGAAAGTCATGATCTGATAGCGGCGGGAGTTTCTCCTCGGCCGCGGGCGACGCTGCCGCTTTGCTGTCGTTGGCTGACATTTTGTGTATGAGAGACTGTGCTGTGGGTGCGCCTGCGCGGGATGAAGCACGTCGTGATGCTAGTAGATAAGCAGGCGTCGGATTTCGAAGGGGCGTCAACGTCGTGGCGGTACACAAGGCAGTTCTGCAACGGCGCGCGAGGTATCTCATCTGTCTACTCGTGCTGCGAATGGCCGGATACTACTACGTACGGATACAGGTTGGGGGGTTTGTAAGTGCTTATGAAGCTCTCGGTCTCATTCAATATTTTCCAATCTCCATTGATAATTCCATTTTGGGCTGCCGCGCGGGTTCCTGATGAAATACAGACTTGCTGATTGGCTGGCTAGGCCCAAGATCCATTCCCGATGGGGCGAACTTGGTCAGTTCAGATCTTGAAGGGTTTCGGGCTTGATGCGCGGATCACTCGCAGTTCTCATGTTTGGAAATATGCCATTTGAGTCAAGCTTCATTCAAGAAAGTCTTGGAGATAGGAGGACACCTATATTGAATATGCTATCTGCTGTCCCAAGGTAATTATGTACACATATACCAACGTAGATGTCTGTTCACAACGTTCAGGGTACCTAGGTCAGCGCAGAGGCCTACCTCGGGCTTGAATAATATCCATAGCACGAAGTTTGAGTCTTGATTTAGTTCACCAAATTGCACATTTGCTTGTGCAGGTCCTACCTACTAGCCTAACTACTCCAGGGTGTATAGCTCGTTCCAAGTACACCAAGTGCACCACCGCGACTCTCCACGCCACATAGCCATCTACGATACGCGGAAGAGGTCTTCTCATTTTCTCATCAGGACTGCATTTTGTGTACCAAAATGGTAGTTCAACCAAAAGGGCTCGATCTTCCTGTCTGCCCCCATCCCCTGTTGCAGATTGGAGAACGGATCCCGCCTCGCCCCTGTTGGACTGACGAAAGGTTGAAGTGCACCGTCGAGACCGAACAGACTTGCTTCGCCTCCGCATCGCTCGCTCTGGCCGACTGAGGAATGCCGTCTTGCGGCAACGACTGCCCGAAGCGAAGGCGTAGCGGGGCCTAGGTCAGCCTAAGGATCCTTGGTGACGCCGCAGTCGTGGAGGCGCGAGCGGAATGCGATGCACAGTCCAAGTAATAATCTATCATGGCGATGCCGCAGCGGGTTAGGTGAGATTTGAGAATGGGCTGGCCCAATCAGAGGCTGCTGGGTACGAGCAGTGACTGTGGAACGCGACCTATGACGTGTGGGGGGTTTGAACGTTGGGGGCCACAAGGCTGCCGAGCTGAGCTATCCTCGACGATCCATGGGTTTGCACTGCGAAGCCCAACATGCTGGTGCCATGTGTGTACGTGGCACGGTTCAAGGCTGGCCCACGAGTATGGCATATAAGATGACCGCTCGACGCTCCACGTTGGCGGCCAGATGTGCCCTGAGTCTTGGTAGACGCAGCTCCCCCCAGATCTCCGTGCCTAGTCTTAGGAAAGAGCAGACATACACTCCTTCCTCACTCATATACATTGACTCCCTCAGAGTTGAGAATGCGCTCTTCACATCTTCTCACACTGCCAGCCTTGGCACTGGCAACGCCATTCGACCTCAAGTCCCGACAGAACAACGTGAACTCTTCCGGTATCACCTGGGGAAAATGCCACGATCCCTTGATCCCTGGCAATTCGAGCCTGCAATGCGGCTCGCTCGATGTCCCTCTTGACTACACCAACGAAGACTCTGGTGCAACCCTGGCCCTGGAGATTGTGCGCGCTCCAACCCCCAAGGTGCCCAGCAAGGGCAGCATCTTCTTCAATGCTGGAGGTCCTGGTGCTTCCGGCATTGAAGACCTTGTGGCTCTCGCTTCCAGGATTCAATTGTAGGCTGCCCACGGAGGTGACATATGGACAAGAGCAAACCACCAACACTGACGTGTGCAGCACCACCAACTACGATTACGACATTGTCAATATCGTTCCTAGAGGTACCAACAGCACCCTGCCCTTCTCATGCTACCAGGACACGGCGTCATCCACCTACGCCGGGCTCACCCTAGCTGCATCGGCATATGACACCGCTCCGGCCAATATCTGGGTGCAGTCCCAGCTTTTTGCGGACAATTGCGCCGCGATGCAGACAGAGAACGGGACACTCATCGGAACGGCCTTTACGGCCCGCGATCTGATGCGTGTGGTGGACGTGCTCGAGGAGGATGGCCTTCTCCGCTACTGGGGTATGTTCAACCAAGGCCGGATCGTGTTATGAATCTGACTGAGACTAACTGTCTTCAAGCTCCCTCTTACGGTACCCTGTTGGGTGCCACGGTCGCCGCCATGTTTCCCGACAAGATCGACAAGATGGTCTTGGACGGCGTCGTCAACCCCACTCTATACTACCGCAACAAGTGAGTATAGCATAATGGACTCCCCTGAATAATAGCAACTGACCTCGCGTGAAGTGAGAGTGAGACGTTCACCAGCATAGACGGCACTTTCAATGGGTTTTGCGTAGGCTGCGCCGAGAACCCCGACAAGTGTCCATTGGCCATGAATCAAACGGCCGACGAGGTGAAGCAAGGTATCTTCAAGATGCTCGAGGGGTTGCGCACTGACCCCTTGGCGATTCCAACACCCGGTGGCCCTCTTGGTGGTATCGTGCTTGACTATAGTTTTGTCAAGAACCTCATCGGCTCAAGTCTGTACTACCCCAGCAAGTGGTCTGGCATGGCCTCGCAGCTCTTTGCTGTTCAGCAGCGGAACCTCACGCTTATTTCTGAGATTCTTTCGGCCGGCGCTGCAGGCGGCGGCGATGCTACTGGATCCAACGCCCTGCAGACCGCCGTCGCCCCTGACAGCAACGCGCGCGATGGTATCAAATGCAGCGACGTACTGACGCATGCTGCGAACCGCAGTGAGTTTCAGTCCGCCCTCGACGCTCGCCATGCCGCGGGATACTTTGCCGATGCCGCGGACGACCTGCCTACGCGATGTGCGCAGTGGAAACTGCCTGCCAAGGAGCGCTACGACGGCGATTTTAAGGTCAAGACCACCAAGCCGATCCTCCTTATCAACAATGAGTTCGACCCGGCGACGCCGTTGGTATCCGCAAAGAACGTGTCGGAGACTTTTGAGAACGCTGTGCTGGTGGAGCAGCGAGGTGGTTATGGTGTAAGTCTCTTCTGTCAGTGGATTTGGTTGTGGTTGAGCATTTCGAGCTGACTGTGGTATAGCATACCATTTGGGCCCACGTGAGCCCCTGCACAGTGCAACACATTGCGACGTATTTTGCGAATGGTACGGTCCCTGAGAAGGGTGCCATATGCGATGTCACTGTGCCGCTCCTGTCGGGCCTCACCGGATGGGAGGAGATCCTCGGAGCTTGAGTTGTAATTCTGGATGCAGCGAGTCTTTACTTGACCTGGGGCGATTGCGAAAGAGAGTAGATGGGTCCATGACCACAATACTAATGCTGATTTATACTGATTCTACTCTGTCGTCCACTACTCAAAAATCTCTAGGCCTACCAGGTCCGGGGCCCAGTGACCGTCGTCAAAGCCGCTGAAGACAACAGTGTTCTCGTCCCCAGCAACAAAGCCGTCCAGGGCAACCATCAAGCGGCCCGTCTCGTACCAGTCGCCCCCCGCGAGAGGGAACGCCCAGCGCTTGGCCTCGTTGTCGTTGACGGCGAAAGTCATGTTGCGCGTGTTGGTGGCCCAGTCACCAATGGTATGTGTGTACTCGTAGTTGATAAAGTCAATGCCAACAAAGATCTCACCGCTGTGCGCAGAAGAAACGCCCTCAAAAGTGACGCTGGCGTCGGCGTTGATGGAGCCGACCTTCAAATGGTTGGGAAGACAATCATCAGCGCCGCAATCGACGAGCGCCGCCTGGCCGCCAACAGTCGCGTCCTGTACCGAGTAGTAGGCTATCGACGAGGGCTTCTCGGTGGTCTCGATGTCACTCAGCACCAGGAGACGCAACTCGTGCGGCTTGAGCTCAAAGGTCTGCACGCCTGAGATGGAGCCATCCTCATGAGCCCAGACGTCGCGCGAGGCAGCCGAGCTCACGCCGACGAGGCTCAGGTCCACCTCGACGGTTTGCGTCTCGTTCTTCCAGTTGGCGATGCCGAGCACCATGCGGTCGTCGGAGAGGGGACCGGCCCAGACGTCCCACTCCTCCTCGGTGTAGCGGATGACGAGCGCGGCGGCTTTGGCGAGGGGATCCTGGTTGATGGCGATAACCTCCTCGTTCCGCATGACCTCGAGGGAGGACGCGGGGATCTCCGCCTCGACCAGGACGCCGCCGATGATGAGGGGGGACTTGAGCATGGACCAGAAGCCAAAGTGGAAGTGTTCCTCTTCGACGGACAGTGCGTTCAGACCGATGCTGCACAAGGGGGTGAGAAGGTGATTCCTCGGGAATGAACACTTCCATCACGGGTGGACTTACATGAGCATGTCGAGGTCGGCAAAGGCGCCGGGCCCCGTGTGCTGGACGTGGGGGACGGCCTGGTTGACGATGCGCCAGAGGGCGCGCCAGGCGTTGAAGATGTCGTTGCTCATCCGCCAGCTGTTGCCGAGGGGCGCGGTCCAGTCCGGGACGTTCTGGCCGATGCCCCACTGGCAGAGGAAGTACTGCATGTCGCGGTCGGTCTGGTTGAGGGCTTTTTCCATGGTGATGAAGCGGTCCGGGCTCTGGGACTCGGGGGACGTGACGTCGACCATCTCTGTTGGCGAGGTGGAGTAGCAGTTGTCATATCTGGGAGTGTCAGGGGTGGGATCTGAGGGGAGTGTTAAATGGAGATACGTACTTGAGTGTGTCGCCTCCCCAGTCTGCGAATGCCTGGGCATCAATTTCTTCATATCCTGCAAAATGTCAGTGATGAGACTGTTTCACAGGGCATAATTATGACACTCACCAAGAGACGCAGGAGTGTCGGGAAGCCCACACATCCGGTACCCAGCGCCAGAGTACAGGCCGAACTTGAGGTCCAGATTGTGAATAAAGTCGCCCAGTGCCTCGGGGCCCGAGGGGAACGTCTCCTTGTCCCACTGCAGCCTGTCCTGTTCGTCGCGCGTGGTGGCTGCCCAGCCGCAGTCCACTGTGACGATGTTGTAGCCGAGGTCGCGGAAGCCCAGGTCGACGAGACCCTGGGCGTTCTGCTTGATGATGGTCTCGTTGGGTTGGCAATTGTAGTGGTTGTAGCTGTTCCATCCCATGGGGGGTGTGGGGGACTTGACCGTTGTGCCGTAGACGGCCGGTAAGGCAGCGGCGAGCACAGTTATTCTTGAGGTGATGAACATGGTGCCGAGGTGAGGAGGGGTTGGGGGTGATTTAGGGAAGTGAAGCTGGAGGCTTGCGGGTAGACGAGGAGAGATTGAACTTCTTTATACGTTGGCAACCCGCCTGAACATTGACGTCCAGATTGCACTTGGCAAGCACATATCAATGGCCTAGCGTAACAACCTGCAATGACTATAGGCACGCGTAAGAGACCTAAGTAAGAATAAGGTCCTGCCCCGGATCGACGAGCATCTGCCGTCCGCAACGTCGTATTCCGCCTCGCGGGGGTGCTCTCCCATAGGACCGCTTGAGAGCACGTTCGGGCACTGCCGATCCCTTGCGTAGACTGCATGTTCAAGGTCCTAACAGGGAAGGTATAAAACTGAAGACCATGCATCTACAGCGGAAGTCTCTTCGGAAAGATCGTATAGACTCGGAAGGCTCGCGTTAGATAATGCGAGGACGTTTGGACAACTGGGGGAAGTGATGGTGTCCGGAGGTCCCTCCGGGTCGGACCCACAAATCGCGGCCCTGCTCCGGACGTTGGCCGGAACCTTGATTCTTCCCGTCATCGGCATGTACAAGGGGTGTCTATAGGAACCTCTCAGATCTGACCTTATCAGGAGAGAAGAAAATGAGAATGGATAGGCAAGTCAAATTCAATCCTGGGTCAAATTCAGAAGGTGATCAACGAAGAGATACAGATGAGCGGTTCAATGTGGTTAGTGAATATCTGCCTACCCTACGTATGTCTATCGTTACTGGAGTGGACATCACTTACGCAACTATACCGTCTACACGTCCTTAGCTTTACTTGGAACGGGGATATTTAAGCTTATGAGGAATTTCTTTTGCAAAGTATGAATGTAAACGCTAAAACCGGATTCCCCCCAAAACTACCAAGCAGTATGCCTTCCGTCTATCACAATGTTACTGCCCGTCACAAAGGAACTGGCGTTGCTCAACAAGAAAAGCGCAGCACCCTTGAACTCGCTCGTCGTCGCTAACCGACCCATCATGTTATCTTGCGCCCAGCTCTCCACCAGCTCGGGCTTCTCCTCCATCTCCTTCTTGATCATGGGCGTCATGATATACCCAGGGCTGATGCAGTTCACTCTGATGCCGCCCGTGCCATCCTCCCGAATCGGTGTCCACTCCATGGCGAGACTGCGCGCGAGCTGTATGAGGGCAGCCTTGGACGAGTTGTAGACGGGCGAGATGAGTCCCTTGTTGGCGACGAGGCCCGACATGCTGGCGACGATGCAGATGCTCCCGCGACACTTGTACTCCATCATCTTGCGGGCGGCAATGGTGGCCGTCATGAGGACGCCGGTGTAGTTGATGTTCATCATGGCGTTGGCGTCCCTGGCCGTGTACTCGGTGGCCGGGGTGACCTGCTGGAAGGCGGCTGCCGCGAGGACGCCATGCAGTCCTTTGTGCTCTCGCGCAATTGAGTCAATGAGGTGCTCGAGCTTGTTTGTGTCCCCAATGTCGATCTGGCGGTACTCGAGGGAGCCACCGAACTCGGGCTGGACGCGCGACAGGGCTTCCTCCCACCCTGCGACGGGGGGCGGGGCCATGTCGAGGCAGTAGACTATGGATCGATCATTGTCAGTGCTTGTGTCAGAGGTCTGTTCTGGCAGTGTGGGCTCACCTCTCCCTCCAGCTTCGACGAGTCCTTCCGCCAATGCCAGACAAAGGCCTTGGGCTCCGCCAGTGACGATAAATGTTTTACCGCCAAGGTCAAAGTCGGCGAAGCGTTTTGCACCGACTTTGGTCTCCTCAGGTAGACCGTTGCCGGTGATGGAGTCGATTCTGGAGCCCATTGTGCTGTGTTGGTGTGGGCAATTGAGATGTAACCTGGATTTGTGAGATCTGTAGTGTCGAGTGATTTGATAGACAAGAGCACAAGGACGACGGTTTAAGCTGCAGTAAGTTTGTTGATGGAATCCATTTATACCCTCATGCTTGGAGGATTGCCACCCAGAGAGGCTGGAATCTCCTCAGCTCTGATGACCCTGGAGATACGTCCGGATTGCGCTCCTCAAGTCTGACATTTGGCTTGATCAAGCGTCACTCTCACGATGATGGCATGTAGTCGTGGCGTTCTACGTAATCTTGATAGCAGCGTCACCGACCTGGGTACACAATGTGCCCATGCATGTAGAGATCGTCCGGGGCGGAGGTCCGCTCATCTTAGCGACAAGCGGGCGACTCGGAGGTGATGTCCGGTGGCCGTGAATAGAAACTCAATTGGGGTCAGATAAAAGTGCAATGATCATCCTGTCACGCAGAAAAGTCCTATGACAGGATTCAATCCGTCCATGATCGCCCGTGGCTCGATTGGCGACAGGCAACTGAATGGTCCACATTATCGGTATGTTTGTTGACGGCATATTGTCGTGATGATGAAATCATGCAGCGCGAAGATTGACCTGGTTTACGGCGACTCTGCTAGATGGGAAAGTACACAATGCCATTGAGAATCGTCGATCGGCTCACGTAAATGAGGGACAACCAAGATGAGGATCGCTTCGCTGCCGGGGAGAAAGGTCCTCTTCATGCTTGTCGCTTTGAACAGTGTCCTACACCCCCCAATGACGGCGAGCGGGACATTTGCTCAGCAAATGGAATGCGAAACAGACTGGTATGTGGCGCTGAGACCACTTGCGAGTCTGGATTGGAAAATAGACATTGTTGTGGCTACACGGCTCATTAGACCAGGCGTCCTACGCCTTCTCCCCAGACTTGCCCCCATCCTTAAAAGTAGGCCGTGACTTCTTGAACAAAAAGACCAGGCAGATGGCCAGCCCAAGCCCAGCCGTCCCCAGGCCTATATACAACCCCCCACGGAACCCCTTGAGCATGCCCGTCTTGGTGTCCTCGGGTCCATGCACCTGGCTGTCAACGGTGCCGGCAAAGCCCACGCCGAGCGCGATGCCGTAGTTGACGCACGTGTTGACCAGACTCGCGCCGATGCCCTGGTGCTTGCGCCCGACGGCGTCTGACAGGATCAGCGTCGCGGCGGGGAAGCTCATGTCCATGCCAAAGGGCATGATGAGCATCGACACAAAGATCTGGCCCCAGTACACCTGGTCCACCGGCGCAAAGGCTGTCAGCGCCACGCCCGTGGTGAACGCCGCGAGGGCCATGGTCATGACGAGCGCGGGCCGGACCTGCCAGGGGCCCAGCAGCTTGCCCGTCACAATGGCCGCGCAGGCGCCCGCGATGGTGACGGGGCTGAACCACGCGACCGTCAGGAGAGGCGAGAGACCGCGCACGTTCTGCAGGATCTGCACCAGGTACAGCGTCCAGATGCCAAAGGTCGCCCAGCCGCACGCCACCGCGCCCAGGACAAAGGCCACGTCCGAGTTGACGGCCGAAAAGGGCAGCAGGGGTCGCGTAGCGTACTTGAACTCGAAGAGGGCAAAGACGCCAAAGAGCGCCAGACCCAGCACCAGCGGCACCAGCACCGTCGCCGTGGCCCAGCCAGAGATGGGCGCCTGCGTCCACGCAAAGTTGAAGAGGACCAGCGCGACGACACCAGCCAGAGCACCCGGCACATCGAGCGTCTCGCACCACGCCTTGAGCCCCTTGGGTAGAACGCGAGCCCCTGGGCATGGCGGGACGGCCCAGACAGCAATCACTGCGAGGACAGCAAGGACAATGGCCATCGCCCAGTTGGCCCAGGGCCACCAGGCCAAGGCGAGGAGGGACCCAAAGACACCGCCCAGGACGCCGCCAATGGGCGCCACGGCGCCAAAGAAGGCAAAAACCATGGCCTTGCGGTGACCGGGTGGGTAGGTGGCGCCAAAGATGGCCAGCGCGTTGGGCAGGCAGATGGCGGGCCCGATGCCCTGGAGGACGCGGGCGAAGACGGCGAGGGTGTAGTTGGCGTAGACGCTGAGACCCGCGACGACGGACCAGAGCGAGAACCAGGCGTAGCCGATGATGAGCATGCGCTTGTAGCCAAAGATGTCGCCCAGACGGCCGGAGAAGAGGATGAAAGTGCCGACGGTGAGCGAGTAGCCGCCCACGAGCCAGGCGAGACGGGGCGCACTGGTGATGCCAAAGGACTCGCCTATGGGGCGTAGGAGGACGAGGGTGCCCAGGTACGCGGACTCTAGGATCGGGTGAGTAGGAGGGTCATGATGGATATGGGGTTTGATGTGGATAGAGAACTCACGGGTGAGGAGCTGGGCCATGCAGACGACTGCGACAAAGATGGCCTCGCGCGGGAAAGACATTGTCTGCGCGGCCCAGACGGAGCTTGCATGAGACGCTGTGTTGGCGAGAATCTCGCCTTGGTGATGGCTGTCATCGTTGCTGTCGTTGTCGTCATGGTCGTGAAGACTCCGAGGAGTGTCGTTGACAGTCGTGGCGGCGCTCTCGTGGGCGGCCATTGTCGCTGACGATCAAGTCTCCTTTGTGCGTATGGCTTTTACCCTGCCAGTAACAAACGAAAGAAATGAGAGATATCAAGACTCATAGTTCGTTGGGTTAGTGAAGAAAAAAAAAAAAATCTGCCTTGTCGATCAACGACTGGAGATTGCGAGCGAGGCCGCGTGCCGTTCTCGGCCGGTGGGTGGGAGAGGATTAATCAGAGTTGATTCAGCTCGGGTTATCAATCAATCAGTCATCCTTGTTAAGCTATTTGAAGAAACGCCCCATTGCTGTTGTGGGTTGATGAAGAAATGCCGTATCCACGACTTTAAGTGCCGGCGTCCCGCGGTGTGCACTATCGGGTAAGCAGATCCGGGTATCTAAAGGGTAAGCAGATCCAGCAAGCTCAAGGGTAGGCAAATGCGAGCCGGAGACGTTCCAACCAAAGTCAAAGATCGGTGAACCCTCCTTGCAACCCACCATCCAGTCCGCCGCCATCCTGTCTCACCCCCCGATGGCCCCCAGGTGGAAGTTCAAGGCCGTCCCAGACGTCTTCAGGGACCTCTCCGAGCTCCAGAACAATCCAAAGGACAAGGTGACGACCCAGCCTAACCTCGGTCTCCTCTCACGCTCCTACCCCACCGATGACACCCAAGAGCACGGACAGCAGCAGGAGAGTGACTGGGCGCGTTTTGTTCGCTACGTCTCGGCCTTGAACCATCAGTCGTCATCCGACGTGCGGTACAAGGTGCTCTACCTGACCCGACACGGCGTCGGCTACCACAATTTCAAGAGCGCCGAGGTGGGCGAGGACGCGTGGAACGTGAGTCCCGCGCCTGTACGAAGGGGGCCAGCCAGCTGACATCTCATGCCGGCGAACTAGAACAACTGGTCACTCAAGGATACGGATGGCGTAAACACCTGGTTCGACGCCTTCCTCGCCCCCGAGGGAGAGACCCAGGCCGGAGAACTGAGCACGTTCTGGTCCACGCTGACGTCGGCCCAGGGGGCACCCCTCCCGCAAAGGGTGTACACGTCTCCGTTGGCGCGTTGTCTCCAGACGACAGAGTTTGTCTACGGGCCTCTGTTTCCCAAGGAGAAGTTCCATCCTATTATCAAGGAGGATCTGAGGGAGAGGTGGACGCTGCATACGTGTGACCGGCGGCGAACCAAGTCATGGATCGCGGAGAACTGGGTGCCCAAGGGGTACGTATTCGAAGATGGTTTCGCTGAGGAGGACGAGCTGGCCAAGAAGGACGACAGACGCGAGAGTGACGAGGAGCATGGCGCGCGAAAGCAGCGTGCCCTGGAGGATGTGTGGAATGCGGACCAGGGCGAGGAGTTTGTCGCCCTCGTGTGTCACTCCATGGCCATCAGGGCTATTCTGGCTGTCGTTGGGGCCAACATGTTCAGGGTGAGGGAGGGCTCAAGCATAGCGTTGCTCGTCAAGGGCACAAAGATGGGGTAGATAGACGGGAGTTTATGGATCGAGTGGTCAGCGCCATTGAGTCAGACAGGGAACATACATGTCATCGACTAACTATATAGAATTATCCAGAAATCCTTCGACAAAAGAAATAAAGTAAACAAATAACCCATCTACTCAGAAATAAAGAAAGAGCCCAGCTTGGCATCAGGCTCCTCGCACAACCGCATCAGGATGCCCTCCAGCTGGTCATACAGCCTGTTGATCTCCTCGGGCCCCACGCACAGTTTGTTGTACGTCGTGCGCCAGTCGTACTCCTCCTCGCCGAGCATGCACTGCACCGCGATCAGCGTCTGCGTGTATCCGTCCGCCATCTCCACCGACGAGAACTTGGCCTCGTCGCTGACGATGATGGCGTCCGTGGCGGAGGACTGGTCTGCGTTGGACGAGTCCGCCTTGGCTGGCTGCAGCGCGATGCGGTTCGTCGGGTGCGTCAGCGTCGAGGCGACTTCGGGGCACAGCTCGGCGAGCTTGTCTGTGCCAAAGTGCTCGTGGGGAACGCCTTCGGCCGCCATGAGCTGCAGATTCGCGAGATACTCGGTGACGGACTGGTCCTTGGGCAGGCGCACGCGTACGGGCACACGTGCGGTGGTCAGACCGGCGACGGACTCGAGACCACGTAGGGGTGCCTGACGACCGGACGACGTGTGCGTGAACAGGACGTCATCTCTCTGGAGGTTGATACCGAGGGCAATGGACCAGGCACCCGTCATGAGCGTGGCAGTAGTGACGGTGGAGTCCGGGCGAGCAGGCAGCGAGAAGCAGCGACGCAACATGGCCGTGACGCCCGTGGTCGGTGTCCCTGCGGGCGGTGGGTTGGGCCAGATGGTCTCCTGCGCACCCTCAAGTTGCTTGGTCCAGTACTGGGCCGCCGCGTCCATGTCGATGCCGCGCGAGAAGCGGACGAAGCCAGCATACGGCTGCAGGGTCAGCGGTGGCACGCCATAGTAGAACTGGTGCATGGCGGTGACGACGAGACCCATGGTCCAGCCATCGCAGACGGCGTGGTGGTGGATCCAGACACAGTAGTCGTGGCCATCGTCACGCACAATCGCCTGGCGGGAGAGAGGCGAGCCGTAGGTCATGTTCATGCCCTCGTTGGGAGGGAAGCGCGAGGCGACGTAGGACCGCACCGTCTTGTGCCCAGAGACGTCTTCCCACTCACAGGGACCCTTGAGGACGGCTTGCTTGGCCACGCCATCGACCAGGACGATGCGGGTGCGCAAGATGGGGAAGTGCTGCACCAGCGCCTCCCAGGCTGCCCTGAAACGGGCCACGTCGACGTGATCGGGCAGACGCCAGACGCGGGCGGCCATGAAGAGCCCAGGGCCCTTGGTGGTTGTCTTGACAAAGGCAGCCTGCGTCGTATGCGTGGGGAACGCGTCTTCCAGTGCCGGCAGCGTGGGCAGGTTGCCCTGCTTCTGCACCTCACGCGCAATGACCTCGATCTCGTCGGGCGAGTCGAGCAACTCAAACGGCGCCACGTCCAAGGTCTGGTACTGGGTGCCGCCTGTGGTGGCCAAGGCCAGGGCAGACAGACGCGAGTCCTTGAAGATGGTGGCGACCGTCAGGCCGAGATTGTGTTCCTGGGCCTTGGAGGCCAGTTTGATGGCGGTCAGCGAGTCACCTCCGATCTGGAGGAACTCATCGTTGCGTCCGACCTCTTCGGGCTTGAGGCCCAGGATATCGCACACAAGAGTCTGCAGCGTGGCCTCAACCTCGTTCTGGGGCTGCACCTTTGTCTCGCTGGCCGAGTAGTAGTACGATAGGTCCCCAGGAGAGAGGCCATCCGTCATGGCCTTGAGCGTTTTGCGGTCCAGCTTCATCGACGCCCCAATAAAAGGCATCTGCCGCACCGGGAAGACAATGGTAGGCACCATGTACCCTGGCAGAACCAGCCGCAGCTGGCTCGTCAGTTCCGCGCGGAACTCCTGCATCTCCTCGCCCAAGGGCAAGAAGAATCCATCCTCCTCTCCTCCATTGTCCACCTCTTTCTTGAAGCTGACATACGCCACCAGAACCTGGCGGGTGTCCAGCTTCATAACCCCGGCAGCGGCGTACTCGATCTTGTCAGAAGCCTTGATGATGCGGTCTTCCACCTCGCCAAGCTCAATGCGCTGACCACGGACCTTGACCTGTGTGTCAACGCGACCGTGGTACTCGAGAGAGCCGTCGGCATTGTAGCTGACCAGGTCACCCGTCTTGTAGAAGCGCTGGTGCCGGTGGCTGAGCGAAGCAGGCATCCAGTGCATGGGGCCACGCAGGAAGCTGGCCTTGGTCTTGTCCTCGTCGCCAATGTAGCCACGAGCGAGAGCGCGCCCCTGGATGAGAAGCTCACCAACACAGCCAATGGGCGAGAGCTTGTTGTGGTCGTCTGCGTCCACAATGTAGGCACTATGCGCCAAGTACTGTCCGATCGTGGTAGGCGAGGCGTCGCGGGACGTCCATTCGTTGACAGCGCTCATGATACATCCCTCGGTCGGTCCGTACCCATTGAGAAGTCGGACCTTGCCGCACCACGTCTGGATGTTGTCCTTACCGGATGCCTCGCCGACAAGCTGCAGCACCTTGAGCGTCGGGAGTTGCGCGGGCTGAATGGTGCGCACAAACGAGGGACTGAAGAGTGCCACGTTGGTGCGCGAACGGGTGATAAAGTCTGCCGTGCTCTGCAGCCTCTCTGACTCGGCCGCCATGCAGAGCGTGCCGCCATTACCGACGGCAGCCCACAGCTCGAGGATGGAGGCGTCAAAGGCGAAGCTGGAGAACTGCATGCAGCGGACGTCCTCGTTGTCGGGGGCATACACGTGCACCTGGTTCATGAGACTGGAGAGAACGGGCCCATGCTCGATCATGATGCCCTTGGGCTTGCCAGTGGAGCCAGAAGAGAAGAGAATGTAGGCCGCGTTGGCAGGTGTGGTGCGGTCCTGAAGTTGAGAAGGCAACACAGTGGCCTTCATCTTGCTGATGGCATCGAGAGAAACCTCGACAATGGTGGGAACAACGCCTCTAAAGTCGGCGACGTTGTCGGGCGTGACCACCATGTGCTTGGCGTTGACCTGGGCAATAATTTCCAGGCGACGCTCGATGGGGTGTGACGGGTCGAGAGGAATGAAGACAGCGCCTGACTTCATAACACCAAAGAGCGCTACGATGGCCCACATTGTCTTGTCGAGACACAGAGGAACAGGTGTCTCGCGGCCGACACCAAGCTCGATAAGGTGAGTAGCCAACTTGTTCGACAAGTCGTCGAGCTCGGCGTAGGTGAGCGAGCCAGCGGTGGTAAACACAGCCTCCTTGTTGGGCATCCGCTGGGCTTGTTTGCTGAAGAAGCCGTGAAGAGTGTCATCGACAGTCATGGGCTCGCGCTGGTTCCAGGAGGCGATCTTGTTTTGGTCCCAGACGCCAGCAACCTCGACTTGGGTCAGGGGCTTCTGTCCCGCAATGCAGAGCTGGCGAACGACATGGTCGAGATGGTTCGACAAGGCTTCTACCCGGGCGTCGGACAGGGCACGAGTGTTGTAGACGAGGGAGAAATCAACAGAGTCTTCGAGAATGACACCCTCCACCACAAGAGGGTAGCTGTGGTAACCATCCATGGCATCGCCCAGCTTGTCAGAAGCAGAGCTCACCATGGCTTCGTCCCCATCACTCTCCGTGTCACCGCCTTGAGCTGGCTGCGCGACGAAGAGCGTCTGGAAGTTGGTGGCTTCCTTGACCTCGTCGCCCAGCTTGGAGATGTTTTGCAAGCCAAACTGTTCGTACGAGGTCATCTCAAAGGCCTGGCTCTGCACATTGTGCAAAAAGTCCCTGACCGACTGCGTGCCGTCAAGGCGGACCCGGACAGGCACTGTGGCCAAAGCAGGACCAGGCATGCGCTCTAGTCCTGCCACGGGTGCGGTACGACCGGAGACGGTGGTACCGAACGTCACGTCGTCCGTCTCTGAGTAGCGTGCGAGGACAATGGCCCAGGCAGCCCTGACGACGGAGGCGCGCGTGATGCCTTGCTCGAGCGGCGTCTCGGGCCATGGCACGCTCTTGGCCACGCGACGTGTGATGCTCTTGGGCGAGACGTCAGTCTCAGAGGCTTTGATCTCGGGAGGGAACGAAGCGCGCTTGGCGCCTGTGAGCTGCTCCCTCCAGTAATTGACAGCCGCCTCGTGGTCCATCTTGAGGACGTGCTGAATGAAGCCGGAATAAGGCGCCATGGGGGTAGGAGAAGCACCCTCATAAAAGCTCCGCAGGTTGTTCAAGATGAGGCCCATTGTCCAACCATCAAAGACGGAGTGGTGGCTGATGAGGATCAGATAGGTGTCCTCGCCTTCCGTGATGAGGGCATAGCGACTGAGGCGAGTTCCATAGCCCATCTCGAAGAGACTAGACGCGTCAATGAATGCCTTAACATCCATGTTACCCGTCTCCTCCCAGGCAATATCGTTGGAAACGACAATCTGAACAGGTGCACCGGCCATATCGAGCATACGTGTCCGTAAGTTGTAGCATATATCGACAGTCTGTTCCCAAGCTAGCTTGAAGGCAGCAAGGTCAATGTGCTTGCCGAGGCGGTACACGTGCTTCATGATGTAGGCTCCAGGCTGCTTGAGGGTCAGGGCAATCAGACCAGCCTGGAGAGGGGTGCAAGGATATGCGTCCTCGATGATGTGACGCTGGTCCAGGATGTCAATGTGTTTGTCCGCTTCGGCGAGGACAAGCTTCCTGCGTTCTTCGCCAAGCAAGGAGAATGGCGAGACTTCTTCGACGATACCGCCCGTGTCCTCGATGCACTTGGTGGCTAGAGTAGAAAGGCGTGCATCGGCGAAGATGTCCTTCACTGAAAGCGACAGACCAGCGTCACGAGCGAGCGTCACAAGCTGGATGGCAGCGATAGAATCACCGCCGATACGGAGGAAGCTATCGTCTCGGCCGATGGATTCGAGCGAGATGTTCAGAGCTTCAGACCATAGCTTTTGCATGCGCGTCTCCATCTCCGTCTCGGGTGGCCTCTTGTCGGCCTCTGCCAAAGCATAAGCAGCCCGCTCTTCCTTGGACAGCTCCTCGGTCAGTGTCTTGAGGAGCTTCCTATCCACCTTGCCTGATGCCGTGACTGGCATGAAGCTGCAGGGAATGAACATGGCCGGGACCATGTAGGAGGGCAGAGTGACGGTGAGTGTACCAACCAGCGCTGCCACGGCGCTCTGCAGCTCGGGTGTAAGCTGCTCAAAAGGCGACGACTCGGAGCGTCGACCCGTGACATCGTCGTAGGAGAAGTAGGCAACCAGGTTGGCGCCTGCATCAGACTTGAAGACATCGACAGTGACCTGCTGGACGCCCTCGAGAGCGTTCTTGACGTGGTATTCCACTTCACCGAGTTCCACGCGTAGACCACGGATCTTGACTTGGGTATCCTTGCGTGAAGAGAACTCAATAGTACCGTCGGCGTTATACGAAGCGAGATCGCCAGACTTGTAGAAGCGGTTCCAGTCAGGCTCGGTCCGACGAGGCGCCCACTGGGGCAGATTCTCGAGGATGGCCTCGGCCGTCTTGTCAGGGAGGCCAATGTACTCCCTCATGATGGTGGGACCTTGGATGACAATCTCACCAACGGTTCCGATGGGTGCGAGGCGAGTAGGATTGTTAGGCTCGACGATCCATACGTACGCAGCGACGGGGCTACCGATGGTACCGGGCGTGCTGTTGGGGCCAACCTCATGAGCTGTGTTGGCGAATGTGGTCTCAGCAGGGCCCCAGGCGTTGACGAGCTGGACTTCGTTCTTCCAAGCGTCGAGAATGTCCTGCGTGCAGGCTTCACCGCCAACAAGCAGGAACTCGAGAGACGGGACGTCCTTGGGCTTGAAGCCGCGGGCAAAGGCGGGTGTGAGGAGTGCCCAGTTAATCTCCCAGTTGTTGATGTACTCGACAATGTTGTTCATGCGCGTCTCGTCGTCAGGAACGTACAGACAGCCACCAAAGAACCAGGTGCTGACAATCTCCGCGACGGAAATGTCAAAGACATGCGAGCCGAATTGAAGTGTTCGAGCCTTGCCAAAGAGCATCCGCAGAGTCTTCCAAATATTCATCTGACTGGTGCACAGCGAATGGTGTTCAATGACGAATCCCTTGGGCGTTCCAGTGCTACCAGATGTGAAGAAGACGTAGACAATGTCCTTGGGGGTGACAGTAACAGACGGTCCCTGTTCACCGGGGCCAATGCTGGACTGGAGTTGTCTGTCGAGGGATATGTCGACAGCCAACACACTCCCTGCGAGACCGACCATGAGCTCGAGGTTGCCAGGAGAGACAAGGGCCACCTTGGAATGGACCTGGTCGGCAATCTGCTGCTTACGAGCAGGCGGGTGCGAGGGATCGACAGGCACCCAAGCACCACCGGCCTTATTGATGGCCAGGATGGCCACCTGGTACAAGGCGGATTTGTTGAAGCAGAGCATGATCAGATCACCGACCTGCACACCATAGTCGTTCACAAGATGGTGCGCTAGGCGGTTTGCAGCACGGTTGAGCTCTGCGTATGTGAACTCCCCGTCCCAGGAGCGCACAGCCCAGGCATCAGGCTGGCCACGGCCAACTTCTTCCACCATTTCGTGGAATGTCTTGTCATAGACGTCAATCGTGTGACTGTTGAACTCGTGTGCCTTCTGAACGTCCCATTCGCCTGCGACGGCGAGTGTAGACAGGGGTTCGTCGCTTTCAGAGAGAAGCTGCCGCACGACGTTGGCGTATTGCTCTGAAAGGGCTGTCATCTGGTTCTCGCTGAGGATGTCGGAGTTGTATGTGAGTACGAAATCGACAGCACTGTCAAAGACCCGGCCTTGGACCACGAGCGGGAAGGTGAAGTAGCCCTCCATGGCCTCCTCGACGCTGATCTTCTCGGTCGTGTCAGGCATGAGCAGCGAGTAGGCGTCGCCAATCATGCCGGCGAATTGCTGCGCAGGCTGCACGGCCAGGAGGGACGAGAAGGCGGTCGCCTCCTCAACGTCACGTCCGAGCTTGTTGATGTTCTGCAGACCGTATTGCTCATATGGAATCATCTCGAGGGCCTGGTTCTGGATTTGCTGCAGGTAGCCTGAGATGGTCTGCTGGCTGTCGAGACGGACTCGGATGGGCACTGTGGCCAGCGTCGGACCGGGCATCTCTGACAAATTGGCAACAGGCGCCTGTCGGCCTGATACTGTCGTGCCAAAGGTGACATCCTCGTTCTCGCAGTAGCGGGCCAAGACGACAGCCCACGCGGCGCGCAAGATGGTGGCCTTGGTGATGCCACTGTCCGTCTTGGGGAAGTCAATGTTCTTAACGAGGATCTTGGCGGTGCTAGTCGACTTGCTGGCGCCCGACTTGGGGGTGGTAGGAGGCCAGCTCGCACGGGTGGCATCTTCGAGCTGGTTGCGCCAGAATGCCTTGGTCTGCTCCTCGGGAACGCTCATGACATACTTGACAAAGGCAGCGTAAGGGGTCAGACCAAGGTCTTCGTCTTCTTCTCCATAGTAGCAGGAGAAGAGAGTGCGGATAACGAGCTGAGATGACCAACCATCGTAGACCGAGTGATGGACCACCCAGCAGAAGTAGTTGGCGTCGGCCTCACGAACGAGCCCGTAGCGGCTGAGGCGGCGACCATAGCCCATGGGAATGGCAGAGACCTCCCTGACGAAGGGGGCGGCGTCTGATGAGGATTGCTCCCAGTGGACATCTTTGTTGACAACAACCTGGATGGATCTGCTGCCCAGCTGGATAATCCTGGTACGCAGGACTGCGCAGTGGGCAATTGTGCGTTCCCAAGCAGCGCGGAACTTGTCGAGGTCCACATCATCAGCCAGCTTGTAGACGTACTTGGCAATATGCGAGCCAGGCTGCTTCTCGGCGAGAGCGATCATACCCTCTTGTAGGGCGATGGTAGGGAAGGCGTCCTCGATCTCTTGATCCGCATTGAGGCCGCACTTCTGGTGAACAGAGTCGGTTGACAAGATGGTATCGCGCATATCAGCAGGTAGCAAGCTGAAGGGGGGAATGTTGTCGCCGTCGGTATCGACATCGACCGAGGAAGCCTTGGCGGCGACGCTGCAAAGCCGCGAGTCATCAAAAACATCCTTGACGGTGATAGAGATGCCACTCTCGCGAGCGCGCGACACAAGCTGGATCGCCAGGATAGAGTCGCCACCAATCTGGAGGAAAGCATCGTCTTTCCCAACCGTGGACTCGGGGATATCCAACAGTTGGGCCCAAATCTTCTGCAGCTGCATCTCAACAGGCGTGTCAGGGGCACGCTTCTCACCAGTCATGAGGGCATACTCGGCCAACGCTGTCCTGTCGAGCTGCTCGAGACGCGAACGCAGACCGTTGCGGTCGAGCTTGCCAGACGTCACGACGGGCATGTATTTGCAGGGCACGAAGAGCGTAGGCACCATGTACCTCGGAAGCGTGACGCTCAACTCACCCACCATGGCCGTCAGTGTCTTCTGCAGGTCGCTGTCGATCGGCATGAACATATCGGCACCCTGCGCCGAACCACACGTGGCCTTGTCGAAGCAGAAGTAGGTGACCAAAGTCGCCCCCTTGTCGCCCTTGAATACATCAACGACAACTTGGCTCACGCCAGGGAGTTGAGCGCCAACATGGTGCTCAATCTCACCGAGTTCAACTCGGAGCCCGCGAATCTTGACCTGCTTGTCCTTGCGGCTAGAGAAGTCAATCGTACCATCGGGGTTGTAGCTACACAAGTCACCAGACTTGTAGAACTTGGCCCATGGCTTGAGATTCGTGCGAGGCGCCCATTCCGGTGGTGTCGGTACCAAGGCTTCGGCTGTGCGCTTGGGATCAGCCAGGTACTCCCTCAGGAGATTGGGACCCTGGATGACGACCTCTCCTATGGTGCCGACAGGGGCGAGCTTTTGCGGATCGTTGGGGTCTACGATCCAGGCAAAGCCTCCCACTGGACGTCCGATGGTCAAGGGGCTATCCTCTATCGAGGTGAACTCGTGCATGATGGAGATGACACAAGTTTCGGACGGCCCCCAGCCATTGAAGAGGCGGACGTGTCCAAACCAGTTCTCAAGCACATCGCGCGTGACAGCCTCGCCACCAAGACAAAGCAGCTTGACGTTCGGTACGCTTGCCGGTACGATAGTACGAGCAAAGGCAGGCGTGAGGAAGAGCCATGTAATGTTGGCCTCGTTGATGTACTCGGTCAAGTTGTTCATCCTCGTGTGGTCGGACGGCACGCAGACGGTCGCGCCTGTAATTAATGGACCGACGATTTCGCCAACTGAGAAATCAAAGACAAAGGAGGCGAACTGCAGTAGATTGACGTCGGGCGTCAAGCCAAGGCGTTTGGCAAAGGCTGTCTGGGCGGTACAGACAGCCCCATGCTCCATAACCAGACCCTTGGGCGTACCCGTTGATCCGGACGTAAAGAGCACATAGATGGCATCCTCAGGACGCACCTCGATATCCGGGGCGACATCTAAGGCAACATCCGAGACAAGCTGTTGGTCGAGGTGAGCGGAGACCTTGATGACCTTGTCGACCAGCTTCGAGCAAAGCTCAAGGTTGTCCGCAGACGTGAGAGCGATAGTAGCGCCCGTTTGATCGACAATCTGGCGCTGGCGTTGCTCCGGGTGCCCAGGATCAAGGGGAACCCAGGCCGCACCGGCCTTGTTGATAGCCAGAATAGACACAATATGCCAGATACTCTTCTCAAAGCACACCTGGACGAGGTCATGCTGCTTGACGCCTTGCTCAATCAGGTGGTGAGCAAGGCGGTTGGAGGCCTTGTTGAGTTGGTCGTAGGTCATCACTCCATCGTGAGCTCGGACAGCCACGTCGTCAGGTCGAAGAGCAGCCTGCTGGGCGAAGAGGCCGTGGAAAGTCGAGTCAATGAGCTCAGGGACCTCGGGGTTGAACTTGTAGGCCAGCTCAAGATCCATGCTCGAGGCAACGTCAATGTCCTTGAGGGATGAAGCAGCGCCTTCGATAAGTTGCTGCGTCACGTGGTTGAATTGTGCATACAGGGCAGACATCTGCTCTTTGCAGAGGACATCCGAATCGTAGATCAGCTGTAGCTTCACGTGAGAGTCGGCGACCTGCCCCTGAACCACCAGCGGGTAGCTAAAGTAGCCCTCCATAGACTCGTCAGTCTCGTCATCGCCATCAGAGGCGGACGCGCCTTCCGCAGGAAGAAGCCAGGCATCCTCCTCGGTCTCGTTGCCAGCAGAAAACATCTGCTGGAAGGGTTGGATCACCAGAAGGGAGGAAAAGTCGGTGGACTCCTGTGCTTCAGGGCTGATGCGGGCAATGTTCTGTATGCCAAACTGCTCAAAAGCAATCATGTCCGTGGCCTGGTCCTGCACGCCCTTGAGGAAGGTATGCACATCAGTCTCGGGATCAAGTCTGATTCTCACGGGCACCGTCGCGACCATGGGTCCAGGCATGTCGGCGAGACCAGCCACAGGTGCGTGGCGACCACTGATGGTTGTGCCGAACGTGACGTCGTCAGCATCGCTGTAGCGGCCGAGGACCATGGCCCACGTCGCCCTCAGGATCGTGGCCTTTGTGATGGAAGAGTCCATGGTGCGGGGGAAGTTGATAGTCGTGTTCATCACACGCGTTCCGTTGCCTGATCGGACCTTGTTGGTGGGAGGATAGGTCGCCTTCCTGGCGCCCTCAAGTTGGCTCGACCAGAAAGTCCTGGCCGCCTCGCGGTCTATGGACTGCACGAAACGGATGAAGCCAGAATATGGCTGGAGTTTGAACCCCTGCGTTCCCGTAAACTCGGCATACAGTGTGCCGAGCAGAAGACGAAGCGTCCACCCGTCGTAGGTGGTGTGGTGCACCACCCATGTGAAGTAGTTGTCACCGCTGGGCTCTGTGATGAGAGCGTAGCGGTTCAGGGGAGAGCCATAGGTCATCTCCACGGTCTTGGCGTACTTCATAAACTCGCGGTGACTGTCCGTGTGCACAGTCTCCCAGCTGATGTCCTCGTTGATGATGGCCTGCACGCACTGGCCGCCCACCATGACAATCCGAGTGCGTAGGTTGGAACACTTTATCATGGTACGCTCCCACGCAGCCTTGAACCGGTTGACGTCGACATTGGAGGCTAGCTTGAAACTGTAGCGGGCAATGTATGATCCAGGCTGTGTAGTAGAGAGCGCCATGAGTCCTTCTTGCAGAGAAGTACATGGGTACGCGTCGACAACGGATTGAGAGGGCTTCAGACCAGCCTCCTCACGGACTACCTTGTCAATGACCGACGCAGGCATGCTCAGCAAACCAAATGGCTCGATCTGCTGAGAGGAAGCATCGGCGAGGTCCGTCTCGACTGTCTTCTCCGCCACAGCACACAGTCGCGAATCATCAAAGATGTCCTTGACGGCGACTTGCAGACCGTTCTCGCGAAGGGCACTGACAAGCTGGATGGCCGCAATAGAATCACCGCCGATGCGAAGGAAACTATCGTCGCGACCAATTGATTCAACGGGAATGTTGAGCAGCTCAGCCCAGATGTGCTGGAGACGGGCTTCTGTGGGATTGGCAGGGCCTCGCTTCTTTCCATCAAGCAGTGCGTAGTTGTTCAACTGGGCGTTGTCCAACTTGCTGGTCTCGGCGCGCAGCGTGTTCCTGTCCAATTTGGTTGATGTGATAAAGGGCATGAACTTGCAGGGCACGAAAAGTGTTGGGATCATATACCGCGGTAGAGACACGCCGAGCTTGCCTACGAGGGCAGACAGCTGGCGGTTCAGCTTGGCATCGATCGGGAGGAACATGTCCTCGTAGGTCGTGCTGCTGCTGGCGGTGCGGCTCTCATCAGAGTAGCAGAAATATGCCACGAGATTGGTGCCCTTTTCTCCCTTGAACACGTCCACGGCTAGTTGGCGGACATCAGGCAGGTTGGACCGGACATGGTGCTCGACTTCACCTAATTCAACACGAAGGCCACGAATCTTGACTTGTGTGTCCTTGCGGCTGCTGAACTCGAGGAAGCCGTCTGCATTGTAGAAGCAGAGATCCCCTGATTTATAGAAGCGGTTCCAGTGGGAGTCGCTCGAGTTGGGTGCCCAGTCGGGCAGCTGGTACACCGTCGTCTCGGCAGTCTTTTCAGGGTTGGCGAGATACTCGCGTAAGAGCGTCGGGCCTTGCAAGACGACTTCGCCGAGCGTACCGGTAGGCGCCAGCTTGTGAGGATTGCCCGGCTCCACGACCCAGCAGAAAGAGCCGACGGGCTGACCGATCGTCAGGGGCGATTCGTCGGCACTCTTCCACTCGTGGAGGGTCGAGAAACAACAGGTTTCGGCAGGGCCCCAGCCGTTGACTAGACGCACGGATCCGAACCAAGTCTCAAACACGTCCCTGGGCACGGCTTCGCCAGCGAACAACAGTAGTTCCAGCGACGGAACCATGTCAGGCTTGAGGGTGCGAGCGAAGGCTGGGGTAAGGTATGACCATGTGACCTTGTTGTCACGGATGAAGTCGGTAAGACCATTCATGCGAATGGACTCTGAAGGGATGCTCAGGGTAGCGCCATGAATCAACGGGCCCACGATCTCACCAATGGATAGGTCGAAGACAAAGGCAGCGAATTGTAACATGTTGACCTCGGGTGTCAGGCGTAGTCGCTTGGCGATGGCGGTCTGACTCGTACAGACAGAGACATGCTCCATGACGAGGCCCTTTGGCGTGCCAGTGCTGCCGGAGGTGAAAAGAACGTAAGCAGCATCAGATGGCGACACATTGGGGAGCTCTTTGCTCGGGACCTCCAGGTTGTCCACGAACTCGGAAGTGATTTCGACCACTTGAGGCAAGAGATCACGGCAAATATGGGAGTTCTGAGGCGAGGTCAAGACAAGCTTGGCTCCGGTTTGCGACACAACCTGTTCCAATCGCTGGTGGGGATGTGAGGGATCGAGAGGCACCCAAGTTCCGCCGGCCTTGTTGATCGCGAGGATGGACACAAAGTGCCATGCCGATTTCTCGAAGCACACGTGAACAAGATCACGGGGCTGCAGGTTGTGGTCCGAGATCAGGACCGAAGCCAGTCGCTCAGCGGCATCGTTGAAGTCCTTGTACGTGAGCTTGGCGTCCCAGGCGTTGATGGCGATCGCATCAGCACGCAGTCTGGCCTGTTCGGCCACCATGTCATGGAAGGTCGAATTCACAATCTCGGGAATCTCAGCATTGCTCTTCTTGGCCTGTTCAAAGTCCCAATCGCCAGCGACGGTGACGCTTCCGACCTCACTCTCCGTCTGAAAAAGAAGAGAGTGGATGACATGCTCGGTCTGCTCCAGGATGGCGTTCATCTGTGGCTCAGCCACCAGCGAGGAGTCGCAGGTCAAGTTCAGCGCAATCTTGTCATCGTAAATGATTGTCTGCATGACCAGAGGATAGCTGAAGTAGCCCTCCAGGTTACTTTCGGTAAGGTCAGAGTCGATGTCAGGGGCCAACAACAGAGAATCCGAGTCGCTCCCCATCATCCCCATTCTCTGGAAAGGCTGGACAACGAGCAAGCTGCTGAAATCACAGGCATCCTGTATCTCGGCGTCCAGTTTCTGGATGTTTTGCAGACCGTATTGCTCATAAGCAATCATTTCAGTGGCCTGTGACTGGATAGCCTTCAAGAATGCAGCCACGTTTTGGGTACGATCGAGTTTGACACGCACGGGTATCGTGGCTACCACGGGGCCGGCCATTTCACCCAACCCTGGCACAGGGGCCTGTCGACCAGAAACAGACGTGCCAAATGTGACATCGTCTGTGTCGCAGTAGCGGGCTAGGACCATGGCCCAAGCCGCCCTGATCACCGAGGCCTTGGTGATAGACAGCTCAGGGGTGTCCGGAAGATCAATGATCTTGGTAATAATCTTCGTGGCACTGGCGCCCTTGCCCTGCTTGGATGTTGACGGGAAGCTGCACTTCCTGGCATCTCGCAGCTGTTCCAGCCAGTACTGCTGAGCAGCTTGGCCGTCCATGTCGCGGGTGTATTTGATAAAGCGGTCGAAAGGCTGCAGGTTCATGCTGTACGTCTCGGTATAAACGTCGACGAGGGTGCCGAGGATGAGGCGCTGTGCCCAGCCATCGAACACGGCGTGGTGGGCGGCAACAATGAAGTGATGAACGTCAGAGTTTTGCTCCTTGACCAGCGCATACCGGCTGAGACGCGAGCCCATTGTCATCTCAAACTGGTTCGCTTGGCGAATGACAGCTCCGAGACTCAGACCTTCCGTTTCCTCCCAGGTCACATCGTCCTTGACAGTGATCTGGATCGTTGTGTTGTTTGTGCGGAGGATGCGAACCCGAAGGTTGCTGCAGCGCCTGACAGTTTCCTCCCAGGCTGCCTTGAACTTGACAACGTCCACATGGCTTCCAAGTTTATAGACCCACTTGGAAATGTAGGAGCCTGGTTGTTTGACAGCGAGGGCCATGAGGCCTTCTTGCAAGGCTGTCACGGGCATGGCGTTCTCGATCACCTGCTCGTCTGACAAGCCACAAAGGTCGCGGACAGACTGCGACAAAGCTGCAGGCTTCAGGGCATCACTCAAGAGCTCGAATGGCTTCATGTCTTCTTTGGGACCGGTGCCTTTGGTCTCGACAGCGGACTCGGCCACGGCAGATAAACGAGGATCATCAAAGATGTCCTTGACCGACAATTGGATGCCGTACTCGCGAGCAGCTGTGACCAGATAAATAGCGCTGATCGAGTCGCCACCGATGCGAAGGAAGCTATCGTCACGACCAATGCTGTCCTTGGGTAGATTCAGGATCTCGGCCCAGATGGTCTGCAGACGCTCTTCCATCTCGGTCTCAGGGGCTCTCTTCTCAGCGTCGACTAGTGAGTATCCAGCCAATTCCTTCTGGGAAAGCTCGGCAGTCAACTGCTTGAGTGTCTTTCTGTCAAGCTTGTGCGACGTGCCGAACGGCATGAAGCACATTGGGATGAAGACGGTGGGCACCATATAACCAGGTAGGATGACCTGCAACTTGCCCACCATCTCGGTGATCTGTGCCTGAAGATCGGGCGTGAGTTCCATAAAGAGGTCGTCAGCTGTTGCGGACTGGCGCGTCTCGTCATTGTAGCAGAAATACGCCACCAAGGTCGCTCCGGCGTCCGATTTCAATACGTCGACAGCAACTTGACGGACTCCTGGCAGGTTCTCGTGGAGGTGGTATTCGACTTCGCCCAACTCCACACGAAGACCGCGGATCTTGGTCTGCGTATCTTTGCGAGACAGGTATTCAATAGTACCGTCTGGGTTGTATGAGCAAAGATCGCCCGAGAGATACATGCGATCCCAGCCCTCCTCGTTTCGTCGAGGTGCCCATTCAGGTGGTGCAATCACCGCAGCGCGGGTCTTTTCCTCGTCACCAAGATACTCCCTCATCAAGGTAGGGCCTTGGATGACGATTTCACCAATGGTGCCCACGGGGGCCAAACGCATCGGATTCTTGGGGTCCACGATCCAACAGTGGGCGCCAACGGGGCGACCAATGTTGGCGGGCGAGTCGTTCTTTGACTGGTACTCCCATAGAGCGGAGCACACAGTTGTCTCGCCAGGACCCCAAGCATTGACCAGTCGAACCTTGCCGAACCAGTTATCCAGGAGATCCTGGGCACTGGCCTCGCCACCGACAACCATGAACTCGACCTGCGGCATGTCCTCTGGACGCAGGGTGCGCGCAAAGGCAGGTGTGAAGAAGAGCCAGTTGATGTTGTTGGCGTTGACATAGTCGACTAGACCATTCATACGGGTATCTTCCGAGGGAACATGGATAGAAGCGCCCAGCATCATGGAGCCGATAGTGTCGCTGACGCTCATGTCGAATACATAAGACGCGAATTGGAGCATGCGTACCGACGGAGTCATGCGGAGCCTCTTCCACATGGCAACCTGGCTGGTCACGAGAGAACGGTGCTCGATAATGTATCCCTTCGGCACACCCGTGCTGCCGGAAGTAAACAAAATGTGGGATGCAGTCCGTGGCGATATGTCTGTAACGGGACCGCTCAGGCTCGTAGTTGGGTCTTGGGATAGTTCTTCATCGAGGGCAGAAGTCACCTGGACCACGGTGTCGATGAACTCGGAGCAGGCTTGCTGATATGTAGGCGAAGTGAGAACGACCTTGGCACCAGTGCGTTCAACGATGTAAGCTTGGCGAGACTGAGGGTGCGAGGGCTCCAGAGGCACCCAGGTTGCGCCAGCTTTGCCAATGGCTAGCAAGCAGACTGTGTGCCAAGCGGACTTTTCCATACACACCAAAACGCGATCCTCCTTCTGCACGTCGAGTTCCTTGACAAGGTAGTGGCTGAGGCGGTTGGCGGTGGCGTTGAGATCACCATAGGTGAAAAACTTATCCCAGCCATTGACAGCAACAGCATCAGGCTGGGAGGCCGCGTGGTCTTCAAAGAGCTCATGCCAGCAGCGGTTGATCACTTCGGGCGCTTCGCCTTGCCACTCAATAGCTTTCTGGAGATCCCAATTAGAGGCAATGGACAGATCCGCCAGAGGCTTGTTGTTCTCGGGGACAAGTTCCTGAATGACGTGGTCGAAATGTTGACACAGGGCTTCGAGGCGCGCGGCAGGGATGACAGCCTCGTCATAAGTGAATCCCAAGGTTGTCTCGTTCTCTGACACGTAAGACTGAATAACAAGGGGATAGTTGAAGTAGCCCTCAAACGTGTTGTCGCCAGACTCTTCCTTCTCGACAGGGAGCAGGACCGCATCAGGACTGTCACTCATGGCCGCGACAGGGGAGAAGGGCTGGACCACAAGCAAGCTGCTAAAGTTGCAAGCCTCTTGCGTCTCCGAGTTGATCTTGGCAATGTTGTGCAGACCAAACTGCTCATAGGCAATGCTTTCGGTAGCCTTGTTCTGCACACTCTGCAGGAGCTCGGGGATGGTCCTCTCCTCGAAACGAACGCGGACAGGCACGGTCGCAATGGCGGCACCAGGCATATCGCTCAACCCCGGGACAGGCGCTTGACGACCGGACATGGTCATACCAAACGACACATCATCTGTATCGCAATAGCGAGCCAGGATAATGGCCCACGCAGCGCGGACAATGGTAGCCTTTGTAATGGACGCATCCGTTGACTTAGGGAACAAAATATCCCTATGGACAGTCCGCGTTATGCTCTTGGCTGGCTTCGTGGTTGGAGGGAAACTAGCTTGAGTAGCGCCAGCCAGTTGCGTCTTCCAGAACTCGCGGGCAGCCGTCTCGTCCATCTCGCGTGTGTATTTGACAAAATTGGCGTAGGGGTAGAGGGGCGCCATGGGAGTTCCGAGGTAAGCAGACATCAGCGTCCTGACCACAAGGCTCATGGTCCATCCATCGTAGATGGTGTGATGCATGGCCAGCATGAAATACTGCTTGCCCCTGTCTTGGACGATGGCGTATCTCGCGAGGCGCGAGCCGTATACCATCGGGGTAGAGTTGATATCATCCTGGAATGACTTGACGCTCAGGCTGTGGGTAGGCTCCCATGCGTCGTCGTTGCCAACAAGGACCTGCAGAGTGGCCCCCTGGAAGTTGACAATCCTGGTACGGAGGTTCGTGCAAAGCTCGACAGTGCGCTCCCATGCGGCACGGAAGCGAGCCAGGTCCACTGTATCAGCAATGCGGAACATGACCTGGGCAGTGTAAGAGCCTGACTGCTTGACGGCCAGCGCCATCAGGCCCTCTTGGAGTGCTGTGGCAGGGAATGCGTCGTCAATAGCCTGGTTGTCCTGAAGGTCGCATTGCTTCCTGATCCGCACCAAGGCCTCTTCTTTGGAGACGTGCAGCATGCTGAAGGGTGGCGCTTCATAGGTCTTGACAGCGCCAGCACCCGTAGCCTTGATAGCCATGCTGGAGAGGCGGGGGTTGGCAAAGATCTCAGCAACACTGAGACTGATGTTCTCCTTCTGAGCCAGGGAAACAAGTCGAATTGCAGACATGGAGTCGCCACCAATCTGCAGGAAACTGTCGTTCTTGCTGATGCTCCCTGGCTCAACCTTGATCACCTGCGCCCATAGCTCGCGCAACTTGAATTCCATTTCCGTGGTAGGCTCAATGCGCTCGTCGGTCGACAAGGAGAACAGTGAAAGTTGTTCTTGCGTCAGGCTGGCGGCGAGCTGACGAAGAACAGCCCTATCAAGCTTGAGTGACGTGTTGAAGGGCATCTTGCGTAATGGCAGAAGCAGCGACGGTACCATGTAGGTAGGTAGGACATTCTCGAGGTCCTCAATCAGGCTACCAAAGATCCTTTTGAGATTGGCACTCAATGGGATCGTGTTGTCGGGCACGTGGATTTCACCCCCCTCGCCTTCTTCGACAGGCACATTGAAGCTCATAAAGCCCACAAGTATGTCCCGACCACCAATGTTGACCACATCAGCTGCAGCGTATTCGGTGTTGGCGAGTGAAAGCTGGATGTTGTACTCGATCTCACCAAGCTCAATACGATACCCGCGAAGCTTGACTTGGGTATCGCGACGGCCAAGGTATTCGATGGTGCCATCAGCATTGTAGCGGGCGAGGTCACCCGACTTGTGGAACTTGATCGGGCTGCTGGTCTCGACAGCAGGGAGGAAATCGACATGGCGGATAAAGGAGGCGTTGGTCCTCTCCGGATCATTGAGATAGCCGCGAGCCATGTTCCTCTGGATAAGGATCTCGCCAACGCATCCAATGGGCGTCAGCTTGTTATAGTCATCCGTCTCCACGATCCACATGTTCCCCGTGAACGCCGTTCCGACGTTGGTTGGTTGCTCGTTTGGTGACTCGTACTCATGCGAGCCGATGAAGATTGACACCTCGGAAGGACCGTAGGCGTTGATGACGCGCGCACGAGGCTGCCATGTCTGAAGAGCGTCTTTTGTCGGGGCCTCACCCACCAACATGAGCATGTCGATAGTGGGAACCTCGGTTGGATCAATAGTCTTGAGGAATGACGAGGTCAGCATCGCCGTGTTTACGTTGGCCTCGTTGATAAAGCCAGTGAGGCCCTCGAGTCGTTGCTGGTCGGTAGGTGTGCATATGGTACCGCCAAAGACCAAGGTTTCGAGCATCTCGGATAAGCTAACGTCGAAGACGTAACTAGAGAATTGCAGCACACGGCTGGAAGGGCTCATGTGGTAGGCGCGTCCATAGCCAAGGACGCTGCCGCAAAGAGCGGAATGCTCGACAACAATAGCCTTTGGCTTGCCCGTGGAGCCGGAGGTGAAGAGTACATAGGCCGCGTTGGACGACGCAACCTTTGCTGGCGGCTGGGCGAGCTCATCTATTGTCTGAGCAATGCGGGAGATTAGGTCCGAATCCAGTACCACAAGATGAGATACTAGATCGGAACATTTCTCGGCTGTAGTGGGAGAGACCAGCAAGACCTCGGCCTTGGTCTCGCCAACGATCTGCTGCCGACGACCCTTGGGGTGCGAGGGGTCGAGGGGGACAAATATGCCACCGGCCTTGAGGATGGCAAGCACCGCTACTATCGTCCATCTGCTCTTTTCGAAGCAATAGGGGACCATCGTCTCGACCTTGACACCCATCTGCGCAAGATAGATAGCCAACTGAGTGGACAGTCGATCAAGCTCGGCATATGTGAAGGACCCTTCGCTGGAGAAGACAGCCTGGTGGTGAGGTTGCTCGGCCGCCTTCTTCGAAATCAGATCATGGATACAAGCGTCAACAACTTCTGGCACATCCCTGTTGAAGCTCATGGCGCGCTCCAGATCCCAGGGACCAGCCACGGTGACAAAATGGAGCGGCTGATCTGTCTGGGCGATGAGTTGCGAGACGACGTGGTTGAATTGGCGACTAAGGGCATCTATTTGCGCCTCGGTGATAACATCGGTTCGGTAAGAGCACAAAAGCTCGACACCCTCGTCGTAGACCAGTGCGTCGATGACGAGGGGATATGTAAAGTATCCCTCGAGTGAGGACTCGATGGACAGCTTCTCAATGTCCGACGTCAGGACAGCGTCCGGGTTGACATCGGTATCCAGCTTCTGCATGGGCTGGATGACGAGCAACGAGGAAAAGTCGCAGACCTCCCTCGCTGTCTCGCTGATTTGCATGATGCGCCTGACACCAAACTGCTCATGGGGAATCATGTCAGACGCTTGTTTCTGGATAGCCTTGAGGAAGCTCGAGATCGTTTTCGTTTGATCCAAGCGAACGCGAACAGGGACAGTGGCGACGGCCGGGCCAACGACGGTCTCGAGCCCGGGAACAGGGGCTTGTCGACCGGAGACTGTAGTGCCAAAAGTTACGTCGTCTTGGTCTGAGTAGCGTCCAAGCAGAATGGCCCAAGCAGCGCGGATGACGGAAGCCTTAGTGATAGAATTGTTGCCACGCTTCGGGAAGTTGATGTCGCGTCGCAGAATGCTAACCTTCTTCTCTCCTTGACCGGGCACTGGGTTGGTAGGAGGGAAGGTTGCCTGCTTAGCGCCCTCGAGCTGGGCGGCCCAGAACTCGCGAGCGGCGTCCTGATCCTGGTTGACGACGTACTCGATAAAGGAGGCATATGGCTGTAGTTCAATGGTTTCCTCACCAGCATAGGCGCTCTCGAGGGTCGACATGTTGACAACCAGCGAGAAACCATCAGACACAGCGTGATGAAGAACGAGGACGAAGTAGTACTCGCCGGATTGGTCGTGGAAGAGGGCGTATCTGCACAGCGGGGTGCCATAACGCATCTCAAGGCTCTCCGTCTTTTTCAGGTAGGACTTCACGTCCATGCCCTCAGTGGCCTCCCACCTAAAGTCAGGCTTAAGGAGGACTTGGTAGAAAGAGCCGCCAACGTCCACAATGCGGGTACGCAGGTTGCCACAGATCTCAACAGTGCGCTTCCAAGCCTTCTTGAAGCGAGAAGGATCAATGTTGGAGCCTAGCTTGTAAACGTGCTTGCCAATGTACGAGCCGGGATCCTTGACAGCGAGCGCCATCAAGCCTTCCTGGACAGACGTGCACGGGTAAGCGTCCTCGATTTGCTGGCCGGGTTCAAGCATGCACTGTTTGCGGACTTCATCGCCCACGACGAGCTCGCGGTGCTTGTCGGCAACAAGCTCGAAAGGAGAGACTTGATAGTCCTCGTAGTCTGTGCCCGTAGCTTTGGTCGCGACAGCTGAGAGGCGGGGGTCGCTAAAGATATCTTGCACGGTGATAGCAAGTCCTTGCTTACGGCCCTCGGAGACAAGTGACATGGCGGTAATAGAGTCTCCGCCGAGACCCATGAAGCTGTCGTCACGACCAATGGACTCGGTGGGTAGTTGAAGGATCTTGGACCAGAGGATTTGCATCTGCTTCTCAGCCTTTGTCTCGGGGGCACGCTTCTTGCCGCTGATGAGAGCATATTGATGCAGCTCTTCCTTGGAGAGCGTCTTGATATGCTGTCCCAAAGCCTTCCGATCGAGCTTGGCAGAGGTGTTGAAGGGCATGTAGTTACACGGGACAAAGAGGGACGGAACCATGTAGCTTGGCAGGGCCACCTTCAGCTCACCCACCATCGTGACCAATTGACCCTCGAGTTCGGGGGTGATTGATCCAAACATATCCCTCATGGCGGGATCGAGGTCAACTCCGGCAGTCCTGTTGTCCTCGTTGAAGGAAAAGTAAGTGACGAGGTTGGTGCCGGTCTCGTTGCGTAGCACATCGACAATGACAGTCTCGACCCCAGGCAGGGTGCGCAGGACGTTGTGTTCAACTTCACCGAGCTCGACACGCAGACCTCGGATCTTGACCTGCGTATCCTTACGGCTGGCATATTCCAGCGTGCCATCAGCGTTGAAGTAGCAAAGATCACCCGACCGGTAGAAACGACGGAAGCCCCATTCGTCTTGTCGAGGTGCCCAGGCAGGGAGGTCATTCTTGTAGAAATCGGCCGTCTTGTCGGGCGCGGCGAGATACTCGCGAGATGTTGTTGGGCCCTGGATCACGACCTCTCCAATCGTGCCGATAGGCGCCAGCTTGTGGTAGTCGTCGGGGTCAACAATGTATAGATAGCTGCCGATGGGTGTGCCGATTGTGCTGGATGATTCGTGAGGCGATGTGTACTCGTGCAGCGATGAGAAGATACAGGTCTCCGCAGGGCCCCATCCATTGAAGAATCGAACCTTTCCAAACCAGCTGTCGAACACATCACGAGACACGGCCTCGCCGGCTAGCACGAGCTTCTGAACGCATGGTACTTCTGTTGGTTTGATCGTTCTTGCAAGTGCCGGCGTGAGTATAAGGGTATTGATCTTGTGGTCACGGATGAAGCCACGAATATCGTTGCTGCGCACCTCGTCGGACGGGACGAACAACGTTGCGCCTGTTGTCAGTGCTGGAAACATCTCCACAATCGACATGTCAAAGACATTGGAGGCAAATTGCAGGAAAGTCGAGTTGGCATCGCAGCCGAGCCTCGGAATGATGTTGGCCATGGCCGTGCTCAGATTACGATGCTCCATCACGAAGCCCTTGGGTACACCAGTAGAACCAGACGTGAACAGAATGTATGCCACGTCCTCAGGGGTGACAGCCGTCTCGGGGTTCTCCCCAGGCCGGTTCAAGTCGCCGACGAGAGATGCATTGACAACGACCACGTTTGGAACCAGCTTCTCAAAGGCGGCCGCGTGTAGATGAGAGGACAAGGCCACCTTGGCTTGGGTCTGGGACGTAATCTGCTCCTTACGGTGCTGAGGGTGTCTCGGGTCGATTGGGGCCCACGCAGCTCCGGCTTTGTTGACGGCGAGCAATGCAACGATGTACCAGACAGACTTCTCGAAGAGTAGATGCACAATATCGCCCACCTTGACGTTGTGCTTGTTGATGAGGTAATTTGCGAGTCGGTTGGCAGCATTGTTGAGCTGTCTGTAGGTCAACTGGGCATCCCAGCCGTGGACAGCAATGGTGTCAGGGCGCTCTTCTGCTTGACGAGCCACGAAATTATGAATGCAGTCTTCGACAATGGTGGGATCGCTGCCGCGGTACTGCATGGCACGTTCGACATCGTAGTCAGATGTCATGACCAGGTCGCGCAGTGGCGTGTTGTCCTGCTTCAGCAGACTGTTGACAATCTTCTCATATTGATGAGCCATGGCCTGCATCTGTGGCTCCTTGAGAATCGAAGCATCCCAGATGAGGAAGAGTTCGAGCTTGTTGTCTGCGAGCGCTCCCTGCATGACCAATGGGTAGGAGAAGAAGCCTTGCATCGACTCTTCGATGGAGCTGCTGTCAGATCGCCCAGGCAGCAACAGATCATTGTCAGTGCTGCTGCTGAGTCCCATTTGCTGCAACGGTTGGATGACCATTAGAGAAGTGAAGTCACACGCTTCCTTGCAATCTGGTCCAAGCCTGGCAATGTTCTGCAGTCCAAGTTGCTCGTGGGCAATCATGGCCGAGGCTTGATTCTGAACGTCCTGGAGGAAGTTCTTGACAGTCTGGTTCGGGTTGAAGCGCATGCGAATAGGGATTGTCGCAATCATGGCGCCAGGCATGGCACCCAGGCCGGGCACAGGTGCGTTACGCCCAGATACCGTGGCGCCAAAGGTAACATCGTCAGTATCGCTGTACTTGGCCAGGACAATAGCCCAGGCAGCGCGGAGGATCGATGCCTTTGTGATCGAAGTGCCTGTGGACTCTGGCAGCTGGATCATCTTGGTCAGGTAGCGTGTGGCACCATCCTTGGCTGCGCTGCGACGGGGCGGGAATGAAGTTCGCTGGGCCCCGCGAAGCTGTTGCTTCCAGTAGTCGCCAGCCTTCTCCAGATCGATCTTGATGGTGTAGGCAATGAAGCCCGAATAAGGCCTCAGTGGTGGGAGCTCGGCATCACCATACACCTGGTACACGGTCTCGAGGACGATGCGCATGCTCCATCCATCGAAAACGGTGTGGTGACTGAGCCAGAGGAAAGAGTAGCTCCCATCCTTTTCAAATCCGATGCTGAAGCGGTTGAGACGGGTCGCAAAGGTCATGCGGGCGTTGGATGCGTCCACGAGCAGCTCATCAAGAGATTTGTGTTCATTGTTGTCGTCCCACATGAAGTCATTTCCAATCACAGCTTGGACTGGCACGTCATCCATCTCAACAATGCGCGTGCGGAGGTTGGCGCAAAGTTCGACAGTGCGCTCCCAGGCGGCCTTGAAGCGCTCAATATCAACGGCCGGGTTGAGGCGGAAGGCATGTTTGGCGATGTATGAACCAGGCTGTTTGACAGCCAAGGCGATCAACCCGGTCTGAAGAGGCGCACATGGGTAGGCATCCTCGACATGCTGGCTGTCCTCGAGATCGCAGAGAGCAGCGATCACATTCTTGATGTCTTCGGGATCGCCTTCGAGGAGCTCAAACGGACCAACATTGTAGGAGGGGCCGTCCTCAGCATTGGTGGCCGAAGCAGCCAACGATGACAAACGAGCGTCTTCAAATATGTTGGCGACCGTGATACCAATGCCAGCGTTCTGCGCGGCGGAGACAAGCTTGATAGCGGTGATCGAGTCACCACCAATTTGTAGGAAGCTGTCACTCTTGCCAATCTCCTCTTCAGAAATGCTTAGGATCTGAGCCCAGACCTTGCGGAGGGCAAATTCTATGTCGGTTGTCGGCTCAATCTTTTGGCGGCTGACGCCTGCGTAGGTAGCTAGCTCCTCGGACGAAAGACCCTGGGCAGTCTCGCGAAGCAGCTTGCGATCCATCTTCATCGCGCTGACAAAAGGCATGGCACTAACGGGCAGGAATAGAGTGGGCACCATGAACGCAGGGAGGATGGTCCTGAGCTCCTCGGAGACTGCCATGATGGTTTGCTGCAGGTCATCGTCCATGGTAATGAAAAAGTCATCGCCCTCAACCTTCTTGTTGGCGAAGCTGATGAAGGCAGTCAGGGTCTCGCGTGATTCAGAGCGGAGCACGTCGATAGCCACATGCTCGACAGCTTCGGACACTCTCTTGACAGCATACTCAATCTCGCCAGGCTCCATGCGTTGACCGCGAATCTTGATTTGTGCGTCCTTTCGTCCAAGGTACTCGAGGGTGCCGCCAGGCTGATAGCGGACGAGGTCGCCCGTCTTGTAGAAACGGGACGATTGAGGAGTAGGGAGCCAGTCGACCTTGTCGAGGAATGATTGTGCTGTGAGCTCCTCATTGTTTGCGTAGCCGCGTGCGATGGCATAACCTTGCACGACAAGCTCACCAACACAGCCGACGGGCGCGATGCGGTTGTGATTGTCAGGTTCTACAATCCAGGTGGCGTTGTTGGCACCACGACCAATTGTTCCTGGGGCTTCGGTCTTTGACTGGAAGTCGTGTGTGCAGCAGTAGATACATGCTTCAGCTGGTCCGTAACCGTTGATGAGCTCCACGTGGTCGAACCACATGGCCAAGGTGTCCTTGGTGGGTGCCTCGCCACCAACAATCAGCTTTTTCAGTCCAGGGACACTAGCCGGAGAGATGGTTCGTGCAAACGAGGGCGTCAACATGGCTGTGTTGACCTTGGCCTTGTTGATAAAGTCAACAGTACCCTGAAGACGCTCAGTCTCATTGGGCACACAGACTGTGCCTCCGTGGACGAGCGTGCTGAAGATTTCACCCAAGCTGACGTCGAAAACGTAGTTGGAAAACTGCAGCACGCGAGAGGAGTCATCCAGCCTATATGTCTTGCCGTGACCCATGACACTGCTGGAGCTGAGGGCTTGGTGCTCCATGACCACACCCTTGGGCTTGCCGGTGGAACCAGAAGTGAAGAGAATGTAAGCAGCAGAGTCGGGGCCAACGTGTGGCAGAACTGAGGATGAGCTTTTGAACGAAGTAAAAGATTCGGCACTGAGCTCAATGACGTTGTCCACCAGGCCCTTACAAGACTCCGCGGTGGAGGGTGATGCGATCATAAAGTCAGCCCCTACCTCGTAGGCCAGGTCCTGACGACGGCCAACTGGGTGTTGAGGATCGAGGGGAACAAATGCGCCGCCCGCTTTCATGATGGCGATCATCGCGACGATAGCCCAGACAGACTTCTCGTAGCAGATGGGGACAGCCATCTCAACTTCCAAGCCAAGACTGACCAAGTGCGCAGCCAGTTGTGAGGAATATTTGTCCAGCTCGGCAAAGGTGAGTGTTACCTCTGAAGAGAAAATGGCCTCATGGTCAGGCGAAGACGCAGCTTTCTCGGCGATGAGTTCATGGCTCAGAGAATCCACCAGAGTGGGATTTTGGTTCCACGCCATGGCTTTCTCCAAGTCCCAAGGACCAGATACAGAGATGTCCTGAACAGAAGCGCTGGCCCCCGTGACAAGCTGGTTGATGACATGACTCAGCTGTTGCGAAATGGCTTCCAGACGAGCTTCTTCGACCACATTGGCATGATAGCTGTAGTACAAATCAACGTGGTCATCAGCGACTTGCGCCTGTACCACGAGAGGATACGAGAAATAGCCTCCAAGAGCCTCGCCGACCTCATACTTGTCCGCATGGGGAGGTGCGACAATAGACTCCTTGTTCTCTTCAAAGAATTGTTGAGCGGGCTGGATTAGCAACAGACTAGAAAAGTCACATGCTTCCTTGGCTTCTGGTGAGAGCTTTGAGATGTTTTGCAAGCCAAACTGCTCGAATTGAACCATGTCGAGGGCCTGTGTCTGGATCCCCTGAAGGTAAGACTCGACCGACTGCTGCCCGTCGAGTTGAACACGAACAGGGACTGTGGCGAGCACAGGGCCGGGAATTGTCTCCATGCCTGGCACAGGAGCCTGGCGACCCGACACGGTAGCACCAAACGTAACATCATTGGTGTCAGAATGGCGAGCTAGGACAAGTGCCCAGGCCGCCCTGATGACAGAGGCCTTGGTCACAGAGGACTTCTCAGACTCGGGGAAGGCGATCGTCTTGCGAAGCAATTTGTTCTCGTTGGTGGCAATGTTGTGGACTGTAGGAGGGAATGAAGCCCTCTTGGCGTCCTCAAGCTGCGCCCTCCAATAGCTGCTGGCCTCGTCGTGGTCAATGCTGGTGACAAACTTGATGAAGCTGGCGAAAGGACGCAGGGTCGGCATTTCCATCTCCTGGTACGCCGATGTCAGAGCATCAAGGACGATGCGAATGCACCAGCCGTCAAACGTGGCGTGGTGCACAGTCCACACCAGGAACGTGTTCTCATCATCTTCTTGAACAAGTGCGAAGCGGCTGAGAGGAGTTCCATACCCCATTTTGATCTTGGATGAGGCTTGGACGGTGGTGCTGAGGTCCAGACCGGTGGTATCCTCCCATTCCACCTTGCCGTTCAGGGTAACCTGGTACGAAGTGCCGTCGATGGAGATAATCCTGGTACGCAGATTGGTACAATTTTGCACAGTGACCTCCCAAGCAGCTTTGAAGCGGCCAATGTCGATGTGAGGCGAAACCTGAAGAACTTGCTTGGCAATGTAGGAACCGGGCTGCTTGACCGCGAGGGCGAGGAGACCTTCCTGCAACTTGGTGCAAGGGTAGATATCCTCGATGACATCGCCACCCTGAAGCATGCATTGCTTACGGGCTTCAACCTGGATGATATCGAGCTGGTCTTGGGGTAGCAGACTGAATGGTTCCACCTCATATGATTCGGTCTCCTCTGCCGAAGTGGCTGCGGCAGCCATGGACGAAAGTCGAGGGTCTTGGAAAATAAGATCAACACTCAGGACAATCCCCTTCTCGTGAGCCGCAGAGACGAGGCGGATGGCGCTGATGGAGTCGCCGCCGGCACGCAAAAAGTTGTCGCTGCGGCCGATATCCTCAGCCTTGATGTTCAGCACCTGCGCCCACAGGTCGCGCAGCTTGAACTCCAGATCCGTGGCAGGGGGCTCGGATTCGCCGCCTCCGGGAGAGAACTTGAGCTTGTCTTTTGTGGGTGCAGCATGGGCAATGCTGCAAAGTTGTCGACGATTGATCTTTCCAGACGTCGACCTTGCGGGCGTGCCCTCAAAGATGAGATACATGCCAGGCATCATGTACGCCGCCAAGGACATGCCCAATGAGTTATCAAGGTGAGAGATGAGTTTTCGCATCTCATCAGTCACGTCCTCGGCCAGCTTGACTTCAGGAGCCTCTGAGCTGGGCCCACTGGTGTACCAGAGCAGTGCAGCCATGACATCGTCACCACTCTCAGTTTTGACAATGTCGGTGATGGCTGCCATGTTTTCGGGAAGGAATTGTTCGATGCGCGACTCGATCTCTCCCAGCTCGATACGCTGGCCATGTAACTTGACTTGTGTATCCTTGCGGCCCATGTAGTCAAAGGTACCATCGTCGTTACGGCGGACCAAGTCACCGGTGCAGTACGCTTTGCGAGGCATGTCACCTGGCAACCAGTCGACGTCGTGTAGCCAGGCAGCGTTAGCGCTCTCATCGGCATTGATGTAGCCACGGGCGAGGAGGGGGCCCTGGATCATGAGCTCGCCGACACAACCCACGGGCACGAGCTCGCGTGGGTTTTCTGGATCAACTACCCAAAAGGCAGAGGACAAGGGGGTACCGATATTACTAGGCTTTCCAACCTTGCCGACGTTTGGACGCCAAGCACAGATAGAAGCCTCCGCGGGGCCATAGAGACCATGAAGTTCTGCATGATCCTGCCAAAGGTCAATGACCTTCTTTGTGACAACCTCGCCGCCAAGACCGAGCTTCTTCATAGAGGGTGTCTCAATCGGGTTGATAAGACTGGCCACTGTGGGGGTCAAGAAGGCCCAGTTAGCCTTCATGCGGTTGATGGCGCCAGCTATATCGTTGTAACGCTCATAATCCGACGGGATGCAAATGCAGGCACCGCGCGACAAGGTCACGAGTACGTCCATGATACCGACATCAAATGTGTAGTTGGAGTAAGCAAAGACGCGGGTACCGGGGCCAATGCCCTGGCAGACACCATAGCCGTCGGATGAAGACGCAATGGCGCCGTGTTCGTGGATCATGCCCTTGGGCTTGCCCGTAGATCCAGAAGTGAAGATGACAAAGGACGGGTCGCTGGGCTCGGTGATGGGTGCAATAGAAGAACGAGGAACGGGCAAACTAGCCAGGTACCCGACATCAACCTCCAGGGTGCTGATGCCCATATCCTTGATAGATTCGTGTGTCGAAGGCGCACACAGGATCAGCTCCGCCTTGGTGTCCTCGATGATGCCTTGAAGGCGTGCTGTAGGCGCCTTGGGGTCGAGAGGCACAAAGGCACCACCTGCGATCTGAATGGCAATCATCGAAACAACGGCCCAGGTGGACTTGGGGAAGCAGACAGGGACAATATCGCCGGGTCCAATACCCTGCTGCTGCAGCTTCGCCGCAAGTCGTGAAGCATATTTGCCCAGGTCATCATAGGAAATGTCACCATCCCACGAAACAACAGCGGGGGCATCCGGTTGGAGACGAACGTGCTCTTCAATCATCCAGTGGATACAAGAGTTGCTGGGGCCCTTGAGTTTCGTGCTGCGAAGGGCATGCTTCTTCTCCCACGGGCCGATGAGGGACAGATCGTTGACGAGATTGGCCCTCTTGGCAAACAACTGCTGCATAACATGGTCAAGCTGGTTGGCGATAGCTTGAACCTCTTTCGTGGGCATGACGTTCTTGTCGTGGAAGAAGCGAATCTCCACGTGGTCGTCATACATGAGCGAGAGGAGCACAAGAGGATAGTTGAAGTATTTGTTCATCTCCTGCTCGGTCATCTCAGTGCCATCTTGGCCGTCCATGATGACAGCGTCTGACATGTTCTCCAGGTATTGTCGGGGTTGGATGACCAGTAGTGTCGTAAAGTCACAGCATTCGCGAGCTGACTTGCTGATCTTGGCGATATTCTGCAGACCGAGCTGCTCGTAAGCGACCATCTCGGAAGCCTGGGTTTGGACGCCTTGGAGCAGCTCGTCAACAGGAGCATCGCGCTTCAGCTGGATGCGGACAGGGACAGTTGCAATGACTGGACCGGGCATGTCTTGAAGCCCTTCGACTGCCGCATTACGGCCCGACACGGTGGCACCAAAGGTGACATCGTCAGTGTTGCAATGGCGAGCGAGAACGACGGACCACGCTGCGCGCAGGATGGTGGCCTTTGTGATCGAGCCCTCCATTCGCGAAGGTGCCGGGATCTTCTTGTTGACAACTCGATAATCGACGTCTTTCTTGCCACCGGTTGTGGGCGGATAGGAGGGCTTCGAACCGCCTTCAAGTTGCTCTTTCCAGAAGGTGTTTGCCGCATCTTCATCAATGGAGAAGGCGTATTTGATGAATCCGGCGTAAGGCGAGAGCTCTGGAAGATCCTGTTCGTAGTAGGCTTGGTGCAGTGTCTTCAAAGCAATCTGGACACACCAGCCATCGACGATAGAGTGGTGAGTGATCCAAACGAAGTAGTTCTCGCCGGTTGGGGGTGTCACGATGGCATAGCGGCACAGCCTGGATCCGTAAGCCATTTTATAGGTCTGGGAAACCTTGATGAATGCGTCGAGGTCCATCCCGCACGTGTCTTCCCAAGAGACTTCATCCTTGACCAGCACTTGAACAGAGTGCTTCTTGGAAGGAATAATGCGAGTGCGCAGGTTACCACACGCTCGGACAGTACGCTCCCAAGCCTTCATCCAGCGCTGAATGTCCATGTGGCCAGGGATCTGGAAGAAGTATTTTGTGATGTAGGACCCTGGCTGCTTGACGGCAACAGCCATGAGACCCTCTTGGAGAGGTGAGCATGGGTAGGCGTCTTCAATCTCGGCCTCCTTGGGCAGTCCGCACTGGGACCGCAGCGAGTCGCCAAAGACCACTTTGCGATCATCCTCGGACAGCAAGTCAAATGGTCGAACTCTGGAGTCGTCAGCAGAAGGCAAAGGGGCCTCCGTCGCGGCTGCTGCCACGGCTGATAGACGAGGATCGCGGAAAATGTCGTTGACCTTGACCACGAGACCCCGGTTGCGTGCGGCGGTCATTAAGTGAATTGCAGCAATAGAATCACCGCCGATGCCAAGGAACGAGTCATCGCGACCGATTGATTCGGGTGACACGCGGAGGACGCCGGCCCAGATCTTCTGCATGCGACGCTCCATTTCCGACTCGGGCGCCTTCTTCTCGGAGTTCTGAAGGCCATAGGCGTTCAATTGCTCCTGCGTCAGTTCCGCGGTCTTGCTGCGGAGGGTCTTGCGATCCAACTTGGTAGATGTGATAAAGGGCATCCACTTGCAAGGAACAAACAATGCGGGAATCATATACCGAGGCAGGTTCACGCTGAGGACAGCGACGAGAGCACTGACGCGGGACTGGAGGTCACCTTCGAGTGGCATGAACATGTCATCCCCAGCGTCGGCTTGGCCAGCGGTGCGAGAGTCGTTGTTGAAGGCGAAGTACGCTACAAGGGTTGACCCCTTGTCGTTCTTCAGCACGTCAACAGCCACCTGTTTGGCGCCCCCCAAAGTTGTTTGGATGTGATGTTCGACCTCGCCAAGCTCGATACGAAGACCTCGAATTTTGACCTGCGTGTCCTTGCGTGAACCAAAGCGGATGGTACCGTCAGGGTTGTAGCTACATAGATCGCCAGACTTAAAGAACCTATTCCAGGGGCGAGTATCGCGCTCGGGGGCCCAGTCAGGTAAGTCAGTCATAGTGACGGCTTCCGTTCGTTCGCGGTCAGCGAGGTATTCGCGAAGGATGTTGGGCCCCTGAATGACAACTTCGCCCTCAGTGCCGATGGGCGCAAGCTTGGTAGGGTCGTCGGGATCAACAATCCAGCAGTAGCCACCGATCGGCCGGCCGACGGTAAGGGGTGATTCGTCAGCTGATGTCCACTCGTGTAGTGTAGCGAAGACACAAGTCTCAGCCGGACCCCAACCGTTGAACATGCGAACACCATGTCCGAACCACTGGTCAAAGACATCCTTTGGCACGGCCTCGCCCGCAAACACCAAAAGGTTGACCTGGGGCACGTCGGCGGGCTTGATGGTACGTGCAAACGCGGGCGTCATGTAAAGGGCATTGATATCCATCTCGTTGATGAATTCAATGAGTCCGTTCATCCTGGTGTCTTCGTTGGGCACGCAGACAGTACCGCCGTACATGAGGGGAGCAAAGTCTTCGCCAATGGTCATGTCAAAGACATAGGACGCAAAGTCCAGGACATTGACCTTGGGCGAGAGACCAATGCGGGCATTAGCATGCCTCATGGACGTGCAGACGCTGATATGCTCCATAACGAGACCCTTGGGGGTACCGGTACTGCCAGAAGTGAAGAGAACGTAAGCTGCGTGGCGAGGTGTGATTTCAACATCGGGACCCTTGTCGGTGTCCATACCAGACTCGACGAGCTGCGAATCCAGGGCCTCATCAACACCAATAACAGTGAAGAACAGCTTCTTGCACTTGTCGACGTGGTTCACTGAGGCCAGGCAGATCTTCGCCTTGGTCTGGTCAGCAACCTGTTTGTGACGCTGTGAAGGCTGCGAGGGCTCGAGAGGCACCCAAGCTGATCCAGTCTTGTTGGTAGCCAATGTGGCGACGTAGAACCAAGCCGAATGGTCAAAGCAGACGTGAATCAGGTCGCCGCTCTTGACGCCGTAGTCGTTGACAAGGTGGTTGGCGAGTCGGTTGGCGTGCTGGATCAAGTCCCGGTAGGTGAGACGGTAGTCCCATCCACGAACAGCAATAGCATCGGGCCTGATATTAGCTTGCTCCTCGATGACATCGTGGAGACAGGTGTGCCAGATGTCAGGCTTTTCGGCGTTCCACCGGACAGCCTGCAGTCTGTCCCATTGGGAAGCGACGTCTATCGCGCCGAGTGGTTTCGGTCGAGGAGACAGTAACTGGTGAACAACACCTTCAAACTGGTACGAGAGGGCGGACAGCTGCTCATGGGTGGTCACGTTGGCATCATAGGTGAGGGCCAGCTCGACCTGATCCTCGAGAAGAATGCACTGGAGGACAAGAGGGTAGCTGAAGTAGCCCGACATGGCCTCCTCAGGCTTGAACTTGCCTTCGTCGACGGTGAAGAGCTCCGCCTCGCTCCCTGCAGAAGCCAGACCCATCTGCTGGAAGGGCTGCACGACGACCAAGGAGGAGAAGCGAGTGGCCTCTGCGATATCCGGATGGATCTTGGAGATGTTCTGAAGACCGAACTGCTCAAACTCGACCATCTCAGACGCCTGCATCTGGATCGATTGCAAGAAGTCTGGTACAAGCGTGTTCCTGTCCATCCGGATGCGAACAGGGACAGTGGCAATGGTCGGGCCTGTCATCTCCGTGAGACCGGGAACAGATGCATTTCGGCCTGACACAGTGGCACCAAAGGTCACATCGGTCGAGTCACTGTATCTCCCAAGGACAATGGCCCATGCAGCACGCAAGATAGTCGCGCGGGTGATCGAGGAGTTGCCCATGTAGTTGAAGTCAAACTTGCGACTCAGGATGCGTGTCTTGGATTTGTTCTCGGCAACGGGAGCCTTCAAAGGTGGGAACGTGGCCCTTCGAGCGCCCGTGAGTTGCTTCTTCCAGAAGTCGGCGGCAGCACCCTGATCAATGCGGTGCACATACTTGACGAACGAGGCATATCGGTTGAAATCGTAAACCTCCTCGCCCGCGTAACCCTGGCGAAGAGCGTTGAAAATCAGACCCAGAGTCCAGCCGTCGAAGATAGCGTGATGGATGATGATGCCAAAATAGTAGGAGCCATCATCCTCTTTGAAGAGTGCGTAACGGCACAGGGGAGAGCCCAAAGTGATATCGGTCGCGGCGGCCTCAGCCATCAGCGATCGCATGTCGTGAGCACGAGTACTCTCCCAAGATGAGTACTTGATGACAGTTTGCAGGATCTGGTCCCCGACACGGACAATACGGGTGCGCAAGTTTGTGCTTATCTCAACGACGTGCTCCCATGCCTGCTTGAATCTGGCAATGTCTACATCGCTTGAGAGGCGGTAAACTTCCTTGGCCAAGTACGATCCGGGTTGTTTGATAGCGAGAGCCATCAGACCCTCCTGGAGACTTGTGCAGGGGAAGATGTCCTCAATGGCGTCCTTGGACGTGAGGCCGCATTGATCCTGAACAGCAGACTTGATGTCCTCAATCTCAGCCTCGGGAAGTAATGAGAAGGGCGTCGTCTCTAGGGTCTCGGCATCTTCGTCTTCGACTTGAGCCACGGCTGCCATTTCGGACAATCGGGAATCCTTGAAGATGGCGCCCACAGTCAGCCTGATTCCGCTCTGCTGAGCGAGAGTCACGAGCTTGATAGCGCTGATGGAATCACCGCCTAGTCGGAGGAAGCTATCGTGCTTTCCAATAGTCTCAGCCTCGACACCAAGAATGTCAGCCCAGAGATCGCGTAGACGAAGTTCCATGGGTTCGGTGGGAGGTACGCTGTCCATGGCGCCGGGAGCAAACCTCGAGCGCTTGTGAGGTGGCACAGCGCGACCAGCAGCGGCGAGTTGTCGGCGGTTGACCTTGCCGGAGGTGAGCTGCACTGGTTTGCCTTTGAAAATTGGGTAGCTCGTGGGCATCATGTGGGCAGGTAAGACGGTGCTGAGCGCATTGTCGACTCGAGAGATCAACGCCTGCTTGTCGCTGGATACATCTTCGAATACCGTGAGCTCTTGGTCTTTCGAGCCAGAGGTGTACCACAGAAGCGCCATGAGGATATCGTCAACGATCTCGACAATAGCGTCCATGCCCTCAGGTAACTGGGTGTGAATCCTGGACTCGATCTCGCCGAGCTCGACACGTTGACCGTGAAGCTTGACCTGGGTATCTTTCCGGCCCATGTAATCAAAGGTGCCATCTTCGTTACGACGAACGAGATCGCCAGTCTGATAAGCTCGCTTGCTACCAGACACAGGGAGCCAATAAGCATTCTCAATCCAGACACTGTTCGTCTTGTCGTCAACGTTTAAATAGCCACGAGCCAGGGTAGGACCTTGAATAAGCAACTCTCCAATGCAGCCAACAGGAACAAGTTCCTTCACGTTGTCAGGTTCGACAACCCAGAAGGCAGACAGCAGGGGCATGCCGAGGTTGCTTGGCTTGCCGACCTTTCCTACGTCCTTTCGCCAGGCGCAGATAGATGCCTCAGCGGGACCGTAGAGGCCGTGGAGCTCAGCATGACCAGACCATTGCTCGACAACCTTCTTTGTAACGGCTTCGCCACCCAGCCCCAGTGTCTTGAGTGTTGGGACATCAGCGGGCTTGAGAAGGCTGGCCACGGTAGGGGTCAAGAAAGCCCAATTGGCCTTGGTCGAGTTAATTGCCCCGGCAATGTTGTTGTGGCGGTCATGGTCAGAAGGCACGCAGACCGTTCCACCTCGGGCAAGGGTGACCAAAACATCGAGGACGCCTACGTCAAATGTGTAGGCCGAGAAGGCGAAAACGCGCGAGCCAGGACCGATTCCAGGTGTCACGCCGTACCCATTGACAGATGAGCAGATAGCACGATGCTCAATCACCATTCCCTTTGGCTTTCCGGTGGAACCAGAGGTAAAGATCACAAATGATGCATTGTCGGGCTTGACAGCTGTAGCAACGGAGCTGACGTCGGGCAGTGATTTGAGGATAGACTCGTCCAAGACGAACGTGTCGACCTGGACATCTCTCATGGCATCTTTGCAGGACGGGGCAACGATGACTAGCTTGGACATAGTATCGTCAATGATACCCTGGAGACGAGCAGTCGGGGCCATTGGGTCCAGAGGAACAAAGGCACCTCCAGCCATCTCGATGGCCACCATGGTCACGACAGCCCATGCCGATTTTGGAAAGCATAACGGAATAAGAGACTCGGGACCGACACCGAGCGATTGGAGTTTGGCAGCCAAGCGAGATGCGTAAATGCCAAGCTGCTTGTAAGACAAGTCGGCATCCCAGGAAGCGACGGCTTCAGCTTCGGGCTGCCTCTCAATTTGCTGCTCGATAAGCCAGTGAGTGCAAGACTCTGTAGCATCGGCAACCTTGCTGGACTCTTCAGCGTGGTGCAGGTCCCACGGACCGACGAGAGAGATATCGCCAAGTTTGGAAGACTGGTGCTTGAGCAGTTGCTGGACAACATGATCCAATTGCTCGGCAACTGCTTCGATTTGGTTCACTGACAGCGCATCGGTGTTGTGGAAAAAGCGGATCTCGATGTGGTCGTCGTAAATCAAAGAAAGCAGAACAAGAGGATAGTTGAAGTAGTGCTTCATCTGCTCCTCCGTCATGGCATACTGGTCCTGACCGAACACAATGACGGCATCAGCTGGCGCCTCGTCCATGTTATCCATGAACTGACGCGGCTGAATGACGACGAGGGACGAGAAGTCACAGGCTTCCTTGGCCGTGTTGCTCACACGGGAAATGTTGCTCAAGCCGTATTGTTCGTAGGCAACCATGTCAGAAGCCTGCTTCTGCACATCCGAAAGGAATTCAGCCACGGGCTTCTGACGATCTGTGTTCACACGAACTGGAACCGTAGCGATAGCCGGGCCGGTCATGCTATTCACGCCAGTGACGGGGGCGTTGCGACCAGAGACGGTTGCGCCAAAGGTGATATCGTCACCACCGTTGTGACGCGCCAATACGATCGACCAGGCGGCGCGCAGAACAGAGGCCTTGGTGATGGAAGAGTTCATCTCAAGGGGCATACCAATCTTCTTGGTCGCGACCTGGATCTCAGCTTCGGGATTGACGCCGGACGTAGATGGGAATGACGGTTTGGTAGCGCCATCCAACTGAACTTTCCAGTAGTTACCGGCAGCTTGAGGTTCGATGCTTTCCGTATACTTGACAAAGCCAGAGTAGGGCTCAACAACGGGTGTTTCGTTCTCCCAGTATATGTCGTGGACGACCTGCTGGATGAGCTGTAGAGCCCAGCCGTCAATGACGGAATGATGGATGACCCATACGAAGAAATTCTCGCCATTGGGTTGGTTAATGAGGGCAAAGCGGCAGAGGCGTGAGCCATAGGTCATCTCGTAGCTCTTTGTGGCAGCGATGAATTCATCGACACTCGTGCCCTCAGTGTTTTCCCATGACTTCTCGTCCTTGACAACGACCTGCACGGAGGCGTGGCCTGTCGTCACAATCCGAGTGTGCAGGTTGTCGCAAAGGTCGACGGTCTTCTCCCATGACGACTTAAATCGGTCCAAGTCAATGCCGCTGGGGATCTTGAAGAAATACTTGGTAATGTACGACCCAGGTTGCTTGGCAGATAGCGCAATAAGGCCATCCTGTAGGGGTGTGCAAGGGTACGCATCCATGACTTGAGTTGCTTCAAGGCCGCATTGCTCTTGAATGGCCTTGTTCATGACGAAGTGGTGCGCACTCGGGTCGAGAAGGCTGAAAGGCTCGATCTTGGTGTCCACAGCGGATGTATCCATCTCGACAGCCTTGGAGGCCACCGCAAACAGACGAGGGTCATCAAAGATATCCTTGACGCTGAGCTGGATGCCCTCGTTCCTGCAGGTGGTGATCAAATGGATAGCGGCCACCGAATCTCCGCCGATACGGAGGAAGCTATCGTCACGGCCGATACACTCCTTTGCACGATTGAGAATTTCAGCCCAAACGGTTTGGAGACGCTCTTCCATCGGCGTCTCGGGCGCCCTCTTCTCGCTATCCTGGAGGGCATAGGTGGCGAGTTCCTCTTGGCCAAGGCCAGCGGTGAGAGCACGAAGACCCTTGCGATCAAGCTTGGTGGACGTAATGAATGGCATGTATGAGCAGGGGATATAGAGGGTAGGGATCATGTAACGAGGCAGAGAAATTGACAGTGCTCCCACCATAGCCGTTAGTTGATTCTGTAGGTAGGGGCTAAGGGGCATGAAGGGCCCCTCGGCATCGCCACTTGTCGCACCGGCTGTCTTGGAATCGTCTGTGAAGCAGAAGTATGCCACTAGGTTGGTTCCAGTCTCAGTCTTTAGGACGTCCACGGCAACCTGACGCGCGCCCTCCAAGTTCGTCTGGATGTGATGCTCAACTTCGCCCAATTCAACCCGGAGACCACGAATCTTGACCTGTGTATCCTTACGCGTGGAGAACTCGATAGTTCCGTCCGCGTTGTAGCTGCACAAGTCGCCGGATTTAAAGAAGCGTCCATAAGCATGGGTGCCTGTCTCGCGCTTCGGCGCCCATTCGGGAAGGCTATAAACCGTTGCGGCGTCGGTTTTGGCCTTGTCAGCGAGGTACTCGCGCAGGATGGTAGGACCTTGGATGACAACTTCGCCAAGCGTGCCGATAGGAGCGAGCTTTTGAGGGTCGTTAGGGTCGACAATCCAGCAGAAGCCCCCGACGGGTTTTCCAACGGTTAGGGGGCTTTCTGTGACAGACTTCCATTCGTGAAGGGTGCTGAAGCAGCAAGTCTCGGCTGGACCCCAACCGTTAACCAAGCGGACCTTTCCGAACCACTGTTCGAAGACGTCACGAGGGACAGCCTCGCCGGCAAAAAGCAACAGCTCCAAAGAAGGAACATCTTCGGGCTTGATAGTTCGCGCAAAGGCAGGGGTCAAATACGACCAGTTGACCTGAATATTGCGAATGTAGCCGGTTAAGTTATTGAGCCGATCGTGATCCGAAGGGATGCAGAGACAGCCACCGTGGGTAAGCGGTCCGAAGATTTCGCCAATAGAAAGGTCGAACACGAAGGCGGCGAACTGCAGCATTCTGACCGTAGAATCCAGACCAAGCCTCTTCCCGATAGCACGAGCAGAGGTGCTGACAGATCCGTGCTCCATGACAAGACCCTTGGGCGTACCTGTTGACCCGGACGTGAACAGCACGTAGGCAGCGTTGCGAGGGGAAGTCTGGACGTTGGGTCCCTGTGTAAACTTGTTGGCGAGTTCCTGATCAAGCTCAGGCGTCACTTCCAAAACCTGCGCAAGCAACTCCTTGGCCATTGGAGCGTTTCCGGGGGAAACAAGCGCGAGCTTCGCCTTGGTCTGGCCGGTGACTTGGCGTTGTCGCTCAGTCGGGTGACCAGGATCCAAGGGAACCCAAGCCGCTCCGACCTTCATGATGGCCAGGATGGCAACAAAGTGCCACGCTGACTTCTCGAAACAAACGTGTACGAGATCCCCATCCTCGACGCGGTATTCCTCCAGAAGGAAACTGGCTAGGCGGTCGGCCGCAGCGTTGAACTCCTTGTACGTAAGTTTCTTGTCCCACGCATCGATAGCTGGTGCGTCGGGGCGTTTTTTAGCTTGGAGCGCAATTTGGTCGTGGAGGGTCGATTCAACAAGCTCGGGCTCTTCGTCATTGTATGTGAAGGCCTTCTCAAGGTCCCAGGGTGCAGCCACGGAAATCTCAGAGATACAAGTGTTATCCTGAGCCAACAGCTGTTGCACAACATGCTCAAAATGATGTGACAGCTGGGTCATTTGCACTTCTTGGAGAATTTCAGAGTCATACGTGAGCACAAGGTCCACGTGATCATCTGAGACCTCACCCTGTAAAACCAAGGGGTACGAAAAATAACCCTCAAGGGTATCTTCAGTGCCGTGCTGAGCAGACGAATCCATCTCGAGGATGGCGTCGGAATGCGCGCCGACGGCAGCCATCTGCTGGAAAGGTTGGACAACCAGTAACGAAGAGAAGTCGCAAGCCTCCTCGGCTTCCGGGCTGATCTTCCCGATATGCTGCATGCCGAATTGCTCATAGGCAATCATCTCCGACGCCTGCGTCTGAATGCGGTGTAGATACGTGGAGATGCGCTGATCACGGTCCAAGCGCACTCTGACGGGAACAGTAGCTACCATCGGTCCGGGCATCTCACCCAGGTTCGGAACAGGGGCGTGACGACCAGAGACCGTTGTGCCAAAGGTCACATCATCGGTATCGCAGTAGCGCGCCAGCACAATGGCCCAGGCGGCCCGGATGATCGTGGCTTTGGTGATGGAGGTATCGGTATTGGGAAACTCGATCCGGTTGCGCATGAGGCGGATGACCTTGTCGCCCAAGGAAGAGGGCGCACCAGCTGTCTTGGCAGTCGGAGGAAAGGTGGCTCGCCTTGCGTCCTCAAGTTGGTTACGCCAGAAGCTTACTGCGTCCTTTGGGTTAATACTCTGCACGTAGTTGATGAAGCTCGCGTAAGGCTTCAGCTCCAAGGATTCATAGCCTTGGTAAACGTCGGCGAGTGTACTGAGCATCAGCCGCATGGTCCAGCCATCATAGATAGCGTGGTGAGCAATCCAGACAAAGTATCGCGAATCGCCTTCCACAACAAGACCGTAACGGCTGAGTCGGGACCCAAAGGTCATCTTGATGCCTTGGGCAGCCTCCAGGAAGGCGGACAGTGTCAAGCCGTCCGTGTTCTCCCACTCCACATCGTCCGTTACGATTGACTGGATAGTTTTGCCTTGCACTGTCACCATCCTTGTTCGCAGGTTTGGCGAGGTCGCCACAGTCGTCTCCCAGGCAGTCTTGAAGGCGGATGTCTCAACCTCGTCACCAATGCGATAAACCCACTTCGCAATGTAGGAACCAGGCTGCTTCATGGATAGAGCCATCAGACCCTCCTGCAGTGCTGTGCAGGGGTAAGCATCAACAACCTGCTGCGTTGTCAGGCCGCACTGTTTGCGAGTCTCATTGACCACAAGCTCGCGACGAGACTGGTCGAGGAGGGAAAATTCAGACACATCCGTGTAGTCAGGCGCATCATCGTCAGCAAACTCACACTTGGCGGCGACGCTCGAAAGGCGGGGATCATCAAAGATGTCCTTGACCGTCAGGAGCAGCTTGTCCTCGCGAGCAGCCGTCACCAAGTGGATCGCTGCAATCGAATCACCACCGATACGAAGGAAGCTGTCATCGCGACCTATCGTCTCGGGTGCCAGCTTCAACGTCCGCGCCCAAATCTTCTGCATCCTGTATTCCATGTCGGTTTCCGGGGGTCTCTTCTCGCTATCCACCAACGCATACTGTGCCAGCTCGTCCTGTATTAACGCGGCAGTGCGTTGTTGCAAGCCCTTGCGGTCCAATTTGGTCGATGTGATGAAGGGCATGAATCGACAATTGATGAAAAGCGTCGGGATCATATAGCGCGGCAGGTGAACACTAAGCTCGCTCACCATGGCGCTCAGTTCGGTCTGCATATCCGAGCTCAAGGGGAGGAAGACCTGGTCGTCGGCACCAGCAGTCTTAGACTCATCGTTGAGACAGAAATAAGTGACGAGATTAGCGCCAGCTTCGGTGCGGAACACATCTACAGCGACCTGGCGAGCCGAGGTGAGGTTGGCCCGAATGTGATGCTCAACTTCGCCTAATTCCACGCGAAGACCTCGAATCTTGACCTGCGTGTCCTTTCGTGAAGAGAATTCAATGGTGCCATCAGGATTATAGCTGCAAAGGTCACCTGACTTGAAGAAGCGCTTGAACGAAGCATCGGTACGACGAGGCGTCCACTCAGGCAGCTCGTAGACAGACGCAGCATCCGTCTTGGTCTTATCGGCCAGATACTCACGAAGCAAGGTTGGACCTTGAATCATAACCTCGCCCAGGGTGCCTATGGGTGCTATGCGGTTCGGGTTCTGGGGGTCAACGATCCAACAGAGAGAGCCCACGGGGCGTCCAACGTTCAAGGGGGACTCGTCAGCCGACTGCCACTCATGCAACGTGCTAAAGCAACAGGTCTCGGCTGGGCCCCAGCCGTTGATCAATCGCACCTTGCCGAACCATTTGTCGAAAACATCGCGAGGAACGGCCTCACCGGCGAATAGCAACAACTCGAGGGTAGGAACCTCGTCGGGTCGAAGGGTCCTGGCAAATGAGGGGGTTAGGTAGGACCAGTTAACCTGCATCTCATTGATGAATTGTTTGATGCCGTTCATCCTGATCTCCTCTGACGGAATGATAATAGAACCGCCATGCGTCAACGGACCAAAGATTTCGCCGATAGAGAGGTCGAAGACAAAGGCGGCAAATTGAAGCATGCGGACGCTTGGCGAGAGACCGAGGCGTTGACCAATAGCTGTGGCGCTGCTGCAAACCGATCCATGTTCCATAACGAGGCCTTTAGGGGTTCCTGTACTTCCAGATGTGAAGAGGACGTACGCAGCCTCTCCAGGGGACGCTTTGCCCGTGAGGTTGGCATCTGACCTGGAAGACCTGAGCTGTTGGTCGAGCTCAGCATGCACTTGAAGAACGTCCTTGACCAAGCCCTCGCAGATGGGCGCATTGCTCGCCGAAGTCAGGGCTAGGGAAGCACCCGTTTGTGAAATAACTTGTTGCTGACGTTGAGCAGGATGACCGGCGTCGAGGGGTACCCACGCGGCGCCCGCCTTCATGATAGCCAGAATCGCGACAAAGTGCCAGGCCGACTTCTCGAAGCAGACATGGATCAAATCGCCTTTTTTGACGCCATACTCGTCCACCAGAAGGTTAGCCAGCCTATTGGCAGCGCGATTGTAGTCGGCATAAGACAGCTCGAGATCCCAAGCCACAATAGCCGGCGCCTCGGGACGCACACGCGCTTGCTCCTCAATCATCTCGTGAAGCGTTGAGCTAACGACGTCGGGGACAACCGAGTTGAAGCGATACGACGTCTCCAGATCCCACTGGCCAGCCACAGCAACGTCACCCAGCGTGGCCTCCCTTTGCAGGAGGAGCTGTTCGACAACGTTGCCGTATTGGCTAGCCAATGCCTGAAGAGTCGACTCGCTCAGGACGTCCGACTTGTACGTCAAAGCAAGATTCACGTAGTCGTCGTATACGTAGCACTGTCCGACCAATGGATAGTTGAAGTAGCCTTCGGGCAGCTCCTCGATCTTGCGGCCTTCGGCACTGCACTGCTCCAGCAGCTCCTCAGCGACGCCGGTCAGGTACTTCATAGGCTGCAGAACGAGGAGAGACGAGAAGTCGCACGCGTCACGAGCGTCGCTGCTGACCTTGGCGATATTCTGGAGACCATATTGCTCGTACGCAACCATGTCGAGGGCTTGCTCTTGGATGCCGACGAGGAAATTGGCGGTGGGCTGGGTCTGGTCGACTGTCACACGCACGGGGACTGTTGCAATGGCAGGTCCGGGCATGTTTTCAATGCCAGTGATCGGTGCCTGGCGACCTGAAACAGTCGATCCAAAAGTGATATCTTCCGAATCGGAATACCTCGAGATCAGTAGAGCCCAAGCTGCACGTAGCACCGTGGCCTTGGTGATCGAGTCGTCGTCGAGGTCTGGGAAGTCGATCCGCTTGCTGTACGTCTTTGTCAGAGCATTTGCGTCCGCAGAATGGTCTGTGGGCTTGGGGTTAGGAGGGAAAGCCGCGCGGTTGGCACCGTGGAGTTGTTGGCGCCAGTACTCCATGGTCTCTGCAGGATCGAGTGTCTTGACATAGTTGATGAACGACGCATAGGGAGCCAAGGCGGTGTCGGATGTGGCGTTATAGGCATCCTTGAATGTGTTCAGGAGAAGGCTGATGGTCCACCCGTCATATACCGTATGGTGACCGACCCAGATAAAGTAGTGCTCGCCGTCAGATCCACGAACAAGTGCATGGCGGTTGAGCCTCGAGCCAAAGCCCATAGTGATAGACTCTGTGCTCTTGACAAACGCGCGGAGGGTCATGCCATCTGTAGGTTCCCACGAGAAGTCGTTTTTGACAACAACTTGCGTGGTCGAACCTTGCATCTGTATGATCCTCGTCCGCAGGTTTGTGCAGGCTTCCACCGTACGCTCCCAAGCAATCTTGAAGCGACGCACGTCCACATCCTTCTGCAGCCGGTAGATCCACTTGGCAATATATGATCCTGGGTTTTTGACAGCCAGAGCCATCAAACCTTCTTGCAAAGGAGAACATGGGTAGGCGTCTTCCACGACCTGGTCCCGCGACAAGTTGCATTGCTGGCGCACATCGTCACTGCGCGCGAGCTCGCGAAGGGATTTTGGCAGTAAGCTGAAAGGCGCAATGGCCGAATCTTCAGTCTCGGCCGCATCGTCGACATCCACCTCAACTGCCATGGCAGCCATGCCCGAAAGTCGCGGCTCTTCAAAGATCTTCTTGACCTGCAAGAGGATCCCTTCGGCACGCGCATTATTGACAAGCCTGATCGCAGCAATCGAGTCTCCGCCCATGCGCACAAAATTATCGTCGCGTCCAACCGTCTCAGCGGGGACATTCAAAACGCCGGCCCAGATCTTCTGCAGACGCTCCTCCAAATCGGTCTCCGGCGCAGCCTTGGAGGCGCTCGAGGCTTGCAGGGTGTAGGCGGCAAGCACATCTTTGGCCAAGGACGCAGTCTTGGCCTGGAGGCCCTTGCGGTCTAACTTGGTCGAGGTAATAAAAGGCATGAAGCGGCAAGGAATAAACATGGTGGGTATCATATAGCTTGGTAACTTGGAGGCAAGCTGGCCCACCATGTCGGCGAGCTGCGCGCGGCGCTCCTCGGAAAGAGAAAGGAATAAATTGTCAGCGTTTTCATCGTACATTTCGCTGCTCGGTCGTGACTCGTCAGTGAAGCTGAAAAAGGTAACGAGGTTGGCGCTCGTCTGAGTCTTGAGTACGTCCACAGCCACCTGACGCACTCCGGGGAGCAACGAACGGATATGATGCTCGATTTCTCCCAATTCCACACGTAGACCGCGAATCTTGACCTGGGTGTCTTTACGACTCGCAAATTTGATCGTGCCGTCGCTGTTATACACAGCTAAATCACCCGATTTGTAGAAGCGGCTATAGTGCGAGGACTCTCGCATGGGTGCCCACCCTGGAAGAGTCCTAACCATGGATTTCTCGGTCTTCTCCTTGTCGGCGAGGTATTCCCTTAGGATAGTCGGTCCCTGGATCACGACCTCGCCTTCCTCCCCAATGGGCATCAATCTGCTAGGGTCTTCCGGGTCGACAATCCAGCAAAGACCACCAACAGGTCGCCCCACCGTCAACGGGGACTCGTCCTTTGATTTCCACTCATGGAGAGTCGAGAAGCAGCATGTCTCTGCAGGTCCCCATCCGTTGATTAAGCGTACGTTGCCATACCATGCTTCCAGCACGTCCCGACCAACAGCTTCGCCTGCCAGCAGGAGAAGCTCGAGTTCGGGGAAATCCTGGGGTCGCAATGTACGGGTGAACGCAGGTGTAAAATAGGCCCAGTTGATTCGTTTCTCGCGGATAAATTCGGGCAGGGCGTTCATTCGGTCCTCCTCGCTGGGGACGCAGATACAGGCGCCGGAAATCAGGGGCCCGATAATCTCGCCAATAGATAAGTCAAAGACGAATGTCGCGAATTGTAATATGCGCACGTCGACCGACAACCCGAGTCTTCGTGCGATTGCTGTTTGTGAGGTACATACGGAGCCATGCTCCATGACGAATCCCTTGGGGACGCCTGTGCTGCCAGAGGTGAATAGGATATAGACGGCGTTACGGGGGCCAACATCACTCGCGGGCGCAGCGTTGCTGGACTCGGGCTTGTTGCGAGCCAAGTGTACATCCAGTCGTGGTGTGAGCTCAACGACTTTTCCAACCAACTTACCTCCGAGCTCGGCATGGGTTGGCGATGTGATGATGAGTTTCGAGCGTGTCTGCGAGACCACGGACTGGTTCCGCTCGAGAGGGTGTGATGGGTCAATGGGTGCCCACGTCGCACCCGCCTTGTTGATGGCGAGGATGGCGACAAAATACCATGCCGACTTGTCAAAGCAGACGTGAATGATGTCTTCCAGCCCGACGCCCTGCTCTTCCACAAGATGGTGCGCCAAGCGGTTGGCTGCCGAGTTCAGCTCACTGTAGGTGAATTGGCGATCCCAGGCATGGACAGCTGGAGCATGTGGGCGAATGCGCGCCTGGTTCTCGACTAATTGATGAACACAGGCATCGATGATTTCGGGGGCGTTGCCATCGTTCCAGGCAAGAGCTTGCTCGAGGTCCTGGGCCGAAGCATGACTCGGCGTTGTGGTTGTCGCATTGGGGGTCCCTCGCTGCGTGGCGGGTGCAGACGGAACCTGCTGCGTAGCCATGGCGCCAGCAGCAACAAGAATGAGGTCGGTGATTTAAAAAATGATGTTTCGCAAGGGGAGGTTATCGGTGTAGCGCGTCGCAATTTCTGTCGTGGTTGCTGAATTCGCACGTGTCGGTATCGCACAGAGTCTCAAAGACGGAGATCGTTATAAGCGTCGTTGATCAAGCGCAAGGCGAACATGCGAACCTCCTTTGCGGTCGATGCGGCAAACGGAGGGTACTACAAGAGTCGTCGTCTTTGGTCAGTAGAAAAGGCAGCGTAGTAAGAGTGTATCACGCGTCCTTCGGGTCGGGTAAGGACTCAATGAGCAATGAGAGATCACAGCAATTCTATCTGCGGTGCAGATTCACAAGAGGGAAAGAGAGTGCCAAGTGAGGATAGCTTCACGACACAGACGCGTTTCTGTCCGTGAGTAAACGCTCCAACAATCTACAGCTTACATGTACAGATACCGTGCAGGCCACCACCATGCTTGACCAGCCTTCACTGAAAGGAGCCGGGGTGGAACATGCCGTAAGATCCTAGATGGCATGTTCGCAGTGAGCCTCTGGATGTGGTATCCAGAATAGGATCATGAAGCGCACACAGCGTGTTGGGCACTCTGTTTCCCCTGGATCCTCCATGGGCTTTGGGTGGGCTTGCATGGGATTCTCGGCCACCCAGACACTGGCCTGGTAGAGCTGGCACTCGACGGGCGTTTTCTTGGAGCGTGGTAATAGCTGAACGCGCGCGATGATGGATGGAGGAAGGATGCTGAGTCTGGCTGTTCTCCAACATCAGAAATCCAAGATCTACGATCGACGACATGAAGCTAGTTCGTTTGTGGCAAGTGGGTCTTTCTACCGCCTGGTAAGCCTCACCTCATCCTCAGCCTTAACTTGGCTATTACTGTCAACGTGCGAGATGCTTCATGTTCATTTTTGCAGCAAGATTGTATGATTTTCTTCATAGCCTATCTGCGATACATGATACTCCGTACATACCTATGGCAAGATTGCTGCTCCGAGTCCAGTATATCAGGCAGGGATGCACCTAGCAGCCACTTCCTCCGAGACCAATCTCCCAGCCACCGCACGTGTGCTCGTGCAAGCGAGACCCGTTGAAGAATTAAGCAGAGATACGACTAACATGACTTGTTCGTTGGGCATTGCCCAGATAGTGCCGATGATCGAAGCCGCAGACAGCGATGAGCATCTCAAGGTCTGCTCCGTATGCATTTACGAACGCCGCAGTCACTGCAGATTGGGGGCTGGCCGCTGGCTGCTGGCGTGAATCCTTCAGACTAAAATAAGCGTTTCCTCTGGGTGGAACCGGCGTCCACCCTCATCCTGCAACAAATCGATGAATACTCCGTACTTGTTTTGACATAAAACATATCAATTGGCACGGCTGATTTTGGTCTGCTGATTAAGTGCTTGGGGTCCGCCCAGACTCATAGCACAAAAGGGGATCAAGACGCGTGCAAGAAGCGCGGTGACCGGAGGCTTTAATTGAGAACTATCACGAATCACGGGGGACACCACTGCCCCCCTTGTCGTTTTAGGATGCTCTAGTCCCTATAAAGCCTTCTTATTGGCTGTAAATGTAGACGACCCTTTTTACGGTTGTACGCTTGCAAGCCCTCCCCGGCCTTGTCAGCCGCCCATGCTTGTTTGATTGGAAATGACGTCAGTGATGCCAGAAACCGCATTTGGAGCTTGTCGCGTCTGTTGTGTGCTCGCAGCGCTGGTGATTCGATTTATAGTCCTGCCTTGGCTTCACTTGGCTGCATGTGCTCGTGTACGCCACGAGGAGGCCTGGAGGATCAGAAAGAGCGATCTTCCCACGCGAAATAATGCTTGAAACCCCCATGTCGAGTTTCGTGTTCCCGATGCCGTCGGCAGGCGGAGTTGTATGTTGGCCAATATCACGCCCATCCACTTGAGGGTTTTTCCATCGTTTGGGCATGCGGATATGGTTGCCCTCGTCACTTGGGCATGTCTAGTGGTGCCTGGCGCCGGCTAAAGCTCTCATCTGGGTTGTTTGAATAATCATTAGTAGAAAACTTGCGAGCTGCTTACAAATGAACTCGACGGGTGCTCCCGTGCACCAACTTCGTACCGGTGCTTGGCAGATCAACAAATCTGGACTCTAGGCCCCCCGCTACGTGTGGCTCTGTGCCGCGTCTCTTTCGTGGATTTTGTAGAGCGTGATTACGGAGTAATATAAATACGTAGTATTAAATTCCCAGAAGTGCGTATCATGTACATATGTATATTACAGCGTGTCCAAATTTGGTCAGGAGCGCGACGCGTCGTAGTTATGGCACTGACTACCCTGAACCGAGATTGCGCATCTGGCGTTGACACGTCGCGAGGCTTCAAGGAAGGAATAAGACAAAGCCCGACCTTAATTTTATGCTGAAATATAATAATTGGATTGTCTTTGGAGCGTCAACTTCATTTAGCGTAAGTATGTGGATGTTAGTTGTTCACCTAAAGTCGAATCCGTAATTATGTCACTACTATCGGTCTAATAGAGAACAAAACACGATTCAGTTCACATACTAGAATTAGACTCACTAGTCTACCTTCACTTAGTATTGATATAGTCTGTGTACAAAGTAGTCCCTATGCTTACACACTCGAAAACTCGCCAGCGATAGTGTGTCTTACGGAGCAATATCCATGTCAGGGGTGGCGCCAATATCAAATCGCGTAGCTTCAAGGGTGATGCCGCATTCATGACCTACACCCACACCCGCAATGTTGATCTTCTCAGCACCGCTAGCTACTACACCTCGTTCGTTTTGGCGTATCTCAATCAGGGAGTTGAGGCGATTGTAAAGCAATGTGCCGAGGCCCAGCCTCCTCCACAAGCCGCCAACTACATGTAACGATCGGTGACGGAGAACTGCCAGGGTTGGACTATCGGGTGCTAAGGAGCCTTCAGCTTGCGGGGGTTATCGGGGATAAATGGATCGCGTTTGCAGAAGAAATGCAGGAGAGTGAGTAATTAGTAAATATCCATTCCACACCGTCCACAGTCGGGACTGAGACCCGACGCAGTTACTAGTACATGCCTGTAGCGGCGCGTCGCGGCATCGCGGTGTCCGAATCAGAGCATGTCATTCCGACCCTCGCCGTATCCACTCACCGACGGTCTGCCAGGCGCTCTCTACATCACTATGAAACTGCTCTCGAAAGTCTTGCTGCAGCGTGGAAGTCATCTCTGGCAAGTTCTCCAACAGCGAGGGATTCTTGCGGAAGTAGTCTCGCCTGAATTGACGTTCGTGGACGCACCGACGTATGCGTCGAGCGATTACCTCACGCTGTAGCCTTCCCCCCATCGTCGCACAACCAACGTCATCGCACCAGGTGATGCCTTTGCCTAGCTTATCATCCCTGAGGCCATAACTTTCTGGATCTAGATAGCCAGACCACGAGTTGCCCGTCTGATCGCCATCCGCAGACTTGGGCACCCGAATCTTGCTCACGTAGCTGACCGTAGGAGGTCCACGACCCTGAGTCAGAAGGTCGATGTAATCAAAGTCGAGGCACCGATCGACATTGATTGTGAGCTTGCCAGAACTGTTCAAGTCATTGCGCGTCAGCAACTGGATGCGGCGCGGCGTCATAATCGGCGGGCCAAAAGCCTCAGGGCATAGCTCGTTGAGCTGCCCTATAATCTTCTTGCAAGTTTCGAACCTGTCCTCGCTGCGGACTCCTTGTTTGAGAGACGAGGTCCACTTGACAGTAACGAACATCGTACGTACGGCCTCAGAAAGCTCGAGCGTGAGGTCAGAGAATGGGCAGCGTTGTGATTCGGGGGTGTCATCACTATGAGCCTCATGCGGGCACTTGACGGTGATGAAACCGAAAAGGCTGCGCGTAATGTGGGGGCAGGACTCCGGAATATCGTCGTCCATGTATCTCTGCCATAGCCGTATGTCACTGAGGCTGATGCGCCAGTGTGGACAGAGCGTTCGAAACCCTTGTCGTGCGATACAGGTGCGCCCTACCGTGGCATCTCGTTGCGACGGTGTGAACTCCACCGAGCGATGCTCCACGTTGCAGGCGTGACATTTGATGTAGTCCGTGAGGTCGAATAGCCCAGATAGGATCCCGTCATGTGTGAACTCGCTGCACTCGAAACAGCGAGTGGCCGAACTTGGGCCCGTCTTGGACGCAGCCGTGGCAGTGGCGTTGGTGGACGTCTACCTGAGTATGAATGGGGATACTCGAGTGTAAGTAGGGGACTTTTCACTGCTTACATGGTGCTCAGAAGTAGGTTTTGAACCAGGGGTCTGACTATGGCGGCGGCTGTTTTCATGTGGTATTTCCGCACCAGACGCTTTGATGGCTTGGCTCTCAAACTGAGTGTCGGGTTCGGGCTCATCTCCAAGCAATTCATATTTCCACCGGGCAAAATTCCAGAGGCTGGGGAGCTCCTTCCGCTTGTTGCGCGCGCCCAAAGTCGACATTTGATGGCAATCGCGGCCACTCGGTGGGATGTTCTCGTCTTTGAGTGCCCCAGTGGACCCGACGCCCCAGGGTTTTCGCACCTCTTCCTTCTTTGCATCCATGGCGCCTTCCTCTTTGACTTGACGCAAAAGGATCTGATGGACAGGAAGCAATGAGCGAAATGATGTAAGGTTGGTTGGGAAAGAACAGTGCGATAAAACAGGACTTAGTGAGGAAGCAAGTACTCCATAGAGGGTTGAAAGAAACTGAGTTTAATCCGATGTTCGACAGGTCACGGTGAACGGAAAGTGAACCTAGCTCACCTAGTAATAAGTTTAAAGTACCGACTGGACTAGGGCGGCCAGTGGTCACAGACTGGAGCACGTGTTTGGGACTAAGCTGAGCCACGTAATCAACATGAACACACTAAGGTACCGAGATACCTGACGTGGTCTTTCCGCCCACGAAGGCAAACTTTGCACCATTGAGTCACGACAGCTGCGCGCAGTCCCCCCAAATGATTCAAATACGTTAGGCGACTGGCGGCGACTGGCGTCATCTCTCGAGATGATCACCGTGCATACCATGTACTTTCAAGTGGGACAAGGGTTTCCGGGCTAGTCTGGTGGGATATTAGATCAACAACTGCCAACTGTGTCAAACACCAATTGCACACACGCACGCTTCAAAGACCACATTTGCGGCTAGGGCCGCGTGCGCTGGAGTTTGGACTCTGGACTGGACATGGAGTCTGGACTCTTGGCCCTTGGGCCCTGCGCGTGCGGATCCACTCAAACACAGCTGCACCAGCATAACCACCGTTGAACCACGTCCATCTCGAGACTACATGTACATGTAAATAGTGTAGTGATTACCCCAAGTCGCTCACGCACACTCCGCCACGCACAATCTCACCTCATAATGAAAGCGCATACTTGGACGGCAAATGCCGGCTCAACGTTTCGTTGGACCGTAATTACTACCAAACGGTACGGTCTTGGATTCGTGAAAGTGATTGATGGTCTTCGTCTATCTCCTGGGATGGACTCCATGTCGTCTATCTATCATGATATTATTTAGGTGGATCCATCCAGCCCCATTCAGCTTTGCCGCCGAAGAAAACTTACCGTAGGGGTTAGGGGGCCAGCAGCCGTTTGCGTGTCGAGAAGATACAGCGCCTCTACTGAGGAGAAAATGACGGTCACTAAGGTAGATACTATTACTGAAAACAGTCACTGGTAAGGTAGACAGTAAGAGTGAATCTAGGCGACAACGTCTCAACCGAGCCTCAGCACGTAGCCGACTCCTGACAAGTATATACGAACCTCCAAGGAAATCACTGGAACTGGAAGTCTGATTTACATACATGTAGATACTATGGTGAAAAATCGACTAGCCTCCTGAACTTTACCATGCAGGCGGATCGAGAAGCCGTCCTCTACTTACACGTCGAAGTGTACATAATGTGCGACGTAGGCGTGACAGTTTAGATTGCTCGAAGCCTTTTGTGAGGCGGAAGCGAGGTGAAAGCGAAGTGAAAGCGAAGTAACACTAGGGCAAGAGTATGTTTAAGATCAGATGAAATAGTCGGATGCCTTAGGCCAGTGACCGTGCTTGTCTAGAGGAGGGAAAGGTGAAAGGATTTTCTTCTCCTGTACTTCGCTTCTCTGCCAGCCAGCTTTTCTTTCTACCCAATTACTTGACATCTACCTACATACGCAACTCACACTACCAGCCCAATTCTTAGTCACTTTTGTCGCTATGGATTGCGAGCATGCTCTCCAAAGCGTCCTAGAGGAACGCAAGCTTGTGGCCGAGCAGCTAGCTGCTCGATGGTTGACTTTTGTTTGCACTGCCATCGAGTGTGTGATCACCGCGCTCATTTACTTCTACGGTTCCTACCATAAGAACCGAGAAGCCGCAAAGAAGGCAGCACTCCCGCCAAGAGAGTCCCAACAGCAGCAGGTCAGGGGCATTGTACGAACTCTCTACGAGTACTTCTTCGTGGCCAGTGAGGGGGCGCCCTTCCTCACAGCGGCACAGCAGGATTGGAGACTCGTTACGACCGCGGTGAGGGACCTGAGGGTCGAGTACCAGTTCTTCAGGAAGAAGGCGTTGAATGCACTCGACAACACGGACACGGAAGATACCCCTGAGCGGGATATCTGAGCCCTTTCTCGTTCATGTTGGATGATCAGCTTTCCTAACGTTTCGCAGCGAAGCACAAGTCCAGACTGCCATCACGCGATGCAACGGCAACCTGGAGTCATGGAGACTGCGGACTGACCGCCTGATGAATAGGTTCAATGAAGCTCTCAACAAGATTGGAACCAACATCGAAGAAATGCGCGAAAGTCTGAATTCCGTATTAGGACTTTTCAGAAAAATGGAAACAGAGTAAGAGCCCCTGTCACTTGTCGCCATTTAAGATCACAACTAACATGAGTACAATCGTTTAGGCAGTCTAAACTCTTGAATGACATGCACCAGGACCTCCAAAAGGTCCTGAGTGATAATAAGGCGATGGACGAGAAAATCAAGAGGATGGATCGAGAGGCAGCCGAAGCGAAGAAAGCTTCGGCAGATGCTGACCGGGAAATCGATGCTCGCTTCCGAGACATGGAATCCAAGGCTTGCCGCTGCAAAGCTAACCCCCCCGTTACCGAGAGGACCGAGCGCAAGGACAGCAAGCCAGCCACCGGGGAGCAGTCTCCAAGGCCCCCCTGGCGCTTCTAATAATCGTGTGCCCAAGATCTATGATCAGAACCTGAGGACGACTTGCTTGGTGTGGCGAGTCCTTCGCCAGGGGCCACGAGGGGACGAGCAGGGTTATTGTGCGTGTAGCCGAGTGTGATGAGCCGACGAGGGTGCTGGAGGTGAGCAAGAGATCAGAAACGTCGCCCAAGAAGGGGGAAAGTCCGACTGTCGCGCAAAAGAATACGACGACAAACTGTTTTGCGAAGAAGTTGGGGGGGAGGTCTGGACTTGTATACACACATGGAACGATTTCTGATCACGACCGAGTGAATTTCGGAAGATTCATGAGAGCAGATTTACAGTTTTCTTTCAGCAAATACTAAATACATCACGCTGCTGCTGGCTGAAATCACTTCTTGTTGACCGGCGTGAGGGGCTCGCCCTTGTAGCCACCATTATCGCCAACAACCTCCATAATGTTCTTCATGGCGTTCAGCTCAAAGTTGATCCGTGTCGTGATGGCCGCGCCTCCATTATGGCACGTCAGCACCACATTGTCCATCTCGGCCAGCACCTTGGACACCTGCGGCTCGTGGTAGTGCACGTCCAGACCAGCACCGGAGATCTTGCCACTCTGCAGCGCCTCAATCAGCGCATCCTCATTGACGACCTGGCCCCGCGCCGTGTTGATGATCCGCGCGCCGTCCTTCATGGCGGCAAAGGCCTCCTTGTTCATGAGATCTTGTGTGTGCGCGTTCAGAGGCGTGTGCAAGCTGACGCAGTCCGCCACCCCGAGCAAACTGAAGAGCGTGTCGTGGTACGTGACGCCCAGACTCTTCTCCGTCGCCTCATCAGCACGCACAACGTCGTAGTAGTGAATCTCCATGCCGAGGGCATCGCGCGCCTTCTGCGCCAGTTTCTTGCTAATGTTGCCCAAGCCCACGATACCCAGGATGTGGCCCCGGGGATTGTACGAGATGCTGCCCACCAGCTTGTGCATGGCGTGGAACTGGTCCGGGTCGCACGTGCGCGCGGCCTTTTGCGAGCGCCACCAGTTACGAAAGACGGAGAGGACCATGAACAGGGCCGTGTCTGAGACGGCCTCGTCGGAGGCGCCCGCGCCGTTGGCGTACCAGATGCCGCGCTTGGCGAGGGCCTCTGTGTCCGCCCAGTTGAAGCCCGCACCGGCCGAGGCGAAGATGCGACAGGACGCCGGAAGCAGGGGGATCAGCTCATCGTCCCACTGGCCCATCTCGCCGCCTGTCTGGAAATGCGGCCTGTAAATGGCAGCAAAGTCGCCATACTTTTTATCCTTGAGAGCCTTGATGAACGAGGCTCGATCCGGCTCCTCATTGGCGACGACGTTGAAGCGCTTGGTGAACTCATTGTTGAAGTAATCGTGGTTGTATTTAATGTCCTCGCCTACGCGCAGGACGATGGGCTTCTGTGCCATCTTGAACTGGGCAGCAGGGCAAAAGGGGACGGTATGACTTGACCTGACGATTGAGGCTCAAAGAGATGCCACATACATGTACACAAAAGGGGTCAGCTGGCATTTACCGTATGCTTCCAGACCTCAACTCCAATCTGCGCCGAGAGCCGAGACGAGATAGCCGATGCGTGAGGGGAATCCTGGAATCCTGGAATCCTGCGGCGAGAAGTCCGACGGCTCTGCGTTTTCCTCGTGGTTGCGTAAGAGCATAAATGTCCAGAATGGGAATCCTTTGAGTGTCCGGCCTGTTCGTATCGATTATTGCCTCTAGGTCAGGTCTTTATGCTTTGTATTGAGTCAATCGGTCAGGCGTCGTCGTGAGTCCCCAACGGCAGACCACAATCACCACATGCAGCAAACATCAAACATGAAATGGCGTCCGCCATCCTGGTCCAAATGATGGGATTTCAGAGAGCCAAGCCATCGCATGATGGATACGGCGCTATCAGCCAAGCAAGCTACGCATCTGGCAGGATTCAGACTAGTAGATCAAGCGCCAGGGTCCCAGGACACATCAAGGTCGCCAAAACGCTTGAATCGGCCTGGAGCCCGAAACACCCCCCTCGGCGGCCAGCACCCCGAGACTCGAGAGACAACGAAAGCTGCTTTGCTTGGAAATCCCGATTATTCTTGCCCCGGATTCTCCAGCTTCCCCAGTCGTCTCTCCGCATGCACTGTGGCAGGCCCACCACGTGTGGGCAGCACGATTCCAGATGTGTAGTAAACATATAAGACTTCGGGGCCCAAGTCAAACGCTTCTTGTTGGAATGTGACCTGTCCCCATCTATCACTTTGTACAGGACGGCCCGGCATCATGGGTCGAATCACGGATGCCCTCAAGCCCACGGCGGCCAAGCAGATGCACTTTGCAAGCCTCAAGAACAACACGCACGAGACGTGGTACAAGGATGCCGGCCTACGAAAGAACGTCTGGCATTGTGTCGGCTTCTACTTTGCCGTCTTTTACCTTGGTTTCGATGCGTCCCTGATGAACGGTCTGCAAGCCATCCCCCAGTGGCAGGAGTACTTCAACCATCCCTCGGGGAACATCCTTGGCCTCATCTCGGCCAGTCTGTTTTTGCCTGCCATCATCACACCCTTCGCTGCGTCTTGGATCAACGGTCGATGGGGTCGCAAGTGGTGCCTGGCCATTGGCTCGACCCTCCTCATCCTCGGTGCGTTCCTAAACGCCTTCGCCAAGGACCTGGGCACCTTTATCGGTGGCCGTGTCATCATCGGTGCCGCCGGCCCCTTTGGAAAGATCACGGGCATCGCGCTGCTCCAGGAACTCGCCCACCCCCGTCTCCGTCCCTACGTAGCCACCGCCTACTACAGCAACTACTACGTCGGCCAGATCGCCGCCGCCTGGTTCTGCTACGGTACCCTCTCCTGGGCGCCTACAGAGTGGCGGTGGCGCGCGCCCTGTCTGTTCCAGGCGTTCGCACCACTTGTCGTGCTAGTCCACCTCCTCTTCGTCCCCGAGAGCCCTCGATGGCTCATCGACCACGATCGCTCCGAGCAGGCCCTCAAGGTGCTAGCCGATGAGCATGCCAACGGCGACCAGGACGACGAGCTCGTCAGGTACGAATACGACGAGATCTGCCGCGCCCTCCAGTTCGAGAAGGAAAACAACAATGCCAAATACACTGATTTCCTCAAGACACCCGGCAACAGGCGACGTCTGCTCGTGCTCGTCACCATGGGCACTGGCTCGAACTGGGTCGGCAACGGGATCATTGCCTACTACCTCAGTCCCGCCCTAAAGCTCGTCGGCATCACCGACGCGGGCACGATTGCCGGCATCAACGGCGGCTTGGCCGTCTGGTCCCTATTCTGGGCGTACGCTGGTGCCATGAGCGCCGAGCGCGTCGGGCGTCGCACTCTGTGGATCACGGGCACCGCGGGCATGTGTTGCGCGTACGTTGCTATCACGGGCCTCAGCGGTGCCTTTGCCACGAATCCCTCGCACAGCCTGGGTATCGCGGTGATTCCCATGATGTACATCTTCAAGATCTTTTATTGCATCAGCTGGTCACCGCTGCCGTTTGCTTATGGCGCTGAGATTCTGCCATATAACTTGCGTCTCAAGGGTCTCAGTATCGAGCTGAGTGTTCAGAGCGTGGCCCTGGCCTTCAACCAATGGGTCAACCCCGTGGCACTCCAGGCCATTGCTTGGAAATAGTGAGTTGTCACTGTCTACCTGGAGAGATTCAACGCTGACATATGCTAGCTACATCGTCTACATTGGCGTCATTGCAATGTACCTCGTGCTCATCCTGTTCTTCTTCCCCGAGACTCGGTACGTATCGAATCACAAAGAGATCCTCTTCAGGGCTTTGCTTACAGATTATGCAGGGGCATGTCCATTGAGGAAGTCTCAGTCCTCTTCGATACGGGACGCAAGGGAGATCCCGACGCCGTGGCTCGCCAGTTCCAACACGGTGGCTCTGATAAGGAGCGCGCGTTGGCGGAGGACATTGATGACCCTGAAAAAGAAGCACAAACCGCCACTGTCACCCGGGTTGAGAAGTAATTATACCCTATTATGGGATGCCTCCGGCATGTGGTAGAGTCAATCTTTGAACTGCAAATTGACATAAGTTGGGCTCTTTCATCGTTTGAATGATACCAATGTTTCCCTTGTAGTCCACCCACCTAATCGGTCACTTGATGAACATCTGGTCGAAACCAATGACCTCCCACTCATCGGTCTCCGTGTTCAGGGTCAAGTTGGTATGCTTGACATTGCCAAACCTCAGCGCGCCCGACTCTGCCTCCCCCCCTGCGACGGGGCGCTCGAGGTGGTTCTCGTTCGCCACAACGGTAAAGTTGGCGAGGGGAATGTCCCACGGGTTGCGCGTAGCAACAGAAGGCGAGCCTGGAATCGTCAGTCTCTCACGTTCATGTAGACAGGTCCGCCGAACTCACCGTAGAATTGCGCCGTGAGCTTCTCCGGGGCCACCTTGAGGTGGAAGTAGCCGCGGTAGTAGCCCTCCTGCCACATCAACTCGTCGTTTCGCTCAATCATCGCACGGGCGTAGTCCCCAGCTTTGGGCTCAATGGGGCCCGATTGACCGCTGGAGGTGACGGCTGTCCCGGCGAATTCGACACCCACAGCACCTTGGCCGGTCTCCATGTCATACTCCTTCTCCTCGAGCCAGACGAGGTCAGAGACCCAATTCTGGTGGCTGTCGCCTGCGAGGAAGATGTTGTTGCCGATATTGTTGTCGTACAAGTGCTTGAGAGTTCTGTTGCGGTTGGCAATGTACCCCTATGTGTCCTGCTGTCAACAATGAGCACTCAAAGGATGATGCGTGGCTACTTACATTCCAATTGTCCCCGCTGAGGGAGCCCTCGTCGTCTTTGAGAATCCGAGAAATGATGATCTGGTTTCCGACGAGCCGCCAAGTGGCCCCTCGCTCAGCCGATGTCGACAACGAGTTGTAGAACCAATTCTCCTGGCGAGCCCCCATCAAAGTGCGGCTGGGGTCATCCCGGATGAGGTCGATGTAGTCGTCATTCCACCCTGCCTTGTCAGTTCACTGGCGAGCAATTGTGAGTCTATGAACGGTGTCGTACCCAGAGATGTGATTGAGCGATCATAAACGCGGGTGTCGAGAATGATGAGGTCAAGGAGCTTGCCCATCTGGAACGAGCGCCAAATCCGAAGGCCATCATCCAGGTCCGTTTGACTTTGTTCTGTCAGCTCCATAATAAGCAAATGTGGGCAAGGTATACTGACCGTATGGGCATCCATTCAAAGTACGCGCGGACAGCGTTGACCTTGCGTGTGTCGACACTGATCTCCGGACCATCATTCAAGAATGAGTCTTCGGTGTTGTTCAACCCGCTTGTTCCATCGCGATACACGTTGTTTGCGACCTCTGCACTTGTTTAGCAACGCCCTCACGCAACCCTCGGGTCGATCTGGCTTACCGTGATCATCCCAGGTAGTGATCCAAGCATAGTCCCGCGCCAGCAACTGCAGGTCTGGGTCAGTGCGATACTGGGCATTCATTAGAGTGACACGCCGTGGGACTGAATTCGGAGACCGGACATACCTGGCCGTGCCGCGCACGATAGTCGTACAAGGTGAAGATATCGTTGGAAGGGATTGATACACGTTCGGTCGCGTCATCCTCAGCAGCATACTCGTAGATGTAGTCACCCAGGTGCAGCACCCAGTCATGCTCATCCTTGCGGGCTGCGTTTCCGTAGGCATTGAAGTAGCCATTGGCTATTTTCGTCAGTTACTGGCGGTCACCAAGTCGCAGACACCAAGCTTACGAAAGTTGCTGCAAGAGAAGACAGCAAAACTGAGGGATGAGACATCATCATCGGCGGTGGGTGCAGTCTTCGTCCGGCCAACTGGACTCTTCACGTCCGAGTTGCAGACGTTGAACTGGTAGTTATACTCCGTCAGGGGCTCAAGGCCCTGGGCCTCCACCTGCTCATGTGTCAATAACTTTTCCCCGACGATGACACCACTTGACCTGCCTTGACTGTAAAGTCAATATCAGATGTAGTGTGAGTGACTCCCTGCGACACAATCTGCTGGGTCTCGTTCTTCTTGCCCAGATAGACCTTCCACTCGACGCAGATTGGGTTAGGATCGGCCTCAACAAACTGTTCAGTCTCATGGCTCCAGAGTGGCGCCGTGCCCTCCACGGGTGCAGTGCTGTCTTCTGACTTGTTGCTGGGTGCCACTCTGGTCCAGAGGATCACGCTCTCCGGCCACGGGTCACCAGACGCCACGCCGTGGGTAAAGTTGAGCTCTGACGGCTCGTAGGCCACGTTGTCGCGTTTCCACGACCTGCGCTCAACAATGTTGGTGTCGATGCCCAGGCGCGCGTGTCGCCTTGAGGGGGAGGCATAGTTCAGATTGCCTGAGAAACTCGCAGCTGTGGACCCGAGAAGGGCCGCCACGGCATAGATGATCTTGTACTGCATTTTTGTGATGTCTGTCAGTCAGATCTTTACGTACCAAGTAGCGTAGGCCGCCATGGTATTCATATGTTTGAGATGCGCTGGTAGCACAGGTCTCTATTCCACAAGCACCGATATCCGCATCCAGTAGAAGGACATCTTCGCAGCACGTTGCTGTTTGATCCAAGGTCGTATTGACGTAGAACACATCATCGACAGCCATCGCTGATCGCGACCTGCTCCTGGTAGATACAGGCTTCGAGTCCATCATTTTGCCTGTCTAGATGTAGGAGATGCAGGTGATCGGCAGGTGCTAGGTGAACGTGCTGGCAAGCCATCGAATGCATTGGCCAGTCGAGCTTCAGTCGTTTGCAAGCAGCTTCTGGAGCCAGCTACGCGAAGCTTGGCCCTCGATGCCGTTCAAGCTTGAACACAACCTTGGGTCCCCGCGTGCCGCGTGGGGTTTTATTACCCGGATTTCGCCAGGTACTTAGGTTTGGTCGTGCATTTGCTAGGGATCTTCTGCCGGTTTGCTGCAACGGGATGAATATCAACGTTATGTATGAGTTGATTCGAGCACGTGCGCGGGGTGGAAGCGACAGATGGGCGAGCAGGATGTTGCATTGCTGATCGTGCACCCCTTTGGGTGGTGGGAGACAGGGCGTTGGCGATTGCCCATGGAGGGAAATTGGACTCAAAGTGGGTCTTGGTCAATAAGAGTCCAGTCAATACTTATTCTCTTTGCTTGAAGACTCTGAGAAGTGCTTGCGTATTTTTGGGGTCTATCATGACTGGAAGCAAGGGACATGGGAAGAGGTTGTAGTTGATGGTAAGGAATGGCGGGTAGTGGATGTTCGACCAAGCTCTAATAAATTGTTCATGCTATCAAACCCTTAGCCAACATTTTGCCAACACACCCGTCAGTATTGACTGACGTGACAAAATCAGATGAGTGTACAGGCTATATAGATCCTCGCCATTTTTAACAAGTATCACGCATCCGAAGGTCACGATTGCGACCATGAAGTAGATGTATAGGGTAGTCCCAAGGGGACACATCAATTTACATCCGCCAGCCTAGCATGTGACCCTGTTCACAACATCAATATCCAATGCTTTTGACAAAGATATTAAAATTCAACACTCCGAAAACAATTTATTTCAGACGCAATATATCGCGCCTACAAAGACAGTTGAATCGCGTGCAAGGCGTGATTGCGACTCACGTGAGGAACGCCTCTTCAGACCCCTGACGTAGGGCGCCTTCGAACTAGGGAAGGCGCGTTGCTCTCTGGCCCGACGCGTCTAAAGTGGGCTTTACGCGGTTGGCGTGTCGCTCCTCCAGAGTTGCTTGCAGTGATCTTTTTCAGTACAATCGTCCTTCACAACGCACACGCACCGAATTCTCCGACACATCAATCAGCTTTCTACTAGTAGTGAACGAACAGAACGAAACGAGTCGCCAAACTTCCACGCCAACCGCCTTTCCACGAATGGTTGATTAAACCACAGCCGCTCCACGACAGCGAGCTCGGCTGGCGAGCCCGTTGGGCATGGCTCAGGTTGCAACCATGGTTCAAGGCGAATCCGCTGAGAAGAAAGTTCACCCTTTCTTCTCTCGGAACCTCGAGCCACCGTCGACTCCTCCACCTGGCTACGCAGCAGCTGAAACGACTGGGCAGCCAGGGCTCGAAGACGAAGATGTCAGCAAGAAGCGCAAGACCGAAGACGCAGACGAGGTCCGAGATGAATCAACCGCGAAGATGCCAAAGAGAAAGAGAGGCAGACCCAGGCGCAGTGACCCCATCACCAAGCACCTGGTGCAGCCTCAACAAACACCCGAATCAGCGCCTCTGCCAGCGGAGCGATTGGGACAGACCGAGCAACAGCCACAGGAAACCGCTCCTCCGACTTCAGAGAAGGCCACACAAGCTGCGATGAATGAGACCGTCGGGAAGAAGGTTCTGAAATTCAACCCTTTGACTGGTACTCTAGGGTCACCGCCAAAACCCAAGTGCACTAGCCCACCTTCACGAATCGTTACTGTCAGATACGGGAAAAACGCAGAAGATAGAGCCGAGCTCGGAGAGAAGATCAGCGCCATACTGAGTACGACGCAGCAGTCTCCGGAATCATCATCGAAGCGAACACGGCGAAGAAAACCCAACAAGGCGGCAGACACGAACATGGCAAACATGTCTGAACCCAGCATCGACTCTGGAGCTAAGAAGTCAACCGCGAAGAACACACACCCTTTCTTTTCCGGGAAAAATAAGGAGGCTATAAAGCCGCCAGTAGCTAGACAGCCTGTCGAAGCACCCAAGCCAGAACCCCCTAAGCGACAGACCATATCCATGGCCACGCCAGTATCCCCACGAAAACAACGACTCCCGTTCCCTTCGGATCACAGTCGACCACCGGCATTTGGTTCCGCAAGGCCAGCTGCAACAAAGGTGCCAGGGGCCAAGCATCCTGCATGGCCGGCCCGAGATACGACACATGTGAGAGGGGACCAGGACTTATCGGCCCAAGGGTGGCATCACAATATCTCCTTACCTGAACGCAAGTTCAAAGGCCAGGCAGTCGCAATCTCCACAGACGAGTCGGTTCTTTGTGATACTCTGCGGAGGTTGAACCTGGAGGATGCGAAACGGACAGCTTCCTTCGTTGACAACCATTCCAGCACTCCACCCCGTGAGCTGCGGTTGCCTGTGCAACATTTTGAGAGTGGTCGACAACTTCAAAAGCGGATTCTGCCTGAGCTCCGCTGGCTCACTTCCACAACTGCTTCAGCTGATATGGACCTTGACGAGCTTGGTGACGGACCACATGTGAAGTCCCACCCGATTGTCACGCGTCTTTATGCAGAGCTGGCCGTGAGCCTTTGTGCCTATGATCGATCCACATGCGAAGGCAGTTCGTGGACACAGAAGTACGCGCCAAGCAGTGCGGCCGAAGTGCTCCAGGCCGGCAAGGAGGCCTTCTACCTGAAAGAATGGCTAGAAGGTCTTCGAGTTCAAGCTGTCGAGACGGGAAGCAATGACGGTGGGAAAGTCCAGCCAAAGGGAGAAAGACCTCTCAAAAAGCGCCGGAAGAATAAGCTGGACGGCTTCATCGTTGATAGCGATGATGAGGAGGACGACCTCGATGAGGTGTCGGACGGCGAACCAGACTGGACGACATCAGGTTCTGGCCGTCCCAAAACCGTCATGCGACGAGTCAAAAAGGACCAAGGCCGTTTGAACAACGCAATGGTGATCAGTGGCCCGCATGGGTGTGGCAAAACGGCAAGTGTCTATGCTGTTGCCAAAGAACTTGGGTACGAGATTTTCGAGATCAACTCAAGTACCCGTCGCAGTGGCAAGGACATTCTGGAAAGGGTGGGCGACATGACTAAGAACCACCTAGTCCATCACCAACAAGACACCGGAGCAGAGGATGAGGATGTAGAGGATCAGGTGGCCAAGGACCTCAAGTCAGGGAAGCAGGGCACGATGACGGCCTTCTTCAAAGCCAAGCCAGACGTGAAGACTGCCAAGCCCAGGAAAGCGGTGAAAGAGAACGAACAAGGGCCAAAACCCGGTTCAAAATCGCAGAAACAGTCCCTCATCTTGGTGGAGGAAGCGGATATTCTCTATGAGGAGGACAAGCAGTTCTGGCAAACCCTGATGAGCCTCATGGTGCAGTCGAAGCGGCCTTTTGTGATGACTTGCAATGACGAGAGTGTCATACCACTGCAGAGCCTGGCTTTGCACGGTATCTTGAGGTTCAGTATGCCACCTACGGAGCTTGCTGTCGATGTGTTGCTGCTGATAGCTGCGAACGAGGGCCATGCCCTCAAGAGACAAGCTGTCGAGCATCTGTACATGTCGCGAAAATACGACTTGCGAGCTACGATCACAGAGCTCAATTATTGGTGCCAGATTGGCATTGGCGACCGTCGTGGAGGCTTCGACTGGTTCTACCAGCGTTGGCCAAAGGGGATCGATGTTGACGAGCATGGTGATAAGGTGCGCGTGATCAGCGAGAATACATACATGGACGCTATGGGGTGGTTGGCTCGGGATGTCCTGGCCACTCCTGGTCGTGCCTTGTTGAAAGAGGAAGAAACTCTGCAGCAGTGCTGGGACTCGTGGCACTTCGCAGCCGGGGACTGGCATGAGGCCAATGGCTCAGACCCCAGCGTCTTTGATCTGCCTTCAAAAGACCTGGACGCCTTTGGCAACTTTATCGATGCGTTGAGCGCGGTGGACGTTTCCTCCACGGCCTTTGGTAGCGCTGCCCTCGACGGGAGCATCGACCCTGGCTTGCCGGCGATGCCCGACAAGGTCAAGGAGGATTTCATCATCGGCCGTCAGCTCATCGAGGCCGACACAGTGACGGATTACACACTCTTGAACGACGGCTTCGCAACCACGCAGAAGTCCCTAGCTCGCCAGGTGCTCTATCGCCACATTGCCAGCAGAGCACCAAATGAAGCAGAGGCATTGCGCCCGCTAGATGAGACGGGCGCCACCCTGGCGCTTAAGAGATTCTTTTCGACAGTTTGCAACGACCTCACACGTCTCGACCTGGCCTATGCCTTCGATCCCATCGCTGCGTCGGACGCCCATACAGCCATTTCGCATCTCGACCCATCTGTCTTTGACAGAACAACGCACCTCATTGTGCTCGACATTGCACCATGGGTCCGCAACATCGTTGCGTACGACGATGCACTGATGCAGGAGCGCAAGAAGTTGAGCAGTCTGCTTTCAGAGGGTGGCCAGTCCAAGCGCATGCGCAACACGAGGGCCGCCTACTCGGCACTCGAGGGCGGCGATCGAAAGTCCACCCGTCGTGAGAAGTACTTTCAAGGCTCTCTCAATACCTTGTTGGTCCTCAAGACCGGCTCGGACTCGTGGACTCGGGCGGCCACAGAGGAGGTTTCACACGCTGAGGCAGAGGCCGCGACACCGTCGAGCCCAACGTCGATGGATGTAGATGAGGAATAAACCAAGCATAGTAATGAAAGCGATGTATTTTGATATTTCTCCTGCATAGCGATGCGGAACGCACGTATGATCAATCCCACTTTGGCCATCCCTCTTCCACTGTGGTACGAGGCTCATCCGGTCCAGCTTCTTCCCCGTTCCAGCGGTAATATCTACGCACTTGATACGCGCCGTTTCTGGTCTGGCCTTGAATTGGCGTCCCCTTGTCGTCTCGGTTTGGACCGTTGCCACTCGTCTTTGGCACGCCTCTTTGCCTCTGCTGCCGGCGACGCTCCTCTTCCTCTTCATCCTCCTCCTCCCATGTGACTTCGGGCCCCGTCCATCCCGACCCAAGGGGTCTCTGATCTATAATATACAGTGTCTCTCCCTTGTCTCCAGGATGCTGAGGCGGATAGTGTATGTAGCTCCTTTGTTCGCGATACGGCCTGTCCTGCAAGGGGGGTACTCTTGGTCGAGCAGGGCTTGCCGTCCTTGAAGGACGTGAACGTTGGTAGCGATGAGAAGAAGAGTTGTAGTCAAACCTTGAGCGACGGCGGGAGGAGGACTTCTTCTCGGGAGGGAGATTTTTGGCGATGAGGGCTCCCAGGGCTATTGTTGAGCAGAGGGTGAGCAGCGTCTGTGGCCCATCGTGATTATTTTGCTTTGCAGGCATTTTAAACCCCTGGAATTGTGGTTCCAATGCGTTTCTCAGGTTTCAACAATAGCTCTGACGGTATAGTCTACTTTCATGGCATGCAATGTGTGTAGCGGTGAGTTCCACGATGATTCTATTTGATCTTGCTTATCGTTAGCGACAACCCCGCTCTGTGTTCCTCGAATGTGCACTCGTGCCCAAGCTTATGCCACTTGGCATGTGCGCTGTGCTCTGACCGGTTGCTGTTATGGCGGGCGTACGCTGCTTGTTACACGGCTGCGAGACCGGCTCCTGATACACTGCGGCCTTGCGAGAAGCCGGTGAGCCAGCAGCCTCTTCGGTGAAGGCACCATGATCTATATTCTTCAAGCGTCAAGTGCAACTGCATTTTCCGGTAAGCTAAACAACCATGCAAGGCCGTTGTGCATCATGAGTTTGCTGCTTTTGTGGCTTGGTCGACAGCCAGCTTGGAAGCTTCACAGTAGCATGCTGACCGTCCATGGCAGTGTAGATCTCAAAACGACCATACGAACCATATATACTTGCGTCCGAAGGGATCGTCTCGAAAAGCTTGGATGTTTCTGCGATTCGACGTGTGTGTTGTGGACTCCCCGTCCATTGGGTATTCCAAGCCCACCCATTCAATGGGTAACGCCCCAGACGAACCAGGGACAGGTACGTACTTAAGAAGCTGAGAATAGAGGAAACATCCCCCGGCCAAGAAACATGGCCCCGGACGTATCTTCGAAGATCGCGGTTCAAGTAACATGGCACTCGAAGCGGACGCCGATGCCGGCACGTTGGTGGTGGTGATTGGACCACCAGGCGTCTCGTGAGCATAAGCCAAGGGTACGCCCGGCTATGCCGTGCAACACATGCTGCCTAGTTTGAATGGTTCGCACATGGCGACCTTTAGGCTTTGCATGGTCTGATCATTCCTCGACGATGCTCTGGCGCAAGACAGCACAACACCACACCACCCTTCCAAACTCCAAGGCTCCCTGAGAGGCTCCTGCATATCGGGCCAATGCTACGACAACAATTCAGCCATGGCTTCGACAGGAGTGTGTCTGGAGTTTCCTCAGGTGAACGTATATCTGTGTCGAGATTCCAGACTCGTGCCGCGTAAACTTCAACTGGGCATTGCTGCGAGTGTGTTGCATCGCGCTATTGTTGATCGAAGTGATGGTTCCTTCGGACCTTCATGATCGAGACCTCAGCCCCGCGGCAGGGTCCGATGAGCTGCTGCGGGTAGCGGCTTTAGCTTACTGTAGTGGGGCGCGACATGAGACCGCGAACCAAACCAGCAACTGGGAGCTGCTCATCAGTTTGCTCAGGCCGTCTTCTTTCTCGTTGCGAGTTGCGACGGGAGCTTCACCACAGCGGCTAAGCAAGGGGTTCCTTGTGTGACGTCGGTGCGTAGGGCTGACCTTGTCGTGGGTGCCTTGATCCCCGGGTGTAGGGCACCATGTAGATTGACAAGTGACGACGATTGCGATCCTCAAGGAACTGAAAAGATGGTGGTGCGAAGGGACGCTGGAGCGGGTGGCGCAATGATTACTTACAGTAGGGTATCCAGTGGGTAAGGTTCCAGGCCCCAGCTAGTTCGATGAATGAGTATCAGAGCCAATGAGAAGCAGCTATCTTACAAAAAGGTGGGCTCGTCCGGGATAGAATCGCACTTCGAACAAGGGCCGCACCTTCCACGCGGGATTGACAACCAATGATGATGTCACACTGACCCTTCACGAGACCCTTGCGCAGCCCTCTTCGTCAGTCTGGCGAACAGGCAGAACTTCTCCAACATCATCGCCCTATCACCTCGACGCACTGCCAGCCAAGGTCAATGACTGGGCCACCCAAACTTTTGCGACGTGTGTCTGGGGCTCATGTATCCGTATCGTAGCTAATGACAGGGCTTTTCTCAGCATTCCCAGACGTCACGCCCTCCTCCTCCCTGAGATCGATTATAGAGGAACCGTTCGTGTCAACTGCTGGGCGCCCAGATCCAGATTTCCACTCCTCTACTTCTAGTTGCTCGGCGCCCTCGTATATTGGCCGTATTTGACAAAATCTTCATAGCCGGCCACGTACCCTGCCGTACTGCCGACACTAGCCAAGGCAGGCGCTGACTCCTTCATACCTGGTCCTCTCATCATCATATCCTGCTGACCCATACACACTCTCAAACTTACCAACTACATCACACAACCGCATCTTCGAGCCCGACTTTGATAGGTGACTGACGAAGAGCGCTGTACAATACTTGATATACCACACAACCACCCGTGATGAGTGGCGGACTCTCAGTCGAGCAGCACATCGATGCAGTCGACGCCTTTGCGCGGACCCTGTTTGTGCGCGCGCGCGATTCGCCATCCGTCTCCGACGCTGTTCGCCAGCTGCATACCGCTTTGCGCCACCTTCGCGTCGAAGCATCAGACCCTGACTCTCTCCTCGGCTCAGGCACATGGGATCACCAGATCAATGCGCTGATCGACGACTGCGGCGCTGCACTTCGCCAGCTGGAGGGTGCGTTGGATGATGGTCGCCGAGGTGACCAGCTGGCTGGACGCGTTCGTCGCCTAAGGGACCGAGTCGATGATTTCCTTGACGGAGTGCAACTGCAGAGTCGGACAGCCATCGCCCCCGTGAAATGCGACCCGTCTGGCCTGGAGACCATCAAGGACAAGGTCGACACCGTTGCTGAGCGAGTCTTTTCTCGACGAAGAAGTAGCTTTGGTAATGACGAGGACCAATTATGGCGCGAATTCAAGTCAGAACTGGAAAAGGAAGGCTTCTCGTCCGAAGTACTCAAGAAGAACAAGGTACGCATCACTTCACTCATCGTTGAACCTCTGCTGACGCCGGCAGGTCGTTCTGCGTGCCTACATTCGGGAGCTGGACGCTATGAGTTCACAGATTGGCGGGCCTCGCCCTACTGTCCGTGGCCTACTTAAATACGAGGCTGAAGCTGTTCCCCCCAACGAGAAGTATCCTGCCGTCGAGAACGAGAAGTTTCCCACCGGCATGAAGCTCGCCCGGCGGATGCCAGCCGACGAGCCACCACCGCCGCTACCACCCAAGGAGCCTATTGCTGAACTGCAGTGCTCGCAGCCGCGTACCTCCACGTCATCGGACGACTCGCATCACGCGGACTCCGCCGACAGTACCGCTCTCATCTCCACCAAGGATCTCGTCGCCATGGACGGTCTCAACTCCGGCTTGGCTGGCATGCATCTATCCGCACAATCGCAGGCAGCAAGCCCCTACGGCGCCTCGCCCGCCAACAGCACCCATCGCTATCTCCCTGCCCCTTATGCTGGTACTCTTGGTGCACCTCGACAGGGCGTCGCCGAGCTGCAGGGGTCGCCCTCATCCGCCGTCCTTGGTTCATCGCCGCACCCGCCGCCAAACTATGGCACCAGCCCGCGCTCCGCGCCCACGTTCCGCTTGGCTCCGGACCCGTATGGCAATGAAATACCCATGGATGCCCAGTGGACACGGATCAATCGTGGTCGCGTCAGTCCTGAGGTGCTCGAACGGGCCGGCGTGCGATATGAGGCTCGTCCGACCTACGTTGCCGTTCTCGGGCGGCTCACTCGGGAGCAGATTGAGGACTTTGCCAGGCAGAGTGCCGATGTTCGTCGCGCGCGCCAGCTGCGCCAACCCTCGTCACCCAAGAAGTACCGTGACAGGCAGGACTCGAAGAGCAGCAGGGATGAGGAAGACGAGGAAACTGATCTCTGGGACTCGAGCGACTCCACGGACATTGACGATGACAAGACGTCAGTCAGGGGCACCAGGTCCTACCCCTACATCGTCAACCCCCCGGAGAAGGAGAAGGGGTCCCCCTCTGCGACTGTGCAGCCCAAGTCGATTCTGAAGAACAAGAATGAACACCACGTGCGATTCGGCCCCGACCCGTACGAGGTCGAATCCAAATCGCCACGGTCATTGAAGGATAGCCGAGACCGAGATCGCGATCGTGAGAGAAGGAGAAGATACTCGGACGATCGGTACCACGGCGACAAGCCCTCGAAGAGGTATTACGACGACAGGGATCGCGAGTACTCTGGCCGCAGGTCGCAGCGGAGCAGGAGGGACGAGCCAAGAAGCAGAGATGACCATCGACACCGGGACCATCGCGACGACAGGGATGAGTACCGAGACCGCCACTCCAAGAAGAAGGCATGGGGCGAGGCTCTCGGTGCTGTTGGGATTGGTGGTGCGGCAGTGAGCCTGCTGAGTGTACTGGCAGAGGCCGCTTCCAATGTTTGATCCAGCTGGACCTGGGGACTTGTTTGTATTCCTCATGTGGCCATTTTTCATGATTATGATTGATGATGACGGGTATGTGCTGTATGGATATATATATGTACAGAGGCCTAGCTTGTAGGATGGATGGATGGTCTAGATACCCAATGACGAATTTCTTTGCGTTCCTGTACCCGCTCTATTCGTACCATGTGTGATTTATAGTATCAGCTGCGAGGCGATGCTGTTCCACCACTGTCGCCCTTCTCGGGACAATCCATGCTCAGGTCGATAAGGCGGTGGCTTGCCAGTCTCGGACATGCTCCTCTGGCTGGGCGCTCGTTCTGAGTGCAGCACTGCCATCCTCGGGTTCATGGGCCATATGAAATCAGGATTCTCGTGTAATACCCCCGTCGTCTCGTCTCTGATCTGCCGAGTTTGACCAAGCTCATCGGTGGACTTGGGGTGGACATGCGCGGCCGCTTGCTTGGTCATCAAGGTATGCCTCAGCGCAGGTTTGTAAAGTCTTTCTCCGCCGATATCATGGATCACGACGTGTCCGCTCCTTGTCCGATACTTGAGGTTGCGCGGGAAAAAGGCCGCAAACTCATAAAGGATATTGGGGATCTCCACCGTCATCATGGCTCCGTGCCGGTGCTCACGACGATTGCTGGCCTGTTTGATAATCCTGTCCAAGAGAAAGCCTATGCGGTTATGGACGTAATCTTTGTCTGCTTCGCATTGCCTCCTGAGCTGAGTAGCCTTGGATATAGTGGTGCCGTTCTCGAGGGCCGGGTTGACAACGGCGTCACGCAGCATAATCTCATCAAGCATGGCAGTCTCGAGATCTTCCGATACCTTGCGGTAGTAGTCCATGGCTTCCTGTCTGACCATTTGCAGGGCCCGAGTGACCTCTTGGCTGTTGATGTAGCTGCGGATGCGCAGATCGAGATCCTCAAAGGAGGGTTGGACGTTGTATGGCTCCGAGGTCATAATGTCGAATACAGCCCCGACATCTTTGGCTTCGACTCTCTGGGTGTCTTTGCCAAACATCATAACGCGGCCTTTCTGGTTCGCAGCGTTTGCAGTAGTGTGTGTCCAGTTCAGCAAATTGGACCACACCTCAGCGGTGATGGGTATGCTGTACCGCCGCGAGAAGAAGTCGATGAGCTGCATGCCCAGCGGTATCTCGGACATTGTGCCGAAAGATTCAACCAAAGCGTTGAGAAGACGACCTGTTGGCCATCTGGGGTCGTCCCGTTGCAATTCCTTGCCACCAGAGATCTCGTGGGTACTTTGATCGACTCTCACGCCGTATTCTTTACGGAGAACCGTCTCCAGGACGGCTTGCATGTCGCTTGACTTGGCGAATCCAATCAGGCAGGCACAAATCAGCTCTTCGTCCATGTCGTTTGGATACGCCCTTGAACGATTGTAATGGGCCCAGAATGATCGGTGGTCGTCGGTCTCCATGCCACCTCCAGATTCCAAGGTAGCGCCAGGGCGACGGAGATAGCGTCTGTTGTCCTCGTCCGGCTGGTCCCGCCGTCTGTTCCAAGGGGAGATCTGCAGAGCATTCATGGACATGCGGATGCGGTCAATGACCCTGACTGTGCTCTTCTCCTCTGCGCGTACATGTGAATGGCGGATCAGTTGCCGTGGCTCCATGAGCACGCGGGACCGGTCAAAAGAGTAATACGCCGGTTCCATCATGAAGCGCGTCTTTACGAATTCCGTCCAGGTCTTTGTAGTTCGCTGTGGCGCCAGCCCTGCCTCAAACATCGCGCCAAATGTGGCATGGGCCATGCGCAGCTCGCCGCCAGCTCCCACACAGCGCATGAAAACGACAAAGTCCTCTGGTCGGAGAGTGATGCTGTGCACGCGACACTGTTCCAAGATGGTGGCCATGCCTTCCATGACTTGGCGACTGTGGACCCGGACCCCGAAATCATCGACAAATCTCGCCGCATCAGAGTTTCGTGCCAGACCCTGGGATATACTGACGCCCCGCATCAAGTCATGCTCAGGATGAGCAATTGGGTCCATGTTCCGCAAGATATCCGACAATGTCGACCGCGGCATGCTCATCAAGCTGTGCAGCGCAGCATCGTGCGCTTGGTCATCCTGGTCCCCAAGCGCCCTTGTCCATTGAAGGAACGCGAAGCTGATGACGGCGACATCGCGTTTTCGAATCGCCGTGAGCAATGTCTCGAGAAGAGGATCCGGGGAAGGAGAGAATTGACTCGCGTGTAGGGTCGAGGTCGAAGGAGGGTCCGCAATCGAGGCCAAATGGCGCCGTCGCTCCCCTGCCCCATTTCTGCTCCATCGCCAGTGCGGGTCCCGGCGGGCTTGCAATGTGGACAGTTCGCGAGGGCAGAGCGAGGAGCTCAACCGCAAAGCTCGTCGGCGCAGCATTGTGTCGGCAGAGTCATCGGCGACGAGGGCAAAGCAGAATGGCTGAGGAGGGAATGACAGCTCGGTGAGAATGGTTGCGTGTGGTTGCGGGTGGCACAGGCACAGTAACCCCCCAAAGGGTCGTATGCACGGGCGGGTCGCCTGGAGTGGGGAGCAGGATATGGGGTAATGAACTGCTTAAGCGCATAAGATGAGACAGCTCGATAGATGCATATGTGCTTGTGAAACAGCTCTTCGTGGTCCGAGGTTTTCCCGCCTGCTGGAGTCGCGGGCATTTTCGCATCACGTCAATCATCAGCGCTCAGCGTTTCACGTGCCAGATCGACCGAAAGTAACATTCACTCCTTCAGACTCAACCAAACTCACTTCGGAACCATGGCAGACGTCGGTGGTGATGACAACCATGTCTCAGAGCCTCTCGACTTGGTGCGACTTTTGCTGAACGAGGTTGTGTTCGTCAAGTTGAGGGGTGACAGGGAGCTCAAGGGAAAACTACATGTGAGTGAGAGACACGCTGTGAGCGACTCTTCAGTTCTGACCCGCGACAGGCGTATGACAGCCATTGCAACTTGGTGCTTGGCGAGGTGGAAGAGACCATCTACGCAGTGGACGATGACGAGGATGATGACGAGATCAAGGTGAGCGCCATCCTGCCTCCGGCCCCATGTATCGCCGCTAATCTCATTGTAGACCGTGAGCCGGAAATCAGAGATGCTTTTTGTGAGAGGTACGCTACGTTGTTCACTGCGTATACACGATGACTGACTAGGACCAGGCGACAGTGTGGTCATGATCTCGCCGGGCGTGCCATTCTGAAAGGGTGCACGACAGCTCTGAAGTTGAGGCAATTCAGGCAGGAAAACATCGCTCAAACCACAGTGGACGAGAGCTATAGGAATTATCTGCCAAACGATCATCCCCAAGCGTGTAGTCTGGGGGCCCTTGCGACGCATCCAGCATTGGGGTACCTTGCCAGACCGGGAACTGCCTAATGGGGCTCATGTCTTGGGTTGAGACCGAGAGTCTTCCTGATGAGGGGCATCGCGCCCATTATGGTGTGGCATAGTGAGCTAGCTACGACACATACTTCATGAAGTTTCCAACGAATGCGAATAGAATATGCCCAAGTCGTTCGAATCACCAGTGTCCCACTCGCACGGCAATCGATCGGGGAGGTATCCGAAATCACATCTACGGGTGTCAGGACGGTGACTTCAGAATTGGAACCACGTTTGATGGACCACACCGTGGAACAGCTGCGAGCAATATGCGTCTAACCGATCTCGCTAACTGGCTCGTGCACTCAACCATCTGCACCTTCCGTCTTGGCGTCCGCCTATCGATAAGCTTCCCGGCTCCTCCCCCATGACGCTCGTTGACTTCACCCCACCACGATTCGCCGCCGAACAGACTCATTCTATGACTCCTCCCCATCGTGGTCAGCCTCACCTGATTTCTGCGGAAAGCCCAATTGAGTCAGTCAATTACAGCTCATGCCAGTATTTCAATACGCTGTCTGCATGAATTAGAGGGCACTCTGTAGATCCCATCGTCTCGTGTAGCGCAACCCAATGATCACCCGAATACCACCGTATACGTCAACCCAAAGCCGCCACCATGTCAAATAAGGAGAAATACCAGCCCAAAGATAGCAAGCGGAAAGGAGAGACTGTGAGTACGGTGCGTACATGAACTTGAGCAGTTTCTAAGAGTTCAGGCTTTGAGCGCATTCGCGGAATATGTCGAAGAGCAGCAGAGCATCCGCTACCCTACCAAGGGTCCCACGAAGGCTTCAGCCGGTACCGCGCATGACGCCGAAGACCCCGAACATCACGAAGAACTCGACGAGCTTTTCGAGACCCTCGACCTGGAGGATTCCGCGCCGCGGATTCCCTTAAAACAGCTCCTCCTCGCGACCGATGACGCATCAATACAGAAGCTCGAAAAGGTCGTTGTCGAAAGATTAGAAGAAGGCTTCGGCGAGGCTGTATTCGAGCTTGGGTTCGAGGATAGTGGAGAGTCTATGGATTTAACGACCGCAGAGTGGAACGTGGCGTACAACAGACTGGACGAAACAGCGCATCGAATACGGGCGAATTGTCAATTGCTGATGACGAAACACGTTGGCGGGGACGTTGAGGCACCGAGCGTGGCCGAGAATCCCGGCAAGACCAAGGGTTGCAGCGGAAAGGTTCTTGTTCGTCAACAGCCAGGGGTCATTGAGGATGTAATTGAGACGCGGATAGCCGTTGTCGGCAACGGTAAGACTGCGCCTTGGACAAATATCTCTGTAGGAGTCGAGACTAACCTTTCCCAGTCGATGCCGGCAAAAGCTCCATGCTGGGTGTCCTTGTAAAGGGCGACCTTGACGATGGTCGCGGAAAGGCGCGGGTGAACCTCTTCCGACACAAGCATGAGATCGAATCAGGGAGAACGAGCTCCGTGGGTATGGAGATTATGGGCTTTGACAGCAAAGGCAATATCATTACGAGTGATATCCCTGGTCGTGAGTGTAATGCGATTTGCATTTCTGTCCTAGCTGCTGACATATCCGCTGCAAAGGCAAGCTTTCATGGGAAGAAATCGGCAAGCGAAGCGCCAAAGTCATCACCTTTACCGACTTGGCCGGTCACGAAAAGTACCTTCGGACGACAGTATTTGGCCTGTTGTCAAGCAGCCCAAACTACTGTCTTCTCATGGTGGCAGCGAACAACGGTCTTGTAGGTATGAGCAAGGAACATCTCGGTATCGCCCTGGCTCTAAACGTACCGGTCATGGTCGTTGTGACCAAGATCGATATCTGTCCGCCCAACATTCTCGAGGAGACAATCAGCCAGATCAACAAGATTATGAAGTCCCCAGGCGCACGGAAGATCCCCACATTCATAAAGAACAGGGAGGAGTGCATCAACACAGCCACGCAGTTTGTCAGCCAGAGGATCTGCCCCGTGTTCCTCGTCTCCAACGTGACAGGCGAGAACCTGGATCTGGTCCGCACCTTTCTCAATATCCTGCCGCATCACGGTCGATACAACTCAGACGCCCCCTTTGAGTTCCAAGTCAACGACGTCTTCTCGGTGCCTTTCACGGGAACGGTGGTGTCAGGGATCGTGCGATCTGGTGTCGCGCATGAAGGCGATAACATCCTCATCGGCCCGGACTCGCTCGGCACCTTCCTGACTACCGCCATTCGCTCCATCGAGCGCAAGAGGATACGTGTTCCTGCCGTGTCCGCGGGTCAGTCCGCCTCCTTTGCGCTGAAGCGCGTCAAACGCAAGGAGGTCAGGAAGGGCATGGTCGTTCTGCCCAAGACAGAGGGCCAGCCTGCCCCCAAAGTGCACCGCGAATTTATAGCAGAAGGTCAGTCTCCGTCTCATCTCCCATTTCTTTGGTATCACTATGCTCATACGGTGGCAGTCTTGATCTTGTCCCACGCCACGACCATCAAGACTCGTTATCAGGCCATGCTTCACGTGGGACCCGTCCAACAGACGTGTGCCATCATCGACATTGATCGCGAACTCATCCGCACCGGCGACCGGGCCACCGTGGCTTTCCGATTCGTGCAAAGACCAGAGTACCTCGTGCCTGGTGACCGGCTACTCTTCCGCGAAGGCAGGACAAAAGGGCTAGGAATCGTGAAGCAGGTTGGGTATGACCCTTCGAAACCCTTAAGGGGGAAGCCCGGTGAGACAGGAGGCGGGGGAGAACCGTCAGGTGGAGGGAGGGCCGTCGAGGTAGGAGCATGATGATTTCCGGGTGTAATGTTAGGCAGTCTTCTCAGCATCGGACGAGCATTTGGGTTGGTATATTGATTGAATGCATGTATATCTTTGAGCGGCTTTTGCTCGTTCTCCCTGTCTATCCTCGCTACCTGAATAATACTACCCGCAGGTGAAATTCCACAACGCAGTCACTGTTGTTGACTACTTCACACCCTCCGAGCACTTGCTTACATGGAAGTCCTAGCGCCGCAGCATCCGCACTACGCGTCGTTCGCAAGCTAGGCCTAACCGAGTGCCTAGGCTTGGTCTGGGCCTGGATCACCACCCCCTCGGCCCAGGTCCCAATGTCATGGGACCAAGCCTCCGGGGCGTGAGGAGGCGTCCGGCTCCGTGTCCGCGCCCTCCGTGGTGGCTGCTTGGCGTCAGGCCATGTGGTCTCCGCCGTGCGAATAAGGTTTACGTACATGACCGCGCGTCTTGATGCTCCAAAGTCAAAACTGCGGCACGAAAGGTGCACGGGAAGCATTGCGCACGAGACACATGCAGGAATTTGACTTTGGGAGCCAGTCAGTCGCAGCCGGGTGCCAACAAGCCACCTCGGGAAGGGGGGCGATGCATTCTATATACGAATTCTCATATCGACATCAGATCCCACGTAGGTATACCGTAGCCCCTATATCCAAAAAAGAGACAAAGCGTCCACCGGCCAGACGACTGTAAACACCCCCAGGGCGCCCGTTTTCGAACATCCATGCACCAAAGCCCGATGCGCCGGGTGGTCCATATAAGACCGGAATATATAACTGCAGAAATGACAATAAACAAAGGAAATTCGTGATATGCATGATGAATCTAGACAGCAGGCGCTGCTTGTCTCTGCTGACTAGTGACAACATTGTCCATGTTGAGTGAGATTGTCGGGCGTTGGATTTCCATGCTGCGGCTTGGCATCCGGCCGCCCGGTGTCCGTGGGTGAGCAACGTTCACGCGTCCGGTCCGCTCGAGGATACGAGCGGGACCATCGTCAGAGCCAGAGTCGGAGTCATCTTCGGGGTCGAACCCATAATCCGCAAGACGGTTGAAGTAGTCTGCCAGCCCATCCACGCTCGGCGTGCCAACGACGACATCGTACTGTGGCGGCGGGGTGGCAGTAGGGTGGCCAGTTGCCGTGCCCATATTCTGCGTGACGATCTCCAGCGCTGGGGGTGGCGCGAAGTCATCGTCGAACGCCGGCGGGTTGAAACTGGGAGCGCGCAATAGGTGAATAGGTCGAGGCTCGTTCGACGACGCTTCACTGGCCGGGTTCATCGGGCTCGAGTCGTGGAGATGCGCAGCCTGGGGCAAAGCAGGCATGTTCTCGTTGGACATGCGGTTCAGTGTGCCTGTTGAAGAGTTGGGCGAAGGATCGGAGGAGACAAAGCGAGAATCCGGACATCCACAGGAGCGCACTGTCTGCCCCTCAGCTATGTTGCCATATGCGGGCAGGACCGTGTTGGCCTGTGTGGCCCGGCAGTTGAGTACTGTGAAGGGCGAGTCGATGCTAATTTCAAAGTGACGGCGCTTTGTGCCCGTCGGATCCTCAGGGTCCAACCGACTAATGCGCATGACAATCTGAAATAGTACGTTAGCATATGCATCAACATAAGACGTAACATCCTGCTCACCTTGATCCAATGGTAGACATGGACGTTTTTCCAACTGACGTCTGGGTGCAGCCTCTGGTCCTTGTTCTTGGCCATCATCTCGCAGGTAGGGATCTGGACATTGGCCTCGATCTCAGTAGCACCCCACATGGACTCCAAGCCAAGATCAAGATCACCAAGTAGGTTCTCCGCTGGATCAGGAAGCGGCTGCGGTTGCTCGTGCCGTCGGTGAGCCTCCTGAGCTCGCCGCTGGGCAGCTTGATCCCGGGCCTGACGACGCTGCTGCTGGCTCAACTCGCCTCCGCGGACAGTTCGCAACTCTGATGACGCCCAGGTGTCGTCCAGTGGCTTGCCGGCGGATTTCTCGAGTAGCAAAATCTTGCGTCCGGGATCTTTCCGAGTGACTCGTCGGTCCTGGGTCCAGTATTCACATGACTCTGTCACAAAGACTTTGAGTTTGTGGACTTGTACTTTGGCGAGAGGCGTCAACTTGAAGGCAATCGGGATTTTACCTCCAATGGGAAAACTCTTTCCCGAAATGATAATGTCGTAGTGGAGCTGATCTTCCCATTGCCGACTTATGGAAATGGGCTCAGTCATCTCTAGCGACATCTGGTCGGGCACTCGAACAACGCAGACCTCCTTGGTGCCGTGCAAATTGGGTTTGAAGGCCCCTGCGCGATCCACCGTAGCCTGTAGCTCCCATTTGACAGAGCCGTACTGCAGTTTGATTGTTTCCAGCTGGTGATGATCAATGGGCAGCTCAAAAGAGTATGCATACACGCCAGGATAAAAGACTTTGAAGCCCTTGGCCGCGGCGGATGGTGTACCTGGCCCACTGTCACCCTTGCCAAAGCTGCGTGACTGCGCATTCTGCAGTGAGAGGCGTTTTAAATCTCTTGCCGACAGGTTTTTGTGCTGCCCGGAATGTGACCGGTTATGTGCGACAAGATACGGAGCGCTAGATTGGTCCTTGAAATTGTAGGTGCAAGAGTTGCCATACTCCGTTTCCCAGACGTCGTTTGTGACGTTGAAAAAGGTGAGAACCTGAGTCCGCAGGCTCGTCTCCTCAAAGGTCTCTTGCTTTGTCGGCGGGATGCCCTCTGGCCATTCCGTCCGCGCGCGCCCTACCAGCTTCAGCTGGACCGCCTTGATCTTGACGTTCTTGGACACGTTGAGCTGCAGCTTGCCTCTTAAGAGCGCAGTGCCTGCTTGGCCTGTGCCTCGTGACTGGCCATCGTGGTCGAAGCCATTGAGGAAGATGTTGGGCTCAGCGAGCAATATCGAGCAAGCCACGCCACTCCCTGACGCCACGGGCTTTGGCACCTCGCTGACGAGGGAGCTAATGGCCGACTTGTTCGCTGTTCGACTGGACATCATACTGAATCTACGGCGATCTGATGTGTTGGTATTGGCCCGGACTTGCGGTCGAACCCGCGGTGTAGGGGTGGGAAAGTCTGTAGCAGCACGAGACAGTGTGTCGGTCGTGGGGTTTATCGCGCAGGCTGCGGGCAGAGCGTCCGTCGTCGCAATCGATGAGCGGTCCTGCGTGGCAGTGGTGGTGTTCCTGCTGGGCGCGTGGCCTTGGGAGGTTGAATGCAAGTCGACGTCCGCTGATTGGCGGCGTGGGGACTCGAGTCCTTGGCAGGTGAGGTCAGAGTCTGGGGTTGATGAGGAGGAGGAGGACGAGATCCTTGCCGCGACAGAAGAGACGCTGGCGCTGTTGGAACTCAATTGGGAGTTGTCCGTGGTCGTCGAGCCGCGACGTCGAGTAGGTTCTGAAGGCTCGCGAATTTGTTGCGCCGTCGAGTGGTTGTATAAGGACCCCAGAAATTTACTCAGCGCGGGACGAATGGGTAATCTGTCAGCGTGGTGAGGCGCAGGGTCGGACGCCACTGGGTGAGAAAGGGCGGCCAAGTCGCTAATTCGTCGATGGGCCCTGGCGGTTCGAACCTTGATCTTGCGAGCGCGCGTCGACGAAGGAGACTGGGGCCTAGACCTCAATTCGTGAGGGACGTAGCCGGGGGGGTATGTGACAATGTGAATGGCGTGAGGACGTGAGCGTCGAGGCTCGATGAGGGGTCGTGGGAACCTGGCGGCGTTGTTGGCGTTTCCCTGGTTCCTGTTGCTGCCCTTCTTCTTGCTGCTGTCGACGCGGGGACGGTAGTAGATGTTGCCCGAATTCGAGGTGATCCACGTGGAATTGTTATTGCTGGTTGGGCGTCGTGAAGACTCCAGGGTCGCTGGCATAGTGTTATTATCGAGTGCGTGGAATTCTAATTCGCATGTGCATGTGACCGGGGCACTCTCGTGATGATCGGCAACGAGACGGCAATTAGGATTTCAATGACGCGTGGAGGAGCGAGTAGATGGAAGTCCCCATTGCACACTTTGCAGCCGCCAATGTGGAAGGGAAGGGTAGTGACAGACGAGAGGAAGCCGGAGCTAGATATGCGAGAGAGTAGAGGAGTGAGGATGGAAGAGGTCGTGCTGGAGGTGAAGAAGTGGTGATGGGAACGACGGAGACTGGACTCGACTGACGATTGGGGGCAAGAGGGCACTGGACCTGGGGGGGTCGCTACTGTCACTGAGGTGAATGGATCATGGATATGACAATGTCCATGTGCCGCCGTAATATCGAGCGCAGGACAGGCTGTAATTGCCGACATGACTTGGGCCCCCGTGGGCCTGTTTTGCTGCGTTTGAATTCCTGGCGCCAGTCCAGTCATTGCTGCCCTGATCTCATCTCCAGATGGGCTGCCCGATCGCCGGTGCGCCACTTGACACGCCAGCGATTGCAGGTTGGAACTTGGGGGTGCCGCGAATCCACTGCACTGGCAGCCTCCATAGTGGGGTACGGAGCAGGCACTAGCAGGGCTGCTCAGGCCGCAAGCCGCTGTGCTCGGCCTCGCTGGCACCTGTTGTCGCCCTGTTTGGTTGTGCTGGCCGGGTGGGGGGTTGAGAGACGGGGCCCCGGCCAGCGGAGGTGGTGATGTCAGCGCAAAGTGCCGGGCTGATGCTTGCTTGCTTTGCGCTCGCAAATCCAAGCGTCCTTATTGATCGACTCAACGCGCAGCCTGAGCACCGCGCTATTGTGCGATCCAAGGCACGAGGAATGCTGTGCCTGCCTCTGCCTAGATTGTCCACGCCAGCATAGCGAAGACTTTCGGCCAGCGCGAGATGATAACAGCCAACGGATAGTCGGCTCCCGTCGGTGCTTGGCCGTTTGCATCATGGTGAGATGATGGGTGGGAAAAACGGAAATGGAGCTGCCGAACTTGCCTGTACGTACAACACAGAGTGGTGCAGATCGAGAGCAAAAAGGCGGTCGTCGATGAGTCGGTAGGTACCTTTGATCAACGCCGAATGCCGCGAGTCGTCAAGAAGCGAGCGAGGTGAGTGCGTGCGTGGAAGAGGCACCCTTATCAATGTCAAGTCTCTA